ATACATGTAAAGGTTGTGCATTCGGGCAGTGATAAGTAATGTAAAGCTTGGTTCAAAAAACCTGTTAAAGCACAACTTGGTTGTAATTTTGTTTTCTAAATATGTTGCGCAGCCCCTTATGCTTTCGATCAGATTGTGATACCATATAAAACCTCAGCCTTCAAAATTTTTTGGGGCTAACTGCCACCTTGGCCCAGCTCGCTTTGCAAGACCTACCCTGGGTACCAGACTCACTATCATATAGTGAGTCTGGTACCCAGGGTATGCAAGACCATGTCCACAACATTAGGTGTGATGGTTTTAAATTCATTGTTTTAAATTTTTTAATGATATCCAGTTCAGTTATATCTAGTTGCCTTGTCTGTAAATTTATCTTCTGAAAATTCCCTAGTCATGAATATTACGCCAACCCCTATTATTGTGAATTAATTGGAACTGACCATCCCATGAATCATTCTGAAAACTGTACGTAGATATTTTGTCCGCCTTGCGGAGACAATGTTCTTCGAAAACATTTGACTCGTGTAAGAGAGCCCTATGACACCATATAAAACTACCGAATATTTCTTGGGGATCCTATTTGTTTCTTGGCCCAGTGGGAAATACGGTCCTGCTTACACGGCCATAGCAACCACGTAGCTGTAGGTGTCGGCTAAGGGGGGGGGGCAAACTCGAGCAAGAACCATACCTGAGGGGGGCAGGCTTTAAAACAAGAAAACAGATATATAACAAACAGATATATTTGGACAAAATCAAGGTCATGGATTTATAAATATGCCAAATCTTCAAAATATCATTTGGAAAAACTGTAGCCAGAGAGGGCAAGCTGTTGTCAAAATTTTCATTTGATGGGCACAGCTCCCCGTGCCCCCCCCCCTGCAGCTACGTGGCTGGGCCATAGAGGTACCAGTTACACTATATCACTGTGTTATCCTACCTCTTTGGTATGTGCACTATTGTTTAAATTTCCTCTCCCACTCTTGTTCTAACTGACAGCAATGACTGACAGTAGCTTGTCCATTCTTACGTTACTCCTATTCGACATGGAGCTCTTTTCAAAACCTTTGGTGTAAAGTGAAAAGCCTTGCCGCGGACCGTTATATCATTTGAAAGCCGCAACCGTATTATAGAAGCCGTAAACCGTTGCGAATTTATACCGACGAAAGACGCAAGATGCACCTTTTGTTGAAACCGCAGTCCGTAGATAAACCATGTTTAAATCCGGAGGCCGCAAGTAAAAATAGGGTCCAAGCCGTGAAGCCGCAAACCTATAATAGGCCCCCTAAACAGGGAACAGGGCAGCGATTAAACAGTTTTGTGGAGCAAAAGTGTGCAGTGCCTGTGACGTCACTAGCCCCAAAAACCTGGGGTGAAAAAAAATTTCTTGGTCACGCCCTTCAGACTCTTGGAAAATCCTTTTTTAGTATCTTTATCTACTAAAAAAAACACGACGACGCCCCCGGGCAGTGCAGTGATAAAGCTAACCATGGTTGGCGAATTTTACAATTTTTTATAGGCTCTAACATTTATATGCAAGGACAAAGAAACCTGAAAAGTTGACAATGTTTGAAGCATTTGACAATCTGAATATAAACTATTAGCCAGCACTTTATAAGAAACCAACAATTGATTGTGAAGTAAGTTGCATGACTGAAAGTAATTGCATTGACCTCTTTTATCATCGGTTGTTTAAGTTGAGATATCGATGCTATAGTCAATTAAAATCACTAAGGAATTGTTTTTTCTCTTCTGAGCAAAGTAGCTTTGATCACATTAACAGCGATGATAAATCATGATCAGCAAAAATTTCTTGATGGCTCCACCCAAAATTTTTCACAAAATTAGGTATGAGGGGGTGTTAAATGCAGCTGTGGCCCCTACATAAATATACAGAAACTAGCACAGGGTTTTATTGACAGACCGAGTTACAAAAGAAGGTTAGTCCAAAAAATGGAAGCTTAAGAGTTTCTTATCTTTAAGGTTTTCCTGTTGTCTTTGAAAAAGTCATCAACATTAAGCATTCAATGACTTGTCTTGAAAAAGCTATAAGAGTTAGAGTGATCATTGATTTATGTCAACTCAGTTCATTGATTAAGATCTGAAAAAACAGCGGACCTAGAGGGTAGGTTTGCGCATCAACGTTAAAAGAACCACATACATTTCTTGGCATTTCTCGCAACAATAATAATTTGAAATAAAGTCAAATCTTGAGGTTCTATAACACAGCATGTTTTTATGACAAAGCTTGGATGGAGCTATGGCAAAGCTTTTATATAAATTACAGGACCAGCGAAACGTATTTAAAAGTGGGGGGAGGGGGCAAAATATCACTGTCTTGAAATGGCTTAGACAAGGCCGCCATCATGGTTGGCGCAAGAAATTTTTAGAATTATGGTGTCTGTATCTAAAATGAATTTTGACTGAAGGTGTCGCATAGCTTCGTCTATTGTGATGTTGATTTGAAATATAAAAAGTCTTGCACATTTTAGAATAACCACTATCGCATAGCTCGTAATGAAACAATTTTTAGATTTTAAGATTTAAGCACCCAAAACAAGATGAGGAAAAATAAAAGAAACACGGTTTGATAAAAAATGATTTTTTTATACAATTTATAATTGCGTCTCCATTTTCTCTTTCTTAGTAGGAGTGGATTATCCAAACGATCAAACTTTGGAGTTTTCTTGATGATACTTTTTGAGAACACATCTGCCCATACTTTACTTCTCAAATCCTCAGAAAAAGTTCTTTCCAGCTGATTATTTTTCTTCAACATCTAATTTCTTTTTTTGTAATGTTTCTGAAAAAGTTTTCGTTAACAAACATTTTTACAATAGTGAAAACTCACTGATTTAGACTAACATAAAGCAATTTCAAGGTTTGCATTAAACAGATTACTTACTACAAACCGAGCACGCGCATTTGTTTTCAAGGAACCAAGTTTTGAACAAATTCTTGAATTGTCTAGTATTTTGTGCTGTCTTTATTGATTCTGGGAGTGAATTCCAGATTTTAGTTTAGTGATAGTGACTTTGGCATTCTGTGTGCTTTGGCGTAACGGAGGCATCTGGGGCCCTAAGCAAAAAACTTCTACGAGGCTTCTATTCACAGAGAGCAAGAACATCACATTGAATAGTGTAGAGCAGGTGAAACACAATAGAAAAAGATGAAAATGAGAATTATTTTCTCGTTAGCTAGGTGGAACTGAGTTTTAGAGCTTCAGTTGAAGAACTTTCAAAGCTTTCAAAAGTTATTTGAACTTGAACAAAACTTTAAAGATATAGACGTAAAAGCATCTTGGGCCATTTTTAGCCGGGGGCCCTTGGTTATCAAATTAAGGCAATGTTTTCAACCACTGTATCACAACACATTAGTGTGGTGTGTCGTGGAAAATTCTCTAATTTCACTCAATTGGTCTATAAAATTGAAAAAGATTAATAACTATCCGCAAATAATGTGTTGTGGCCCGTGATTAGAGTATGCAAGTGTGAATTCTAACCCTTCGACAGAAATTATCATAAAGATTTGCTCCTTCTACAAATATATTATGTTTCTGACCTCCTAGCAAAGAAAAACAATCTGTTCAATAATCACAAGAATAGACAGGTAAGCAGAAAAGTGTATGAACTGCTGAAAATGATGCACATCATGTTCACAAAAAGATATCGATAAAATAGTAGATATATTTGGTCGCTGTCGTGGAAGAGATTCGCATTTTTAATGAAAATGTGTGAAGTTTTAAAAATACTTATTAGTCAACATTATTTTAATGGCGTTGCATTTTAATAATTTCTTAACTAATTTTAGAAGCTCACATGTGTTAGAGTATAGTCCGTAAAAATTTGGGCGTTATTATTTTTCGGGCAATGATTTAAGAAAAATGGTACATGTTTTAGTTAGTGCCTTTCACAGGATCCTATTAGATGAGTGGTGGATTGTTTTTTGCAAACTACGATCTGTTTTATCATATCAAGAGAGTGCTTTCGTTGATGATTTATTATTAAAAATGCAAATGAAAACGACTCTCCTTCCATTACCTTTAAAGTTGTTTCTATGATTCATAGTTAGATACACATCCATGTTAATACCCGGTTAAAATACTCAGTGATGCGGCTAAAAATATAATAGGGAGGGGGATAGCTTTTTTAGCATAAAATCTAGGCCGCAGTTTTTCCACGACGTGGAAAAAATTCACCACCTAGACAGCTGAGAATTGATCTCACTGGACAAAAAGGGCTTTGAAATAATGTATCAAAATACATCATTAGTATACATTGCTAGACTGTCATAAGGATTTGACTTGACCTTTCAACTTGCATTGTCCACTCCATGTTATGTAAAAGATTTTATTTTCGAAAAAAATCAATAAGAGAATAAGAGGTTTTGATGTAAGACTTTTGAATAATGCTGATTATTGTGAATAATGCCAGGGGATGGATCAGCTTTTCAAAGAGGTGTAAACTTACCTGCAAAATCTCTAACGACGCAAGGTAGTTATTAACAAAGGACAAGGAGAGGCACAGGAGGACGGTTGAAAAAGTTTCTGCTTGCTTTTCGCCTTTTTGTTTCTTGTCAGCGAGAATGAAAACTCTCGATGGCCTTTCCCACAGCTAGGCCAATCTATCTTTTGCTTTATAGAAACTATTTATGGTTCACAAGAGCATTGCATCGACTCTGAAACAATCTATTTAACGATTCATCAACAACAATCTATCTATTTAATCATCTATCTACCTATCTTAATGCCTATTGATTTTTTCTCCGTGTATCGCTTTTCGGGCCCTGTTACTATTTATTGCTGTAAAATTGGTTTAATTGAAATAAACCGTGGAAAACAAAACAAAGAGAAAAAAAGACATACAAATGACGATGTTTTTGATAAAAATAACCCTTTGAAACACAAGGACAGATAACATGAATCTTTAACCTTTAATAAAAAACCAACTGTAAACACTTGCATAATAAACCTGACTTATGGTCTATATAATAAGTCTTCTTCATTAATCTGATCCACGCCTAAAAAATCTGCTAAGCCGATTTCGTTTTGGTTTCTCCGACCTCTTCTCCACAATTTGATGCAAAGCTGATATTATATTTTCAGCTTCCAGATTTCTCTTAACCTCATCTTCAAGACACTTCTCCAGTCTCTGCTTCTCAGCAAAATATTCTTCCAATTTTCTTTCGTACACCAAGCGAATCTTCATTTCACCATCGAGGTCCTTGACAGTTTCATTGTTCTTCTCTCTTAGAACAACGAGATCTCCTGTAACCGTTCGCAAATCTTTATCGAATTGCTCTTGAAGTTTTGTCTTCTCGGTTTCAACTTCACTAAGTTTTCTTTCAACATCTTTACATTTCTCTGATTCTTGTTGGAGCCTTCTCTGGATCAGTTCTTTTCCTATCAATGCCATTTGGAATTTTCTTTCAAAATCTTCATGAAGCTGTCTCTCCATATTCAACTCATCCAAAGCAAAACAACGCTCTAGTCTGAAGGCATCGATTTCTTTTCTGTGCTCTTTCAAAGCTGATCTGAAGATATTCAACTTCTTTGTCTGCTCTTTATATTCTTCCAAATCATGCTGCATACGAATATTGGCTTGCATCTCTTCCTTGAATGCCTTTTCAAATTCGTCTCTTTCTCTGATGATGTGTTCATTGTCTGCCTGAAGAAGATCAGCCTTCAATTCCATTTCCAGATTCTTCCCTGCCAGTGCATCCATGCATCTTCTAATTCCAGCAGATTTTGCCTTATATGCTTTCAGATCAGCATTGATCATTTTATATTTCTGGAGAAATCTCTTTCTTCGTGCCAGTTCTGCTGTCCTAGCATTTCCTCTTTGCATGGATGATTCACATTTTTCTTTTCCCTCGTTGCTTTTGATAATCTTATACAGCTTACCACAGCAGTTGCTCCAAGCTTCCAACTGGCTTTGTGCATCAATTTCCTTTTTGACTGCTTGTTGAAGTTTGCTCTGCAATTCTACATTCTTTTCTTCAGATTCTTTGAAATTTTCCAAAGTGAACTTGCGTTCAAATTCCAAAAACTCGACAAGGCTTCTTAACTCCTTTGTTTCTTCATCAAGATGCTTCTTTTCGTCGATGAGATCCACAATTTTGATTTCAATATGATCGAGAACTTTCTGCAATGCAATTCCATTATCAATTTTGAAATGGCTTCCAATTTTGGACAGAAAGCCTTTCAACAACTGAAGCTCTGCAATCTCATCAAAATATTGCTGAATGTTTGTCATTCTTCCTGGCAATATCTTTCCAACTGCCATATATTCCTCTGACTGTTGTTGCATTCTGCCATTTTCGTCATGTTCCTTAAAAGAAAGCTTTTCATCACTCACATCAACACCATCTTCATTTTCATCATCCACAACGATAAATTCGCCATCAGAATCCTCTTTCTTTCCTTCTTGAATGTTCTGCATTTTCGCCTCTTCACTTCCGGAAGCAGTTTCTTTTTCACTCATGTCTTCTCTTTCGCCTTCTTCCAGATCTTGTTTCCCACTTTCAAAGCTTTTGATACGCTCTTCCAAAACCATGACTTCTTTTTCTTTTGCCGCCATACCTTGAGCAAGAATCAAGCATTCATTTGCAAGTTCTTCATTTTCAACCAACAAGAGCTTTGCCTCTTCTTTCAACTTGACATATTCTTCTTCATTAATGCCATTTTTTTTGCTCAGTTCCCGATCTTGACTCCCACTTTCAAGGCTTTTGATACGCTCTTCCAAAACCATTACTTGCTTTTCTTTTGCCTCCATACCTTGAGCAAGAACCAAGCATTCATTTGCAAGTTCTTCATTTTCAACCGACAACAGTTTTGTTTCTTCTTTCAACTTGATATTCATATCCTCGAGGTCTTTGATAAACGGAAAGTTTACCTAAAAGAAAGATACTTCAGTAATTTGTTTTTATTATTTCGGTTCATGGATATTGTTGTTTCAAGAGCTCCAAAGGAGACAAAATGTTATCTATTCCCGATGAATTTGTGTTTTCTTCAAAAAATTAATCATAATTTTTTACGACATTTCAAGGCAAAGTTGAAGATTTTGAACTTGCAGTTACTTTTTAAAAAGTTACATCGAATTTATTTTTCGATGAATAGATTATTGAAATGATACTGGGTGCATGCATTAATGAATTTTCAAAATCTCTCTTGGTTACTAATCCATAAGCTTTAAGACAGTAGCTGTCATTTCATTAGAGGAACTAGCCATCAAGAAATCTTACGGCAGGAAATCTATCAATCTTTCTTTCCACAGTTGCACTGCCGCTCAATTCGAATGAGGTCTATTTCCAATGAAGTTGAATTATGAATATTGTCAACAAATTTTTATTGCATGTTTCAAAAGGCTGGTATCATCTTATTGCTATTAATAACACTCGATAATATCTTGCTTTAAAAAGTGTATATAAATGACATATATGTTATGAGATATGAGTCTTTTGAGATTCAAAACCTTTAAATCGAGAACTGCTGGAAAATTCAATGAATAAAATAACATTGCGATTTTATTCAGCAAAATAGCTTTAAGTAATCCCAAAATACTCACTTGCAACTCTTGAAAAGAAATTTTGAATCTATTCTTCTTTAATTGATCTATCTTCTCTTTAAGCATTGCCAATTCTTGTTCCTTATCTTTTAAGCAACATTGCAGCATCAAGCACTCCTTTGCAAGCTGTTGCTTCTCACCAAATAACAGGTCCAGTCTCTCTCTCATCACACCATTTTCTTCGATGAGGTTCTTGGTCCAGTTCGTTTGTGGTGGTTCATTTGTCTTCTTCAAGTTCTCAAGTTGACTTGCATCTACAAAGAAAATATAATTAGATTGCTCTGAAAATTCTTCTTCAACTTTCTGATCGACTCAACAGTGTAATTTCTCAGCTTTGTAGTCAGTCTTCGTATAAAACTTACATTTCTCGACCACATCTTCGAGATGCTCCAACCTCTCTTTAAGCTCTTCGATTTCCTTGTCTTTACACTGAAGCTTTCGCTGTTGCAGCTCTGTTTTGCGTACCAGTGCATCCGTATTTATCAAGGTAAGACCACTGTCTGCCCCTAATAAGCTCAGAAAACTACTGCTTTCTAGTTTTTCCTCCATTGTGACAACTTTCACTCGCAATAATCAGCTCCGACTAACTCTAAATCAGCCAAACTAGTTATGGTGATGAAGACTCATTGCTCCGCAAATTTATATGTTATCAATTGTTTGTGACGTCAGATTAATGTGACGCTGCGATGTCGGGACTGGACCGATATTTTTAATTGCAGTTACAAAATAAATTCAATTTCGTTTAAATCAGGAATCAGGATGAAAACGAATACTGATAATTTTGACAGAGAAATGGCGTTTCCTTACGGCCAGTAGTCATATTAGTTGAAAATGGTACCCATGAATATGACGGAAATATCCAACTGAATATAAATACACTTCACAAATGCAAACCAAAACTGGACAAGCCGCTTCACCAATAACGGACTACACCATAATTCATTCTCGAAAATTAGATAACACAAGCAAATTGCCCAATCCACATACAAAAGTCACTTTCCCACAATCATACTCTGGACCATTTTATCTAATTTCTGATAAATCTATTACAAACTCAAATCATTTCCAATACTTAGCAAAATCACAAAAGCATGTCAAACCTATCCATATCTCATATCAAAATAGAATGTTATCAAATCCGGACAACACAGCATCCAATCTCATACTGTATCAAACACGAAAAACACTGCAATCTCACAGAAAAGAAAAGAGCTGGTCTACAAAATAGGTGACTCTATGAATAAAAACCTAGAATGCCATAGGATGTCAAGAAGAATATTTATAAAGACCCACTCGATATCTTGAGTGATATCCGAAGATGCTATACATTATGTTAAAGCTATTTTGACAATAAATCGTGACGAAATCATAATAAACTTTGGCACTAACGATATTGCATCAAAATCTAAAACAATAGACAACTAAGAGAAGTCCTCTACAAAATTCAACATAGCAGTCAGCATACACGTCATTACAGTCAGCTTATCTCTATCAGTATGATTTTATTTGCTTTTGCATTTTTAATCGATAGAACGATAAAATCCTGTCTGACAGCAAAATAGTAGCAAAAACGTTGAATAATCACTTCGTAAATATTACTGAAAATCTCAATATAGCCCGACCTTTATCTGATAATGTACAACAGACGTGTGACGAAAGGACAGCCTCGTCAATATTTAAAAAACCAATAAAACGTTTTATGCAAACAATCTTTTGGTGGTACAAAACTTGTGAATGGCTTTGAAAAAAGCAAACATTTAGTAAACTAAAGCTTTTCGTCTGACACTCTTCAGGGTTTAAAACGTCAGACCATAGATCGAAAACTCTACGCTAGGAAATATATATCGAAAACTCTACACTAGGAAATGTACCAACTTTAAATAAAGAAAGTAAAGAAAAAAAGCCTAGAGAGGCAGAGATTAGCAGTGTCCAATAAGAAACTGATGTTATGTAATTGTTTTGTTTGTTGCAGCGCTAATGCCTAGTTTCATATATAAGAATCAATCGGCAATGGTTGTTGATCAGTGCCTCGCCATTCTTGAAATATTTCAGACCGGCGAAACGTATTTAAAAGTGGAGGGACCAAAATATGAATGTCTTGTAAGGATTAGGAAAGGCTGCCACCATGGTTGGGGGCAAGAAAAATTCTAAAAATGGGGTATCTTAGGGATGGCCAGAAACTGTATCTAATAAGGAAAATCCGGGGCAATATATTTAAGCTTTGTTTAATCAACATGTCCCATAGTCTCGTCTTCTTTAATGTTGACTTGAAATAGAAAATGTCTTGAAAAGTTTTAGAATAACCTTTATAGTGTAGCTCGTAATGAACTTTACTTTTTAGATTCTAAAAGCACCCAAAATTTAACGAGAAGAAAAATAAATGAAACACGTTTTATTAAAAAACATAATCATTCAAATATCAACAGATGAACTATCAACTAAAAATATAATATTAAGCAATTTTGTACAATTGGGATATTATTTTGTAACATCTGGTCTTAAACTTTTCAGAAATAAAGAGCTTTGAACAAAAAAGGCTCTAGATTTGAAAACTTTCATACTGAGCTGGTAAAGTGAGTTTTAATAAAATTTATAATTGCGTCTCCGTTCATTATAATTGATTTTCAAAAATCGAGTATAACTTCCGGCAATACTATCGTTAGCTTTCGAGAATATTAGTCAGTTCAGCATTGCAGTAAATGAATGTATTCAATTGAAAATGTCAAATGCGTAGATAATGCAAGAACGTTATCAGATTGTCCATTTTCATGGCCATCAAGAGTTAAAAAACCAGTAACTATTTTCAACTGCATCAATCAACATTTGTTCTGCAATACGTCAGTACAAAAGGTCGTCAAGAAAGAAATTGTTGTAAAGACATTTTTAGCATTGCCTTGAGTATCGCAGATGCAGTGCACATCCTGGCAACAGTTTTAGGAAGTGTTTTGGTACCCTCAGACCAGCTGTACCTCATTTTCTAACTGCAAAACCAACAAAAAAGGATTATTCACAGAGTGATAGGTATTGATTTCATCATGTTTTTATAAACAAAGGTGTTGAAGGAGACAATGATGAAGAACAAGCAAACTGGCAAAGCATTTCTCCTAGATGGACTTTTCTGCATTTTATGGATTATTGTAATTATTGTTATTTTAATTAATGTTCATTTTATGCTTTTGATATGGTGAATTTCTATATAGGATTTCCGAAGTAGGGACTGTTGTCACATAAGATCTCTTCGGTTAAGTTTAATAATTCACAAAACTTGGTTTATAGCCGCACAAATATTTAATACTGCAAAATTTGTTATCGTAAATGTCGGCACATACCCAAAACCTAATTTATTTGATAGAAATATATTTTAATGCATTCAAAGAGGCTTCTGTTTTTCTCGTTGAACATTTTGTTAAAGAGTCTGGGGCGGACTGGCTCCAAATTTAGGGCCCGGGCCATTTCGTCAAGAAAGGGCCCCAAAAATCAAAAATAAGTTTACGGGTATCCCCAAAGTTGCTTGTTGCATCAATTTTTTACACTGGCTTAAAACTTTATTGGAATATTGCTATTAATTCTAATTAGTAACCACCAGGGATGTAGGCGTAGGTGGACAAAAAGTTACAAGGGTGATCTACAATCCTTACTCCAGGTCAGCATCATTTTCTTCTGCAAAATTTCATTCTGACGTAGGATAAGAGATAAGAGAAAATCATGACATTGCGTAGGAAAAAATTATTGTTTTCTAGCTAAAGGACTTTTAAAGGGGGGCCTCAGTGATAAAAAACGGCAAATGGTATTGAGAGGGGTCACCTTTCTCGATCTGGTACCCAGGGTAGAACTTAATGAAATATCTAATTTATTCAAGAAATTTCTAAGTTATTCAGGAAATCTTAATATGTAATTTTTTAGCCAAAACATAATAAGGTTTCATGTTTTTCCGATAATTGGTTGAGCAGCTAGGTTACATTAGTAACATAAACAAGGCTGACGAAATGTTAATGAAAGTGGGGGTGGGTCGATATGTTTAGATTGTTCAGGGCTTAAATAAAGGCCACCACTATGATAAGGAATTCTGACCGAATTCAAGAAAAGTGTCGAAAAATGACATTATAGAGATGGCCAGAAACGCATCAAGAATATTTGCCACATCAAGCTTGTCGACATGACAATCCTGGGCAATACATGTAAGCTTTCACTTACAATAATGCCCCATCCCCTTAAACTTTCCAAGTACCAAAAAGCCAAGATGTTATTCTCAGCTTTTAGCGACAAGCCCAGCATATTGAAGACAGTAAATAAATGTTTTCAGTAAGAAACTTTCAAGAGTAACGAGTCATTCCTCTTTATGTTTAGATATCAATTCATGTCTACATTTCTATGAGCATAGAGCTTGTAAGGCATCTAAAACTTCCAGTTCTATCTCATTTCTTTTTCTTGTTTAGTTTACAATGGGAGACATTTAAAACTTATTCATTTTTATGCAGGCCCGTAGACTGCTAAACTGGATTGGGGGAGGGGGGTGCATGGAAAGAAATATAGCTATTTTTTGTACCTGCCTTACGAAATATTGTTTGACATCCAAATTGTAAATGTCTTTTGTTATTATTAATTTGTAACATGTCATTTGCAACATTTAATGTAACTCTCTTTTGAAGCAAATAGGTTTAATTTAATGGCCACAGGGTTGCTATGTATTTCCATGCTCCTTGTTGTATCGTCTTGTAGTTGTCAAATTTTTGAATCAAAAACTAGCACAGTTAGACCATGCCAATGGCAAAATTTTGCCGAAGAAATGCACCAAAATTTGGCGCAAGTACCGAAATTTATGCCTAAGATCTTTGGTGAATTATTCATGTTTATACTGAAGGAAAGTATGGATGTACTGGAGAAAATATTTTATCAGAGCTGTGGGGGTTGAGCCTTTCTGCTGTTTTGATCTATACTCTCAAATCTATTTGGTTAGCATCAAAATAATGTACCTTCCTAGAAATTGAGTCACAAAAATAGTCATGAAAACATTTAAACTGATGACCCAAAGAGAAAATTTATCAGATTTTGGAATTTCCTTTTAGGTATCGTATTATTGCATTGGGGACAGTGAGCCCTGGGCCAAGGATTCTCCTTTCTTACATGGGGCCCCAAATTTTGAAAAATGCTTTTCAGTACTAACATAGTAAGTGATATTTCTATTTATTCTGTATCCACTAATCTTGGGAGAGTGTTATGGCAACAGAAGAGGGCCCCTTCCAAACAATACGCAAACAAACAGTATTTAATAGCAAAATTAAGAAAAAATTATAATAACTTTGGGAGGGTCCGCCCGGTAGCCCGACCGGCCAGTCCGCCCCTGCAAGCAAACATTCATAGGCAGAAAACGCGAATGGAAAACCATGCCTATCCCATTACAGTCCTCCTTTTATATTATCAAATAAAAACTCATTTGAAAAAAGTGAGGCTTGTTTATTTTGAAATGGACGTGATGATATAATATATCCCGCCAAATCTCCATTTCTGAGCAGTTACTATAACACAAACATAGAATTGCCAGGAAAGACGTCATGTGATGCTCCATTTTTTATTCGTGTATAGATTTTCATGCATATTTGCAATTGGGTAAATTCGATATTGTTGAATATATTGATATCTAGCACTGCAGGGGAGCATTGCATCGACTCTGAAACAATCTATTTATCGATTGATCAACAACATTCTATCTATTTAATCATCTATCTGCCTATCTTAATGCCTATTGATCTTTTCTCAATGTATCACTTTTCGGCCGTTTTTCTATTTATTGCTGTAGAATTGGTCTTGATTGAAATAAACCGTGGAAAACCAGATACACTGAAAAAGAAGAGACAAAAAACATACAAATGACGATGTTTTTGATAAATTAACCTTTAAAAACACAAGGACAGATAACATGAATCTTTAACCATTAATAAAAAACCAACTTTAAACACCTGCATAATAAACTTGAGAAAGGTCTATAAAAAAAGTCTTCTCCTCTAATCTGATCCACGTCTAAACAATCTGCTAAGTCGACTTCGCTTTGGTTTCTCTGACTTCTTCTCCATAATTTGATGCAAAGCTGATATGATATTTTCAGCTTCCAGATTTCTCTTAACCTCATCCTCAAGACACTTCTCCAGTCTCTGCTTCTCGGCAAAATATTCTTCCAATTTTCTTTCGTACACCAAGCGAATCTTCATTTCACCATCGAGGTCCTTGACAGTTTCATTGTTCTTCTCTCTTAGAACAACGAGATCTCCTGTAACCGTTCGCAAATCTTTATCGAATTGCTCTTGAAGTTTTGTCTTCTCGGTTTCAACTTCACTAAGTTTTCTTTCAACATCTTTACATTTCTCTGATTCTTGTTGGAGCCTTCTCTGGATCAGTTCTTTTCCTATCAATGCCATTTGGAATTTTCTTTCAAAATCTTCATGAAGCTGTCTCTCCATATTCAACTCATCCAAAGCAAAACAACGCTCTAGTCTGAAGGCATCGATTTCTTTTCTGTGCTCTTTCAAAGCTGATCTGAAGATATTCAACTTCTTTGCCTGCTCTTTATATTCTTCCAAATCATGCTGCATACGAATATTGGCTTGCATCTCTTCTTTGTATGCCTTTTCAAATTCGTCTCTTTCTCTGATGATATGTTCATTGTCTGCCTGAAGAAGATCAGCCTTCAATTCCAAATCCAGATTCTTCCCTGCCAGTGCATCCATGCATCTTCTAATTCCAGCAGATTTTGCCTTATATGCTTTCAGATTAGCATTGATCATTTTATATTTCTGGCGAAATCTCCTTCTTCGTGCCAGCTCTGCTGCTCTAGCATTTCCTCTTTGCATGGATGATTCGCCTTTTTCTTTTCCCTCGTTGCTTTTGATAATCTTATACAGCTTACCACAACAGTTGCTCCAAGCTTCCAACTGGCTTTGTGCATCAATTTCATTTTTGACTGTTTGTTGAAGTTTGTTCTGCAATACTATGTTCTTTTCTTCAGATTCTTTGAAATCTTCCAAAGTGAACTTGCCTTCAAATTCCAAAAACTCGACAAGGCTCTTTAACTCCTTTGTTTCTTCATCAAGATGCCTCTTTTCGTCGATGAGATCCACAATCTTGATTTCAATATGATCGAGAACTTTCTGCAATGCGATTCCAGTATCAATTTTGAAATGGCTCCCAATTTTGGACAGAAAGCCTTTCAACAACTGAAGTTCTGCAACTTGATCAAAATATTGCTGAATATTTGTCATTCTTCCTGGCAATATCTTTCCAACTGTCATATATTCCTCTGGCTGCTGTTGCATTCTTGCATTGTCATCATTTTCTTTCAAGGAAAGCTTTCCAGCACTCGTATCATCGTCTCCTTCACTTTCATCATCAACAACGATAAATTCGCCATCAGAATCCTTCTCCATTCCTTCTTGAATGCTCTGTATTTCCGACCCTTCACCATCTGAAGCAAGTTCTTCTTTCATGTCTTTTCTTTCACCTTCTTCCAGATCTTGACTCTCACTTTCAAAGCTTTTGATACGCTTTTCTAGAACCATGACTTTTTTTGTTTTTGCCTCCATACCTTCAGCAAGAATCAAGCATTCATTTGAAAGTTCTTCATTTTCAACTGACAAGAGCGTTTTCTCTTCTTTCAACTCTACATACTCTTCTTCATTTATGCCATATTTTTTGCTCTCTTCCTGATCTTGACTGCCATTTTCGAGGGTTTTGATACGCTCTTCCAAAACCATGACTTCTTTTGCTTTTGCCTCCATACCTTGAGCAAGAACCAAGCATTCATTTGCAAGTTCCTCATTTTCAACTGACAAGAGCTTTGTTTCTTCTTTCAACTTTATGTTCTCGTCCTCAAGATCTTTGATAAACGGACAACTTTCCTAATAAGAGAAACATTTGTAAATTATTAGTATGAATTTGAATCATGGATTGGATATATTGTTGTCTCAACATCTACAAAAGGGGGAAAGAATTTTTTCTTCGAGTGTTGTCTGTCATAAAGAAATTCACCACGTTACTTCGGACACATTGTGTCATGTTAGTTATTTAATTTTTATTCCAATTGGCAAAGTTAGTGTGATTTAGTTTTGATCATTAAATCGATAAATATAATATAGATTAAGCTTAAACAGCTTTGATAACTGAATTCTAGAATATATTGAAGGCTCAAAACCTTTAGATAAAGATGTCATGTTAAAATAACTAGAATTGCGTTTTCATTCAGCAAATTATTCTTTTAATCTCAAAGACCCACTTGCAACTCTTGAAAAGAAATTTCGAATCGATTCTTCTTTAACTGATCCATCCGCTCTTTAAGCATTGTCAATTCTTGTTCCTTATCTTCTAAGCAACATTCCAGCATCGAGCACTCCTTTGCAAGCTGTTGCTTCTCACCGAATAACAGGTCCAGTCTCTCTCTCATCGCACCATTTTCTTCGATGAGGTTCTTGGTCCAGTTCGTTTGTGGTGGTTCATTTGTCTTCTTCAAGCTCTCAAGTTGACTTGCATCTTCAAAGAAAACAAAAAAAACCATAAAACGAATGCTCAAGCAAACATCTTGGAAAAACCTCTAGACTTTTTTCATTAAAATATTTTCCACTCATTTTCTTGAGTGCAATCAATAAAGCAAAGTGAGTTTTCAATCAAGTGCATTCTTTTCTTCTATTCATTAAATTTCTGATCAACTCAACAGTATACTATTCCATCTACGAAATAAGTCTTAATTAAAACTTACATTTCTCGACCACATATTCAAGATGCTCCAATCTTTCTTGAAGCTCTTCGATTTCCTTGTCTTTGCACTGAAGCTTTCGCTGTTGCAGCTCTGTTTTGCGTACCAGTGCATCCGTATTTATCAAGGTAAGACCACTGTCTGCCCCTAATAAGCTCAGAAAACTACTGCTTTCTAGTTTTTCCTCCATTGTGACAACTTTGACTCGCAATAATAAGCTCCGACTAACTCTAAATCAGCCAAACTAGTTATGGTGATGAAGACTCGTTGCTCCGCCAATTTATATGTTATTAATTGTTTGTGACGTCAGATCAATGTGACGTTCGGAGACTGGAAAATAGTAAATGAAGTTTCGAGGTTGAACTATAATCTAAATCAATTTTCCGACTATCAATATCTTTTGGAGATTTAGATTATTACTAAAACTGGGACTGTTCTCTAGCTCTTATACTTCTAACTTCAATTAATAGATTTTCGAAAAGCATATAAACCTTATTTTGTATACGGTTCTAAAATCTGGCTATTACTTAATTTTCAAAAACCATCTGTATCAGAACAACATAGTGGACGGATTAATGTCAGGTATGAATGTCATCGTTGTTCATTATATTTGTAACACTTTAGTTCCATTGAATTTAGATTTTATTTGCCTCAAGCTTTACATTAACTACAAAATAGTTTATCGTGAGAAAATTTCAAACAAATGTTTTGAAGAAATTTTCTTCGACAAAATTCAGAATGAGACGAAATTTGGTCACAACGAAATTTTTTGCCTTTGAGATCTTTGAGAATTCGCATAGAAAAACTCTTACATGAGGTTAGGAATAAAATCAGTGTATCCTGTTTATCTTTTCAATGTCAACTACGTCCTTTTCCTCGTTTACAAAGTCTCCATAATTATCTTTACCGTCGGCATCATGATCATCATCATCATTGTCGGTTCTTTAACATTGTTCAATAAAAATAGTCCTTAGTTGCGTAGCGAGAGGGAGGCAAGAGAGGTGGGTGCCAAAAAAGTTGCCAAAAATATATTGGGAAAGGGGCGTTTTGTGGCATTTTAAAGGGTGTGGACGCACTTCTGCCCAACTCCCCCTCCCCCCCAATCTTACTACCCTGGCTATCTGTTCAGACTGTCTATTGCCGCCGGTTTCAAAAGAAGATTCTACCTCTGTATTGTTTTCTCAACTTTACTATTTCTTTCATTCGTTCAAGGTATTTGCATTTTTCAGCCCAAATTTTGAACTCAACAGGAAGCAAACTTTCCAGACCAACATTTCCTGTTGGAGATGGTCTTATGCTTTCCGAATCTTATACTTATATTCACACTTTTACTTTTAATTATATTCCCTCTATAAACTGTCATACCATTTAGATATAGAGAAGAGACGCTTTGAATGCTAAATGCATCTCTGTTGGCCCCGCCTTTGCATAAACTGAGTAAATAACCGCTTTAGTTTGGTTTTTCTGACATGATGCCTGGAGTGTTGAGCCAAATTCTGAACGGGTGATCACGCCTCTAAGTCTCCATGAAGTCGGTAGCTATGAGATTGAGTATAAAGCAACCTGTATGGTTTTTTCTATGAAGATTTTGGCAATCTGTCGCAAATCCATGAAAAAAGTTTGTCACGAAGAAATTCTGAAAAGATGTCCCGAATTTTTTTCGACCAAGTTTATCCGCCGAAAATTTATCTGACGAAAATTGTTATTGTTAATGTATGTTCGGAAACAAACCATCTCGGAAAATTTTTCAACCAGGGGTACAACCAGGCTGTGTTTTTCCTGGGATCAACTTCAAAAATTTCACAAGAATAGTGTATAAAGATTCCTTTGCAGCAAAGCACTAAAATTATGCGGGGTTTTTTCAAAGATTGCTTTTTTAGATAAGCAGATAGATATGGCTCTTGAAAATTCACGGAATAAAACCCAGGACTAATGGAGGGTGTAAAAGGGTCCCATTTGATTTTACATACCATCTAGCACTAAATGGGTTAGAGAAAGTGGCAGGGAGACTCCGAACTATGTTATGCCATCCGGAAGAGTATCAAAGATTTTCCTGGGCCACCTGTTACTACATGAACTTTTACCCATACAAAGAAATATTCTCGTTATGGTGAAGCTCATTTTCAAGTATGCGATGATTAGTGATAGTTTTAATTCTAAGGTATCCAAGGTGCCTTGGAATCTCCAGTCCCAAGAAGGTGTATCTTCGTCACTATATACTAGAAATAGCTCTTGCTAGTACTGCCCGCAAACAATTAGTTCCTTGATAATGATTGTTTTGAAAATTTAGGTCAGGATATTCGAAGAAGACACCATCTTGGGTTTTCACAATTTTTTAAAAACAGCTGCTCTAGTTGATGCTAAACTATTCTTTTTATCAAGAATTTTTGGTGTTCAGTTTGCCTTTGATTTAAGTCCAACGCCCTTTTGAAAATCATGAAAGTTTTTCAAGGGTTTGACATTTATTTTTCGATAATCACGCCAATCATAACTTTTGCTCGTACGGTCTCGAGTTTTTGGGAGAAAGGTGTGGCATTCGACTGGTTTTGATTCCCAAAACTTCGAATCAAAACTTCCATCCATTGCGGAGAACCGAGCTGTGATGCAGCACCGTTTTCGTGCCAAAAAAACCAAAGGCCTTTAACAGAGTATTGGCAGAGCAACGCTCCGAAGATAATTCCCTTCCGCACAAAGAGGTGGCGGTTAACGACCTCCTCGACAAAGCCGATTGATTGACAATGAAATTGATTGACAGTTGTCATGGCAGCAGAAAAGTGACAAAATCTGCTGACAAAGTACTGACAACATGAACTGAAGCTTCCATATGCTACTTATACGCGGGGCAGACTATAAGCCCTTCACTCGCGCGCTATCGCGCGCGAGTTGCGGGCAATAACACTTTTTGAATAGAAGGATTGCAATACTTTTGAATGAATAGAAGGGCTCTCCTTGTACTCTATACAATGCAACAGCAATGAAATATTTTGTAATGGCCTGTTTAACCTGACTTTCAAATCGTAAGGAAATGCTACCAATCCATAGTAGTTTCAGATAAACTGGCCACTTTAGTGGACCAGACTGTTATGTGAAGCAACATAAATGGCGTCACGTTTCGGTCAATTAGCAGAGTCAGGTTTTCGTTTTTTCCAATAGCTTTAGTTTTGATAAAGATAAAATTGAAAAGCATTTTTGTGTAGACAGAAGGACTTCGTTTACACCCTTGGACTCTTGGACTCCATCTTCTATAGGCAAGCAGCAGGTATTGGGCACCTTCAGCGGTCATGTGCTCGCATTGCTGATGGACCTATCGATTTATAACTGGGTACATGAGCTCCTTGCTTGCTTAGAATTGTCGACCTTTATCTTTACGGTCAAAACTGTAAAGCTTTACAAATGTTTGACAAAAAACTTCATGTGCCTTAAAACTTTATGTGTACTATTTAAGACCATGAACATCTAATTGTATGTTTACAATACACATAACAGATATTTTTACTTCAAAAATTAACTTGTCATTTGCTGAACCCCCCCTTTTTTTGATGCCCCCCGAAAGAAGCTTTTGACGATGTAAATCAGGACATTCTGTGCAGAAATGATTTTAGTATACGACATCAAGAACTGTGGCCTCGTTTAGATCCTATCTAGAGGACCGACTAGAGAGATATTAACATGGGTGTACCCCAGGGCTCACGCCTTAGTCCTCTTCCATTTTCGGTTTACATCAGTGATCTCCAACCAGATACTGAAAACTAGATACAAAGAAAAAGTTTCAATGTACGCTGATGACACTATTCTTTGCGATCAATCATCCTATATCACTCAATAAAATGCAGGGGTGGATCCTTAACAAATTTTAAGTGGAAGCAGTTGAAAGTGGGGGGGGGGGGCGCTGAAACTTTTCATAAATTGATGACGAGAGTACGCTGTATACAACATACTCCGACCCTAACTATTGACAGAAGGACCTTATTCACGTTCTATGAAAATAATTATGATACAATTATATCAAAGCAATGATATTAAGTCTTAGCGTGGCTCTCTAAAACTTTGTGTTTTGTTATAAAAATGTTCCTGTAAACAAACTTGTATATATACGAGGCTTTCTATCTGCTTTGCTTTGCTCCAGAGGCGGACTGGAAAGCTCTTACTTCAGGGGAAATTCAACTTCAAGGACCTTGCATGTCCCTGTCCCGAAAATCTTCGCCACAAGTTCACTGAAAGATCCATGATTTCAGAGTATAGGATAACCATCCAGAATCCCAATCCTAGCGACCCAGGGCTTTGTCAATCCGTGTTAATCAATCAATCTTCGTGCATCCTTGTACTTTAAAATCATGAATGAGTACCTTGTGCCGCCGAAAAACCGTCGTAACCTTGCCCGATTTAGAAGGTTTTACCCAACCCATTCTGCTTATCTACCCCAAAATCATCTTCTTAATGTTTTTTCCGGAAACCTTTATCTCTTCAATTGCCCTCTCACGCTGGGCCTCAGAAAAATATTAACTTAATTCACACTCATAAAATGGGACACAAAATTTTCAAAAAGGACCTACTTCAACTAGCTGAAGGGGGGCAACTGCCCCCTAGTCTATATCTATAAATAGTTCATTTTTCAGAAATAATTCAAGATGTCCGAACATTGAATTTAATTACTCGAGGCCATACTTATTGTTCTACAGTGTTAAATTAAACTTCAATCCTGACTGATCCTCTAACCTTTTTTGTCCATATTAACTTGACATTGGCTCCATTTTGTCCTTCTCGTCATCATCAAGACTTTCAAACACTTTTCTTCGTAGTTTCATTGCATGATACACAATTTATGTAAGTGAATTACTTTTAAGAAATCATTAGGGTAAAAGTTGCAGATTTTTTCTTTGAAATTAACCTTCCACGCATATGGGTTGAATACAAGCGTTTTACCTTATCATTTTTTGATTTCGGTACAGCAAAGTAGCTGGGTGCTAAATCTTTATCTAACTTCTTTTTTACCTCAAGAGAGTGGCTAAGACAACACTCTGTTTATGATGAAAAGGACAACTCAAGTGAATTTAGGTATACCCATATTAAAATGCTTGAGGGGACTGGGTATTTCATTTTTCAATTCATTCCCATAATAGTTCTCAAACCTTAAATTTAATCAGCGACGGGATTTCAAAATGATGAAAATTACTTCGTTTCTTTTTCGAAAATCTATCGTTAGCGGTAAGTACACAATTTATACGCTATGCAAGTTCTTTTAGACAATTTTAAAACCAAATGTACTGAGTATGCAGACACAAAAGCAAAACAGACAATGAATTCAATAGAACGCCATTTTCAAACGAATAAAGAGATCACAAGAACAAAATAAGAAATAACTGTAAAGAGTTGCATAATAAACCTAGCTAATGTTTTATATAATAAGTCTTCTCCTCTAATTTGATCCACATCTAAAAAATCTGCTAAGTCGACTTCGTTTTGGCTTCTCAGACCTCTTCTCCACAATTTGATGCAAAGCTGATATGATATTTTCAGCTTCCAGATTTCTCTTAACCTCATCCTCAAGACACTTCTCCAGTCTCTGCTTCTCAGCAAAATATTCTTCCAATTTTCTTTCGTACACCAAGCGAATCTTCATTTCACCATCGAGGTCCTTGACAGTTTCATTGTTCTTCTCTCTTAGAACAACGAGATCTCCTGTAACCGTTCGCAAATCTTTATCAAATTGCTCTTGAAGTTTTGTCTTCTCGGTTTCAACTTCACTAAGTTTTCTTTCAACATCTTTACATTTCTCTGATTCTTGCTGGAGCCTTCTCTGAATCAGTTCTTTTCCTATCAATGCCATTTGGAATTTTCTTTCAAAATCTTCATGAAGCTGTCTCTCCATATTCAACTCATCTAAAACAAAACAGCGCTCTAGTCTTAGGGCATCGATTTCTTTTCTGTGCTCTTTCAAAGCTGATCTGAATATTCTTCCAAATCATGCTGCATACGAATATTGGCTTGCATCTCTTCTTTATATGCCTTTTCAAATTGGTCTCTTTCTCTGGTGATATGTTCATTGTCTGCCTGAAGAAGATCAGCCTTCAATTCCAATTCTAGATTCTTCCCTGCCAGTGCATCCATGCATCTTCTAATTCCAGCAGATTTCGCCTTATATGCTTTCAGATTAGCATTGATCATTTTATATTTCTGAATAAATCTCTTTCTTCGTGCCAGTTCTGCTGCTCTAGCATTTCCTCTTTGCATGGATAATTCACCTTTTTCTTTTCCCTCGTTGCTTTTGATAATCTTATACAGCTTACCGCAACAGTTGCTCCAAGCTTCCAACTGGCTTTGTGTATCAATTTCCTTTTTGACTGCTTGTTGAAGTTTGTTCTGCAATACTATGTTCTTTTCTTCGGATTCTTTGAAATCTTCCAAAGTGAACTTGCCTTCAAATTCCAAAAACTCGACAAGGCTTCTTAACTCCTTTGTTTTTTCATCAAGATGCTTCTTTTCGTCGATGAGATCCACAATCTTGATTTCAACATGATCGAGAACATTCTGCAATGCAATTCCATTATCAATTTTGAAATGGCTCCCAATTTTGGACAGAAAGCCTTTCAACAACTGAAGCTCTGCAACTTCATCAAAATATTGCTGAATATTTGTCATTCTTCCTGGCAATATCTTTCCAACTGCAATATGTTCCTCTGACTGTTGCTGCATTCTGCCATTTTCGTCATGTTCCTTAAAAGAAAGATTTCCATCACTCACATCAACACCATCTTCATTTTCATCATCCACAACGATAAATTCGCCATCAGAATCCTCTTTCTTTCCTTCTTGAATGTTCTGCGTTTTCGCCTCTTCACTTCCGAAAGCAGTTTCTTTTTCACTCATGTCTTCTCTTTCGCCTTCTTCCAGATCTTGACTCTCACTTTCAAGGCTTTTGATACGCTCTTCTAGAACCATGACTTCTTTTGTTTTTGCCTCCATACCTTGAGCAAGAATCAAGCATTCATTTGAAAGTTCTTCATTTTCAACCGACAAGAGCTTTATCTCTTCTTTCAAATTTACATACTCTTCTTCATTCATGCCATCTTTTTTGTTCTCTTCCTGATCTTGATTCCCATTTTCAAGGCTTTTGATACGCTCTTCTAGAACCATGACTTCTTTTGCCTTTGCATCCATACCATCCGCTATAATCAAGCATTCATTTGCAAGTTCTTCATTTTCAATCGACAACAGTTTTGTCTCTTCCTTTAACCTAATATTTTCTTCTTGAAGATCATTAGCCAATAAGCAGTTCTCCTGCAACAAAAAAGCAGATGTTATTATAACCGACAACATAAGACAACATCTATGACTCCACTTAAAATGTCACCGATATAGGTTACTACACATCTCGTCACCAGCTGCACAAGATAGTGTGTAACGGCAGTTAGGATCAGTAAGCTTGTTAAACAGTTTGTTCCTTCGCAGACCTCTTGGATATTCAGCTGTTAAACTGTTGGGAGACAAAAATTTGCCGATGGGTTATTGATTAAATGGGGTTCGTATCCCGTACGCCCTTCTTCCCGGCCCCTTCCGATCGCATAACGCTGTTGAATGAAACATAATTTAACATTGGAGTTTTTATTTTTTTATTTTATTTTATAATATTTATACAGGTTAAAGGTTCACACATGTTTTTCAACCTGACCTGTTTAAAAGATTAAAATAAGAGCTAATAACTATGTTAAAATACTAGTAACAAAAGAAATTTACCAATCAAACCTAATTTACAATATTTAATAATACCAAGGCTATAAAAAGTGAGCATAAAGATGAAATAAAAGTTGTCCCCGACTATAGTTGTTCTTTGAAGGTTTTCAGGGAGGGGGCCAATTTGGTAGCCCTTTCTAGATTATTCCACAGTTTTGGACCGCGATAAGAAAAAGCCTCTTGGCCATTTATTGTTTTTAGCAGCGGTATTTTAAGATCAGTTTCTGATGAACGCAGAAACCGTTCTCTATCATCCGAACATTTTTCGAATAATTTTCTCAAGTAGTCTGGTGCAAGCATATTTAGAGATTTGTAAGTTAGTGTGGCTGTCTCCTTTCTTACAAGATTTCTGATGGTTAACCAGCCAAGATTCTGAATTATTGGAGCAGCAGACGCATCGTATGGGCTGCTAGTTACAATTCTGGCAGCTCTATTTTTGATTTTTTGCAACACGTCAAGCTTTGATTCAATACAGCAGCCCCAAACGGAACAACAGTAGCTCAAATGAGGCTCAACAATTCCTCTATACATTTTGTTGAGGATGTCATATGGAAGATATTTCTTAGAATACTTAAAAAGTCCAAGGGCTCGATTAGCCTTGTTCTTGATAGTATCGATATGCTTGTCCCAGTTGAGCTTACTGTCTATCTGAACACCTAAGTATCTTGTGTTGGTGATCATTTCAATGTTCTGATCACCTATTGAAAAAGAAAAAGATGGTGGAGCATCAGGCTGGCTTTCGATCTTACGGATGTTTGGACCAGAGCCTATAACAAGTGACTGCGTTTTCACTACGTTCAAGGAAAGTTTATTTGCATGCAGCCAATCCTGTAGTTTCAAAAGATCTAAGTTTAGGTCATTTTGAAGGTCACCAATACTTTTTGAAGAGAGGGAAATGGCCGTGTCATCAGCATACATGCTGACATGAGATTTTTGCAAGGAAAAAGGCAAACCATTGATGTAAATCAGGAACAAGAGTGGACCAAGATAAGAGCCTTGGGGAACTCCACAATTTATTCCCCTCACATCAGAGGAGGTGCCATCCACCCTGCAGAATTGTTTACGATTTTCCAAATATGATGTGAACCAGGCATGTTCCAGGCCGGTCACTCCGTACATATTCATTTTTTCCAGTAGGATTTTATGATCGACCGTGTCGAAAGCCTTCTTCAAGTCAATAAAGACAAGACCAGTGTATTTTCCTTTATCTATATTCAGGTACCAATCATTGGTGCTGGCCAGAAGGGCTGTGGCTACCGAGTGTAAGAGTCGAAAACCCGACTGATGCTCATATAGTGATTTATTCGCATCCAGGTAACCATAAAACTGATTGAAAATTAATTTCTCAAATAGCCTAGATATGAAAGGAAGAACTGATATTGGTCTATAGCTCGACCTGTCATCCTTTGCGCCACTCTTGAAGATGGGTGCAATACGCGCTATTTTCCAGTCCTCCGGAACATATGGAAGATCGCATGTTTCTAAAAACCCCCGCAGAGTCACTTGCTCTAGCTTTACCCCTAATTAAAATTCATTAACATTACCATTTCATTTATGCAAAAAATATTTCTATGCAATCGTAAAAGACTTACTTGCAACTCTTGAAAAGCCATTTTACTATTCTTCAATTGATCTATCTTCTCTTTCAGCACTGCCAATTCTTGTTCCTTATCTTCTAAGCAACATTCCAGCATCGAGCACTCCTTTGCAAGCTGTTGCTTCTCACCAAATATCAGGTCCAGTCTCTCTCTCATCGCAGCATTTTCTTCGATGAGGTTCTTGGTCCAGTTCGTTTGTGGTGGTTCATTTGTCTTCTTCAAGCTTTCGAGTTGACTTGCATCTACAAAGAAAACATGATTAGGAATCAAAGACTAACAACGAGTGCTCAATTTAGCATCTTAAATAACGTCAAGGGTATCTAGACTAAGATGTTTTACTAACACTATAAATTTCTTACTCGTCGGATCGGAATTATTTTCCTGTCATGTGTACCTATGGATAAAATCAAGTAAGTTTGCAATCAAGCCCACTTCTTATGTCTCAAATGGTCTTAAGTCTCATCTTTTAAACTTTCTGATCAACTCAGCAGTGTAATTTCTCAGCTATAAAGTCAGTCTTCGTATACAACTTACATTTCTCGACCACATCTTCAAGATGCTCCAATCTTTCTTTAAGCTCTTCGATTTCCTTGTCTTTGCACTGAAGCTTTCGCTGTTGTAGCTCTGTTTTGCGTACCAGTGCATCCGTATTTATCAAGGTAAGACCACTGTCTGCCCCTAATAAGCTCAGAAAACTACTGCTTTCTAGTTTTTCCTCCATTGTGACAACTTTCACTCGCAATAATCAGCCCCGACTAACTCTAAATCAGCCAAAATAGTTATGGTGATGAAGACTCATTGCTCCGCAAATTTATATGTTATCAGTTGTTTGTAACGTCAGATTAATTTGACGCTGCGATGTCGAGACTGGACCGATATTTTGAATGGAGTTACAAAATAAATTCAATTACGTTTATATCAGGAATTAGAATGAAAACGAATATTGATAATTTTGACAGAGACATGGCGTTTAATTACGACCAGTAGTCATATTAGTTGACAATGGTACCGTGATGGAGGAGTAGAGAGTCAGAGATTAGCAGTGTCCATTTTGAGAAACTGGTGCTATGTAGTATGAACTGTTCACCTGAAGTTTCAGTTTTCTGTTTCATTCAAAGGTTTATCTAGATACATATTTCAACAATCATGATTTGATTAAATGCATTATAGACGTTTAATACAGTAGAAATTACAATCTGACAAAGGAAAGGAATTAGGTAATGGAAGATATTGGAATAGATACTCAATCACAATGGAACCTCCATGAACGGACACTTTTATACAACTGATACCTCTCAACAACGGACAGATATTTTTGTTCCAAGTGGTTAAACCTAGAGGAAATTCTATACAACGGACACCTCTATACAACACTGGTCTGAGTGCCAGCCGTTATAAAGAGGTTTCATTGTATACGAAATTATGAGACTGTTTGAAATCAAAGAATGCAATCTTGACAGAGACATGGGGCTTACTTACGAACAGTAGTCATATTAGTTGAAAATGGTACCCATGAATATGAAGGAAATATCCAACTGAATATAAATACACTTCACAAATGCAAACCAAAACTGGATAAGCCGCTTCACCAATAACGGACTACACCATAATTCATTCTCGAAAATTAGACAACACAAGCAAGTTGCCCAATCCACATACAAAAGTCGCTTTCCCACAATCATACTCTGGACCACTTTATCTAATTTCCGATAAATCTATTACAAACTCAAATCATTTCCAATACTTAGCAAAATCACAAAAGCAAGTCAAACCTATCCATATCTCATATCAAAATAGAACGTTATCAAATCCGGACAACACAGCATCCAATCTCATACTTTATCAAACACGAAAGACACTGCAATCTCACAGAAAAAAAGAGCTGGTCTACATAATAGGTGACTCTATGAATAAAAACCTAGAATGCCATGGAATGTCAAAAAGAATGTGTATATCGTGACGAAATCATAATACACTTTGGCACTAACGATATTGCATCAAAATCTAAAACAATAGACAACTAAGAGAAGTCCTCTACAAAATTCAACATAGCAGTCAGCATACACGTCATTACAGTCAGCTTATCTCTATCAGTATGATTTTATTTGCTTTTGCATTTTTAATCGATAGATAGAACGATAAAATCGATAGAACGATAAAATCCTGTCTGACAGCAAAATAGTAGCAAAAACTTTGAATAATCACTTCGTAAATATTACTGAAAGTCTCAATATAGCCCGACCTTTATCTGATAATGTACAACAGACGTCTGACGAAAGGACAGCCTCGTCAATATTTTAAAAATCAAGGAAACGTTTGATCAGTTTCCTAAGTTTAACTTTGAAAATGTAACTTCCAAAGAGGTAAGAGAGATAATTTACAACCTAGAGAAAGATTAATCAACAGAAGCCGATAACATCCCCCAAAAGTTTCTAAAATGGCATTAGACGTTGTCTCTGGACCACTAGCTGAAATGTTCAATCGATCTCTTTCTGATAAAACATTTTCCTTTCTTATGAAAATGGCTAATGTGTGCCTATTTAAAAAAAATAGAGCGATTCAACTAGTAAAGAGAATTATAGACCAATAAATGTGCTTTTCTCAGCTTCAGAGATATTTGAGAGAATTATGTTCAATCAAGTCTACAATTACATCAGTTTTAAACTGTTGCCTTTGCTTTGATTTGCATTTGATTGCTTACCCCATATACATCTACTAGCCAAATTAGAATCTTGTGGCTTCAGCGACAACGCAATGGAAACTATGTATAGTTATCTAGATAAAAGAGTACAATGAGTAAAAATTAACTCAGATTTTAGTGATTGGATTGAAACAAAGCAAGAAGTTCCTCAAGGATCAATCTTAGGCCCGTTGCTTTTCCATACCTACATAAACGACATTTTTCTGCATTTGAACAAAATAAATTTATGCAACTTTGCAGATGACACTACTATTCGGCTTGCAAATACTGAGCTATTCTTAGTGAATGGTTTTATGAAAATGTTTTGGTGTTCAATGGCGATAAATGCAAGCTTATAATTTATAAAGCCAATCGATCAAATTTAGAGGAATCTAAAATTCAAATAAATGGTTCTACTTTAATAGAAATTAAGAATGTTAAACTTTTGGGAGTAACACTAGACCATCAACTTAGATTAGAAGAACATATTAGTTTTTTGTAAAGGGGCTGGGAAAAACATAAACGCTCTAGCCAGGATAACTTCGTATATGGACAAATCTAAGAGAATTCGTTTGATGAAGACGTTTATATTATCATATTTTAATTATTTTTTCTCTTATTTGGATTGTTTTGCAGTTGGAAAGAAAAATATCCAGATAAACCGGATTGAAGAAACAGCAATGAGAAGAGCTCATGATGACTATGAATCAAGTTTTGAACAAGTTTTAATAAAGAATAACACAGTAACTTATCATAAGAAAAATTTAAAATAGAATGCAAAGAGCGGAAATTGAGTCTTTTCATTTACTGGGATGAAAACAAAGCAGAAGGCCATTTTGCCACAATGACACTAGAAGAACAATTTATTTCTGGCTTTGATTGACATCGTAATAGAAATATCAACTGGTGATACTAGAGGTCATGCAATTACTCTTTCAGTAAGTCATTAAAATATTAACATATTTGTTTAACATTTCAGAAAAATGTTTTTATGATTCAAAGTTAAAAGAACTGATCAAACAAGGTGGCATGATGTAACAATTAGATTTTCAAAAATCGAGCATAATTTCCGGCAATACTATCTTTAGCTTTCGAGAATATTAGTCAGTTTAGCATTGCAGTATATTAATGTATTCAATTGAAAATGTCAGATGCGTAGATAATACAAGAACGTTATCAGATTCTCTATTTTCGTGGCCATCAAGAGTTAAAAAACCAGTAACTAATTTCAACTGCATCAATCAACATTTATTCTGCAATACGTCAGTACAAAAGGTCGTCAAGAAAGAAATTCTTGTAAAGACATTTTTAGTAATGCCTTGAGTATTGCAGATGCAGTGCACATCCTGGCAACAGTTTTAGGAAGTGTTTTGGTACCCTCAGACCAGCTGTACCTCATTTTCTAACTTAGAAAAAACCACCAAAAAAGGATTATTCACAGAGTGATAGGTATTGATTTCATCATGTTTTTATAAACAAGGGTGTTGAAGGAGACAATGACGAAGAACAAGCAAACTGGCAAAGCATTTCTCCTAGATGGACTTTTCCGCATTTTATGGATTATTGCAATTATTGTTATTTTCATCAATGTTCATTTTATGCTTTTTACATGGTGAATTTCTATATAGGATTCCCGAAGTAGGGACTGTTTTCACATAAGATCTCTTCAATTGAGTTTAATAATTCACAAAATTTAGTTTATAACCACACAAATATTTAATAGGGCAAAATTGGTTATCGTAAATGTCTGCACATACCCAAAACCTAATTTATTTGATAGAAATATATTTTAATGCAAAGAGAATTCTGTTTTTCTCGTTGAATATTTTGTTAAAAATTCGACTCCGAAAAATATATATCATTGCTAAAAAGCCATTATAAGTAAAAGGCCACTGGTTTATCATATAGGGTTTGCATTTTGGCATCCTTTACCTAGAAACTATCTTGGACCTAGAATGAACATGACAAAAAACGCAACAAAACCTTTATCGAAAAAAATCTTCAATGTAACAAACAAAGAAAATGAATAGTAAAAAGGAAGCAAATTTCAGTTTCGTATTAACTCGTTAGCAATTGTTTTTATAAAAGTTAGATATCGTCCGTCCTTAGCAATAACTCTGCCCAAACTCGAGGAGCCGTGTTGCAAGATTGATGATCAGTCCAAGATACCAAGCTGTTAAAGAACTATAATTGGCATTAAGTCCATAGCTTATTACAACGTGATTACAATGCCTTAAATCAAGCCGTGTGTGGCAAAAAAAATGTCAAGCAAACAGGGGCGGACTGGCTCCAAATTTATGGCCCGGGCCATTTCGTCGGGAAAGGGCCCCAAAAAACAAAAAAAAGTTTATGGGTATCCCCAAAGTTGTTTGTTGCATCAATTTTTTACACTGGCTTAAAACGTTATTGGGATATTGCTATTAATTCAAATTAGTAACTACCAGGGATGTAGGCGTAGGTTTAAAGATTCACAAGGGTGATCTACAATCCTTACTCCAGATCAGCATCATTTTCACTGGAAATTTAATTCTGACGTAGGATAAGAGATGAAAGAAAATCATGACATTGCGGAGGAAAAAAATATTGTTTTCTAGCTAAAGGACTTTTAAAGGGGGGCCTCAGTGATATAAAATGGTATTTAGAAGGGGTCACCTTTCTCGATCTGGTACCCAGGGTAGAACTTAATGAAATATCTAATTTATTCAAGAAATTTTTAAGTTATTCCAGAAAATCTTAATATGTAATTTTTTAGCCAAAACATAATAAGGTTTCATGTTTTTCCGATAATTGGTTGAGCAGCTAGGTTACATTAGTAACATAAACAAGGCTGACGAAATGTTAATGAAAGTGGGGGTGGGTCGATATGTTTAGATTGTTCAGGGCTTAAATAAAGGCCACCACTATGATAAGGAATTCTGACCGAATTCAAGAAAAGTGTCGAAAAATGACATTATAGAGATGGCCAGAAACGCATCAAGAATATTTGCCACATCAAGCTTGTCGACATGACAATCCTGGGCAATACATGTAAGCTTTCACTTACAATAATGCCCCATCCCCTTAAACTTTCCAAGTACCAAAAAGCCAAGATGTTATTCTCAGCTTTTAGCGACAAGCCCAGCATATTGAAGACAGTAAATAAATGTTTTCAGTAAGAAACTTTCAAGAGTAACGAGTCATTCCTCTTTATGTTTAGATATCAATTCATGTCTACATTTCTATGAGCATAGAGCTTGTAAGGCATCTAAAACTTCCAGTTCTATCTCATTTCTTTTTCTTGTTTAGTTTACAATGGGAGACATTTAAAACTTATTCATTTTTATGCAGGCCCGTAGACTGCTAAACTGGATTGGGGGAGGGGGGTGCATGGAAAGAAATATAGCTATTTTTTGTACCTGCCTTACGAAATATTGTTTGACATCCAAATTGTAAATGTCTTTTGTTATTATTAATTTGTAACATGTCATTTGCAACATTTAATGTAACTCTCTTTTGAAGCAAATAGGTTTAATTTAATGGCCACAGGGTTGCTATGTATTTCCATGCTCCTTGTTGTATCGTCTTGTAGTTGTCAAATTTTTGAATCAAAAACTAGCACAGTTAGACCATGCCAATGGCAAAATTTTGCCGAAGAAATGCACCAAAATTTGGCGCAAGTACCGAAATTTATGCCTAAGATCTTTGGTGAATTATTCATGTTTATACTGAAGGAAAGTATGGATGTACTGGAGAAAATATTTTATCAGAGCTGTGGGGGTTGAGCCTTTCTGCTGTTTTGATCTATACTCTCAAATCTATTTGGTTAGCATCAAAATAATGTACCTTCCTAGAAATTGAGTCACAAAAATAGTCATGAAAACATTTAAACTGATGACCCAAAGAGAAAATTTATCAGATTTTGGAATTTCCTTTTAGGTATCGTATTATTGCATTGGGGACAGTGAGCCCTGGGCCAAGGATTCTCCTTTCTTACATGGGGCCCCAAATTTTGAAAAATGCTTTTCAGTACTAACATAGTAAGTGATATTTCTATTTATTCTGTATCCACTAATCTTGGGAGAGTGTTATGGCAACAGAAGAGGGCCCCTTCCAAACAATACGCAAACAAACAGTATTTAATAGCAAAATTAAGAAAAAATTATAATAACTTTGGGAGGGTCCGCCCGGTAGCCCGACCGGCCAGTCCGCCCCTGCAAGCAAACATTCATAGGCAGAAAACGCGAATGGAAAACCATGCCTATCCCATTACAGTCCTCCTTTTATATTATCAAATAAATACTCATTTCAAAAAAGTGAGGCTTGTTTATTTTGAAATGGACGTGATGATATAATATATCCCGCCAAATCTCCATTTCTGAGCAGTTACTATAACACAAACATAGAATTGCCAGGAAAGACGTCATGTGATGCTCCATTTTATATTCGTGTATAGATTTTCATGCATATTTGCAATTGGGTAAATTCGATATTGTTGAATATATTGATCTAGCATTGCAGGGGAGCATTGCATCGACTCTGAAACAATCTATTTATCGATTGATCAACAACATTCTATCTATTTAATCAACTATCTGCCTATCTTTATGCCTATTGACTTTTTCTCAATATATCACTTTTCGGCCGTTTTTCTATTTATTGCTGTAGAATTGGTCTTGATTGAAATAAACCGTGGAAAACCAGATACACTGAAAAAGAAGAGACAAAAAACATACAAATGACGATGTTTTTGATAAATTAACCTTTTAAAACACAAGGACAGATAACATGAATCTTTAACCATTAATAAAAAAACCAACTTTAAACACCTGCATAATAAACTTGAGAATAGGTCTATATAATAAGTCTTTTTCATTAATCTGATCCACGTCTAAACAATCTGCTAAGTCGACTTCGCTTTGGTTTCTCTGACTTCTTCTCCATAATTTCATGCAAAGCCGATATGATATTTTCAGCTTCCAGATTTCTCTTAACCTCATCTTCAAGACACTTCTCCAGTCTCTGCTTCTCGGCAAAATATTCTTCCAATTTTCTTTCGTACACCAAGCGAATCTTCATTTCACCATCGAGGTCCTTGACAGTTTCATTGTTCTTCTCTCTTAGAACAACGAGATCTCCTGTAACCGTTCGCAAATCTTTATCAAATTGCTCTTGAAGTTTTGTCTTCTCGGTTTCAACTTCACTAAGTTTTCTTTCAACATCTTTACATTTCTCTGATTCTTGCTGGAGCCTTCTCTGAATCAGCTCTTTTCCTATCAATACCATTTGGATCTTTCTTTCAAAATCTTCATGAAGCTGTCTCTCCATATTCAGCTCATTCAAAGCAAGACAACGCTCTAGTTTGAGGGCATTGATTTCTTTTCTGTGTTCTTTCAAAGCTGATCTGAAGATATTCAACTTCTTTGTCTGCTCTTTATATTCTTCCAAATCATGCTGCATACGAATATTGGCTTGCATCTCTTCTTTGTATGCCTTTTCAAATTCGTTTCTTTCTCTGGTGATATGTTCATTGTCTGTCTGAAGAAGATCAGCCTTCAATTCCAATTCCAGATTCTTCCCTGCCAGTGCATCCATGCATCTTCTAATTCCAGCAGATTTTGCCTTATATGCTTTCAGATTAGCATTGATCATTTTATATTTCTGGCGAAATCTCTTTCTTCGTGCCAGCTCTGCTGCTCTAGCATTTCCTCTTTGCATGGATGATTCGCCTTTTTCTTTTCCCTCGTTGCTTTTGATAATCTTATACAGCTTACCACAACAGTTGCTCCAAGCTTCCAACTGGCTTTGTGCATCAATTTCATTTTTGACTGCTTGTTGAAGTTTGTTCTGCAATTCTACATTCTTTTCTTCAGATTCTTTGAAATTTTCCAAAGTGAACTTGCCTTCAAATTCCAAAAACTCTACAAGGCTCTTTAACTCCTTTGTTTCTTCATCAAGATGCTTCTTTTCGTCGATGAGATCCACAATCTTGATTTCAATATGATCGAGAACTTTCTGCAATCCGTTTCCATCATCAATTTTGAAATGGCTCCCAATTTTGGACAGAAAGCCTTTCAACAACTGAAGTTCTGCAACTTGATCAAAATATTGCTGAATATTTGTCATTCTTCCTGGCAATATCTTTCCAACTGCCATATATTCCTCTGGCTGCTGTTGCATTCTTGCATTGTCGTCATTTTCTTTCAAGGAAAGCTTTCCAGCACTCGTATCATCGTCTCCTTCACTTTCATCATCAACAACGATAAATTCGCCATCAGAATCCTCTTCCTTTTCGTCTTGAATGCTCTGTGTTTCCGACTCTTCACCATCTGAAGCAAGTTCTTCTTTCATGTCATTTCTTTCACTCTCTTCAAGATGGTTAGTTTCACTTTCAAGGCTTTTGATACGCTCTTCTAGAACCATGACTTCTTTTGTTTTTGCCTCCATACCTTCCGCCAAAATCAAGCATTCATTTGCAAGTTCTTCATTTTCAACTGACAAGAGCTTTTTCTCTTCTTTCAACTTGACATACTCTTCTTCATTGATGCCATCCTTTTTGCTCTCTTCCTGATCTTGACTCCCACTTTCAAGGTTTTTGATACGCTCTTCCAAAACCATGACTTGCTTTTCTTTTGCCTCCATACCTTGAGCAAGAGCCAAGCATTCATTTGCAAGTTCTCCATTTTCAACTGACAAGAGCTTTGTTTCTTCTTTCAACTTAACATACTCTTCTTCATTGATGCCATCCTTTTTGCTCTCTTCCTGATCTTGACTCCCACTTTCAAGGTTTTTGATACGCTCTTCCAAAACCATGACTTGCTTTTCTTTTGCCTCCATACCTTGAGCAAGAGCCAAGCATTCATTTGCAAGTTCTCCATTTTCAACTGATAAGAGCCTTTTCTCTTCTTTCCACTTAACATACTCTTCTTCATTCATGCCATCCTTTTTGCTCTCTTCCTGATCTTGACTCTCACTTTCAAGGCTTTTGATACGCTCTTCTAGAATCATGACTTCTTTTGTTTTTGCCTCCATACCTTGAGCAAGAACCAAGCATTCATTTGCAAGTTCCTCATTTTCAACTGACAAGAGCTTTGTTTCTTCTTTCAACCTTATGTTCTCGTCCTCAAGATCTTTGATAAACGGACAACTTTCCTAATAAGAGAAACATTTGTAAATTATTAGTATGAATTGCAATCATGGATTGGATATATTGTTGTCTCAACAGATACAAAAGAGAAAAAGTATGTTTTTATCGAGTGCTGTCTGTCATAAAGAAATTCACCACGTTACTTCGGACACATTGCGTCATGTTAGTGTTATTTAATTTCTATTCCAATTGGCAAAGGTAGTGTGATTTAGTTTTGATCATTAAATCGATAAATATAATATAGATTAAGCTTAAACAGCTTTGATAACTGAATTCTAGAAGATATTGAAGGCTCAAAACCTTTAGATAAAGATGTCATGTTAAAATAACTAGAATTGCGATTTAATTCAGCAAATTATCCTTTTAATCTCAAAGACTCACTTGCAACTCTTGAAAAGAAATTTCGAATCGATTCTTCTTTAACTGATGCATCCTCTCTTTAAGCATTGCCAATTCTTGTTCCTTATCTTCTAGGCAACATTCCAGCATCGAGCACTCCTTTGCAAGCTGTTGCTTCTCACCGAATAACAGGTCCAGTCTCTCTCTCATCGCACCATTTTCTTCGATGAGGTTCTTGGCCCAGTTCGTTTGTGGTGGTTCATTTGTCTTCTTCAAGCTCTCAAGTTGACTTGCATCTACAAAGAAAACAAAAAAAGAAACCATAAAACGAATGCTCAATGAAACATCTTGGAAAAACCTCTAGACTTTTTTCATTAAAATATTTTCCACTCATTTGACGGTTATTCTTGAGTGCAATCAATAAAGCAAAGTGAGTTTTCAATCAAGTGCATTCTTTTCTTCTATTCATTGAATTTCTGATCAACTCAACAGTATACTATTCCATCTACGAAATAAGTCTTTGTATAAAACTTACATTTCTCGACCACATCTTCAAGATGCTCCAATCTTTCTTTAAGCTCTTCGATTTCCTTGTCTTTGCACTGAAGCTTTCGCTGTTGCAACTCTGTTTTGCGTACCAGTGCATCCGTATTTATCAAGGTAAGACCACTGTCTGCCCCTAATAAGCTCAGAAAACTACTGCTTTCTAGTTTTTCCTCCATTATGACAACTTTCACTCGCAATAATCAGCTCCGACTAACTCTAAATCAGCCAAACTAGTTATGGTGATGAAGACTCGCTGCTCCGCCAATTTATATGTTATTAATTGTTTGTGACGTCAGATCAATGTGACGTTCGGAGACTGGAAATTAGTAAATGAAGTTTCGAGGTTGAACTATAATCTAAATCAATTTTCCGACTATCAATATCTTTTGGAGATTTATTTCTACTAAAACTGGGACTGTTCTCTAGCTCTTATACTTCTAACTTCAATTAATAGATTTTCGAAAAGCATATAAACCTTATTTTGTATACGGTTCTAAAATCTGGCCATTACTTAATTTTCAAAAACCATCTGTATCAGAACAACATAGTGGACGGATTAATGTCAGGGATGAATGTCATCGTTGTTCATTATATTTGTAACACTTTAGTTCCATTGAATTTAGATTTTATTTGCCTCAAGCTTTACATTAACTACAAAATAGTTTATCGTGAGAAAATTTCAAACAAATGTTTTGAAGAAATTTTCTTCGACAAAATTCAGAATGAGACGAAATTTGGTCACAACGAAATTTTTTGCCTTTGAGATTTTTGAGAATTCGCATAGAAAAACTCTTATATGAGGTTAGGAATAAAATCAGTGTATCCTGTTTATCTTTTCAATGTCAACTACGTCCATACATAATTAGCTTTACCGTCGGCATCATGATCATCATTATCATTGTCGGTTCTTGAACATTGTTCAATAAAAATAGTCCTTAGTTGCGTAGGTGCCCCCCCCCCACCCCCAAAAAAGTTGCCAAAAAGACATTAGGAAAGGGGCGTTTTGTGGCATTTTAAAGGGTGTGGACGCACTTCTGCCCAACTCCCCCCCCCAACCTTACTACCCTGGCTATCTGTTCAGACTGTCTATTGCCGCCGGTTCCAAAAGAAGATTCTACCTCTGTATTGCTTCTCAACTTTACTATTTCTTTCATTCGTTCAAGGTATTTGCATTTTTCAAACCAAATTTTGAACTCAACAGGAAGCAAACTTTCCAGACCAACATTTCCTGTTGGAGATGGTCTTATGCTTCCCGAATCTTATACTTATATTCACACTTTTACTTTTAATTATATTCCCTCTATAAACTGTCATACCATTTAGATATAGAGAAGAGACTCTTGGAATGCTAAAAGCATCTCTGTTGGCCCCGCCTTTGCATAAACTGAGTAAATAACCGCTTTAGTTTGGTTTTTCTGACATGCTGCCTGGAGTGTTGAGCCAAATTCTGAACGGGTGATCACGCCCCTAAGTCTCCATGAAGTCGGTAGCTATGAGATTGAGTATAAAGCAGCCTGTATGGTTTTTTCTATGAAGATTTTGGCAATATGTCGCAAATCCATGAAGAAATTTTGTCACGACGAAATTCTCAAAAGATGTCCCAAATTTTTTTCGACCAAGTTTATCCGCCGAAAATTTATCTGACGAAAATTGTTATTGTTAATGTATGTTCGGAAACAAACCATCTCGGAAAATTTTACAACCAGGGGTGCAACCAGGCTGTGTTTTTCCTGGGATCAACTTCAAAAATTTCACAAGAATAGTGTATAAAGATTCCTTTGCAGCAAAGCACTAAAATTATGCGGCGTTTTTTCATAGATTGCTTTTTTAGATAAGCAGATAGATATGGCTCTTGAAAATTCACGTAATGAAACCCAGGAATAATGGAGGGTGATAAAGGGTCCCATTTGATTTTACATACCATCTAGCACTCAATGGGTTAGAGAAAGTGGCAGGGAGACTCCGAACTATGTTGTGCCATCCGGAAGAGTATGAGAGATTTTCCTGGGCCACCTGTAACTGCATGACCTATACAAAGAAATAGTCTTGTTATGGTAAAGCTCATTTTCAAGTATGCGATGATAAGTGATAGTTTTAATTCTAAGGTATCCAAGGTGCCTTGGAATCTCCAGTCCCAAGAAGGTGTATCTTCGTCACTATATATAACACTTTTTGAATAGAAGGATTGCAATACTTTTGAATGAATAGAAGGGCTCTCCTTGTACTCTATACAATGCAACAGCAATGAAATATTTTGTAATGGCCTGTTTAACCTGACTTTCAAATCGTAAGGAAATGCTACCAATCCATAGTAGTTTCAGATAAACTGGCCACTTTAGTGGACCAGACTGTTATGTGAAGCAACATAAATGGCGTCACGTTTCGGTCAATTAGCAGAGTCAGGTTTTCGTTTTTTCCAATAGCTTTAGTTTTGATAAAGATAAAATTGAAAAGCATTTTTGTGTAGACAGAAGGACTTCGTTTACACCCTTGGACTCTTGGACTCCATCTTCTATAGGCAAGCAGCAGGTATTGGGCACCTTCAGCGGTCATGTGCTCGCATTGCTGATGGACCTATCGATTTATAATTGGGTACATGAGCTCCTTGCTTGCTTAGAATTGTCGACCTTTATCTTTACGGTCAAAACTGTAAAGCTTTACAAATGTTTGACAAAAAACTTCATGTGCCTTAAAACTTTATATGTACTATTTAAGACCATGAACATCTAATTGTATGTTTACAATACACATAACAGATATTTTTACTTCAAAAATTAACTTGTCATTTGCTGAACCCCCCCTTTTTTTGATGCCCCCCGAAAGAAGCTTTTGACGATGTAAATCAGGACATTCTGTGCAGAAATGATTTTAGTATACGACATCAAGAACTGTGGCCTCGTTTAGATCCTATCTAGAGGACCGACTAGAGAGATATTAACAGGGGTGTACCCCAGAGCTCACGCCTTGGCCCTCTTCCATTTTCGGTTTACATCAGTGATCTCCAACTAGATACTGAAAACTAGATACAAAGAAAAAGTTTCAATGTACGCTGATGACACTAGTCTTTGCTATCAATCATCTGATATCACTCGATAGAATGCAGGGGTGAATCCTTAACAAATTTGAAGTGGAAGCAGTTGATAATGGGGGCGCTGAAAATTTTCATAAATTGATGACGAAAGTACGCTGTATACAACATACTCCGACCCTAACTATTGACAGAAGGACCTTATTCACGTTCTATGAAAATAATTATGATACAATTATATCAAAGCAATGATATTAAGTCTGAGCATGACTGAGGTCTCTGACTTGAGTTTTCCTCTTTTCGGCAAATTTGCTGGCTAAACACTAATCCTTTTTTTTCTTAGCGTGGCTCTCTAAAACTTTGTGTTTTGTTATAAAAATGTTCCTGTAAACAAACTTGTATATATACGAGGCTTTCTATCTGCTTTGCTTTGCTCCAGAGGCGGACTGGAAAGCTCTTACTTCAGGGGAAATTCAACTTCAAGGACCTTGCATGTCCCTGTCCCGAAAATCTTCGCCACAAGTTCGCTGAAAGATCCATGATTTCAGAGTATAGGATAACCATCCAGAATCCCAATCCTAGCGACCCAGGGCTTTGTCAATCCGTGTTAATCAATGAATCTTCGTGCATCCTTGTACTTTAAAATCATGAATGAGTACCTTGTGCCGCCGAAATACCGTCGTAACCTTGCCCGATTTAGAAGGTTTTACCCAACCCATTCTGCTTATCTACCCCAAAATCACCTTCTTAATGTTTTTCCGGAAACCTTTATCTCTTCTATTGCCCTCTCACGCTGGGCCTCAGAGAAATCTTAACTTAATTCACACTCATAAAATGGGACACAAAATTTTCAAAAAGGACCTACTTCAACTAGCTGAAGGGGGGCAACTGCCCCCTAGTCTACACTACTGGCCAAAATTAACAGGCCACCCTGTTGTTTGGAAGATATTTGGCCAATTACCTTACATAAATCAAGATTTAAACCATTATGTGTGAGTTTTTCAGTGGAGAGAGACACATTGGTTGTTTCTGAATATATTTCAAATGCATTTTGGTAAGATTTTAACATAATTCACTAAAAATATGTTTTCAGTAGCTGGTAGAGCCTCCTTTGGCTTTAATGAGTGCCGAAACACGCCTGTTTATACTGTTGTAAAGGTTAGAAATGTAGTCCTTGGGAATTCTGTTCCATTCCAATTTGACCTTTTCAAACAGTTCATCCTTGTTTTTAAATAAACAATCCTGGATTTTATGTCCAATATAGTCCCAAACATGTTCAATTGGGCTCATATCGGGGCTATTACCGGGCCATGGCTATAATGGCATCTTCCCATCCATCCACTTTTTAACAGTAATTGCTGTGTGACATGGTGCATTGTCTTGTTGAAAAATACCATCACCATCCTTAAAATGATGTCTCATTGATGGCAGAGCACAGAATTTTAGAATTTTGATGTAATGTGCTGCATTAATTGTACCCTCAACTCTGTGTAGACGGCCAACACCCTTGCTACTAATACAGCCCCAAACCATTATCCCACCACCTCCATGTTTAACAGTTGGATTTAAGCACTGTGGAAGGTACTCCTCTCCACTCCTCCTTCTCACATAAACTGGCCTGTCACTTATCAAGCAAAATCTGCTCTCATCACTGAAAATAACTTTGCTCCAGTCATAGTCTCGATGCTGCCTTCCCCAATCCAACCTTTTTGCTCTTGCTTTCTCACTTAATAAGGGCTTCTTTTTTGCTCTGCAATACTTGAGACCACTGTCAACTAGTCTTCTCCTCACTGTTCTAGAGCTAACTTTAATATCATGTGCATCTTTTAGTTCATTTGCTAAAATCCTGGAAGTTTTTCTTCTATCTTTCAATGACTGTTTAACTATCAGTCTGTCTTCCCTAGATGTTGTGATCCTCTTCCTGCCTCTGCCCTTTCTGTCCTCTACACTACCTGTCTCTTTATGCTTTTTAATGATTTGCTGCACTTGTGAATCGTGCAACTTTCAAATTTAAGGCAATTTTGTTGCAACTATACCCTTCTTCGTGCAAAACTACTGCCCTAATTCGATCTTCTGTGCTCAATCTTGGTACAGGAGACATGGTCTAAAAATGATAAAAATAGCTTTCCCTTAAGTTTAAGACTTCGATTAGGTTTTACCAATAATAAACAAGGTTTGAAATCGAACAATTAAATGAATTGAAAGCTTTAGATACTAAATTCAATACAAAATTATAGTATTTTCAATCACTTACCAATGAAAACGAGATATCTTTCCAAAAAATTGAAAATCTTGCTATAAAACGATGAAATAGAGTTACTTTTGGCTTGTTACGATATTTTGGGCCTAAGTAACAACAAATATTCAGAAAGAGGTTGCTGAAAACGAGACTGCTAGACCCAAAGAAAAGGGCAAAGTGTAGGGCAGTCGTGCCCCAAATGAAAAATGTACAGCAGTGTTTTCGGTCAAGTCTTCTCAAAATGCAAAGAATTTCAGAAAATAATAGGAAATAAAAAAAAATTAACCACTCTCTTTCCCCTTGCGTAGAACTTTCTAACTTTTTTCGATTCAATCAAAAATGACGACTTGTGGTGGTCTAATTGTAGAAGTTTACCCATGCTTCATACAATTGCGAAGAGTGGCCTGTTAATTTTGGCCAGTAGTGTATATCTATAAATAGTTCATTTTTCAGAAATAATTCAAGATGTCCGAACATTGAATTCAATTACTCGAGGCTATACTTATTGTTCTACAGTGTTAAATTAAACTTCAATCCTGACTGATCCTCTAATCTTTTTGGTCCATATTAACTTGACATTGGCTCCATTTTGTCCTTCTCGTCATCATCAAGACTTTCAAACACTTTTCTTCGTAGTTTCATTGCATGATACACAATTTATATAAGTGAATTACTTTTAAGAAATCATTAGGGTAAAAGTTGCAGATTTTTTCTTTGAAATTAACCTTCCACGCATATGGGTTGAATACAAGCGTTTTACCTTATCATTTTTTGATTTCGGTACAGCAAAGTAACTGGGTGCTAAATCTTTATCTAACTTCTTTTTCACCTCAAGAGAGTGGCTAAGACGACACTCTGTTTATGATTAAAAGGACAACTCAAGTCAATTTAGGTGTACCCATATTGAAATGCTTCAGGCGACTAGGTATTTCATTTTTCAATTCATTCCCATAATAGTTCTCAAACCTTAAATTTAATCAGCGACGGGATTTCAAAATGATGAGAATTATTTCGTTTCTTTTTCGAAAATCTATCGTTAGCGGTAAGTACACAATTTATACGCTATGCAAGTTCTTTAGACAATTTTAAAACCAAATGTAATGAAAATGCAGACACAAAAGCAAAACAGACAATGAATTAAATGGAACGCCATTTTCAAACGAATAAACAGATCACAAGAACAAAATAAGAAATAACTGTAAAGAGTTGCATAATAAACCTAGCTAATGTTTTATATAATAAGTCTTCTCCTCTAATTTGATCCACATCTAAAAAATCTGCTAAGTCGACTTCGTTTTGGCTTCTCAGACCTCTTCTCCACAATTTGATGCAAAGCTGATATGATATTTTCAGCTTCCAGATTTCTCTTAACCTCATCCTCAAGGCACTTCTCCAGTCTCTGCTTCTCAGCAAAATATTCTTCCAATTTTCTTTCGTACACCAAGCGAATCTTCATTTCACCATCCAGGTCCTTGAAAATTTCATTGTTCTTCTCTCTTAGAACAACGAGATCTCCTGTAACCGTTCGCAAATCTTTATCAAATTGCTCTTGAAGTTTTGTCTTCTCGGTTTCAACTTCACTAAGTTTTCTTTCAACATCTTTACATTTCTCTGATTCTTGCTGGAGCCTTTTCTGAATCAGCTCTTTTCCTATCAATGCCATTTGGAACTTTCTTTCAAAATCTTCATGAAGCTGTCTCTCCATATTCAACTCATCTAAAACAAAACAGCGCTCTAGTCTGAAGGCATCGATTTCTTTTCTGTGCTCTTTCAAAGCTGATCTGAAGATATTCAACTTCTTTGTCTGCTCTTTATATTCTTCCAAATCATGCTGCATTTGAATATTGGCTTGCATCTCTTCTTTATATGCCTTTTCAAATTGGTCTCTTTCTCTGGTGATATGTTCATTGTCTGTCTGAAGAAGATCAGCCTCCAATTCCAATTCCAGATTCTTCCCTGCCAGGGCATCCATGCATCTTCTAATTCCAGCAGATTTTGCCTTATATGCTTTCAGATTAGCATTGATCATTTTATATTTCTGGCGAAATCTCCTTCTTCGTGCCAGTTCTGCTGCTCTAGCATTTCCTCTTTGCATGGATGATTCGCCTTTTTCTTTTCCCTCGTTGCTTTTGATAATCTTATACAGCTTACCACAACAATTGCTCCAAGCTTCCAACTGGCTTTGTGCATCAATTTCCTTTTTGACTGCTTGTTGAAGTTTGTTCTGCAATACTATGTTCTTTTCTTCAGATTCTTTGAAATCTTCCAAAGTGAACTTGCGCTCAAATTCCAAAAACTCGACAAGGCTTCTTAACTCCTTTGTTTTTTCATCAAGATGCTTCTTTTCGTCGATGAGATCCACAATCTTGATTTCAACATGATCGAGAACATTCTGCAATGCAATTCCATCATCAATTTTGAAATGGCTCCCAATTTTGGACAGAAAGCCTTTCAACAACTGAAGCTCTGCAACTTGATCAAAATATTGCTGAATATTTGTCATTCTTCCTGGCAATATCTTTCCAACTGCAATATGTTCCTCTGACTGTTGCTGCATTCTGCCATTTTCGTCATGTTCCTTAAAAGAAAGATTTCCATCACTCACATCAACACCATCTTCATTTTCATCATCCACAACGATAAATTCGCCATCAGAATCCTCTTTCTTTCCTTCTTGAATGTTCTGCGTTTTCGCCTCTTCACTTCCGAAAGCAGTTTCTTTTTCACTCATGTCTTCTCTTTCGCCTTCTTCCAGATCTTGACTCTCACTTTCAAGGCTTTTGATACGCTCTTCTAGAACCATGACTTCTTTTGTTTTTGCCTCCATACCTTCCGCTAGAATCAAGCATTCATTTGAAAGTTCTTCATTTTCAACCGACAAGAGCTTTATCTCTTCTTTCAAATTTACATACTCTTCTTCATTCATGCCATCTTTTTTGTTCTCTTCCTGATCTTGATTCCCACTTTCAAGGCTTTTGATACGCTCTTCTAGAACCATGACTTCTTTTGCCTTTGCATCCATACCTTCCGCTATAATCAAGCATTCATTTGCAAGTTCTTCATTTTCAATCGACAACATTTTTGTCTCTTCCTTTAACCTAATATTTTCTTCTTGAAGATCATTAGCCAATAAGCAGTTCTCCTGCAACAAAAAAGCAGATGTTATTATAACCGACAACATAAGACAACATCTATGACTCCACTTAAAATGTCACCGATATAGGTTACTACACATCTCGTCACCAGCTGCCCTAGCACACTACAGAACAGCACAAGATAGTGGGTAACGGCAGTTAGGATCAATAAGCTTGTTAAACAGCTTGTTTCTTCACAGACCTCTTGGATATTCAGCTGTTAAACTGTTGGGAGACAAAAATTTGCCGATTGGTTATTGATTAAATGGGGTCGTATCCCGATACGCCCTTCTTCCCGCCCCTTCCGATCGCATAACGCTGTTGAATGAAACATAATTTGACATTGGAGTAAATAGCTTCTCACTCTTTGAGGATATTGTCTACGTTATAATGTTCCAATAGCACCAATTATCTGTCACGCTACAAGTTGCACAGTGGTAAAATAAACACAATGTTTGGAATCTTTAAATTCTCTCTGATATATAATTTTACATTGCTCTTATTTTTCTTTGTTTCCTCTTCATCAACCCTTTTCCCTGCACAAAGTCAAACAACTCTGCAAAATTCCCTCCTTTTAGTTCAATCATATTTTTAGAGACCTCACAGGCTCAACATTTATATGTTACTCTTTACTTCTACAAATGCCAAAAGTTCAAAATTTCAATTTTGCCTTTGCGATAGGGAAACATTTTCTTGTAGTTAGCTACATCACAGACAATTTCAGCTTGCCGGATAACGAATCAAGAATTTCTTTACTAGTAATGATGACTAATGCTATGTTTTTAGTTTTCTTCCTGAATTGAAACCTGTTTAGTAAACCGTAATATCTATAAATTTCGTGAATAGATTTTGCTAAGTTAAAGGTAATATGTTCATATGAAAGGACTGCGTATACCCAACTTGTCAAGTCACCCATCAAAATAACGGTTTGCGATTGGTTAGTAGCTATTCTTGCGATGCAAAACTTTTCACATGAAGAGCTAGATTCGCAGCAGGATAGATAAACAGAACGACCGTATTGGCTGGGGCGATGACATGAAAAATCACGTTTCTAAAAACCCCCGCGGAGTCACTTGCTTTAGCTTTAATCCTAATTAAAATTCATTAACATTAGCATTTCATTTATGCGAAAATATTTCTATGCAATCGTAAAAGACTTACTTGCAACTCTTGAAAAGCCATTTTACTATTCTTCAATTGATCTATCTTCTCTTTCAGCACTGCCAATTCTTGTTCCTTATCTTCTAAGCAACATTTCAGCATCGAGCACTCCTTTGCAAGCTGTTGTTTCTCACCAAATAACAGGTCCAGTCTCTCTCTCATCACACCATTTTCTTCGATGAGGTTCTTGGTCCAGTTCGTTTGTGGTGGTTCATTTGTCTTCTTCAAGCTTTCGAGTTGACTTGCATCTACAAAGAAAACATGATTAGGAATCAAAGACTAAGAGCAAGTGCTCAATTAAGCATCTTAAATAACGTCAAGGGTATCTAGACTAAGATGTTTTACTAATACTATCAATTTTTTACTCATCGGAAGATTATTTTCCTGTCATGCGTACCTATTGATAAAATAAAGTAAGTTTGCAATCAAGCCCACTTCTTATGTCTCAAATTGCCTTAAATTCATCTTTTAAACTTTCTGATCAACTCAGCAGTGTAATCTCAGCTATAAAGTCAGTCTTCGCATAAAACTTACATTTCTCGACCACATTTTCAAGATGCTCCAATCTTTCTTGAAGCTCTTCGATTTCCTTGTCTTTGCACTGAAGCTTTCGCTGTTGCAGCTCTGTTTTGCGTACCAGTGCATCCGTATTTATCAAGGTAAGACCACTGTCTGCCCCTAATAAGCTCAGAAAACTACTGCTTTCCAGTTTTTCCTCCATTGTGACAACCTTCACTCGCAATAATCAGCTCCGACTAACTCTAAATCAGCCAAACTAGTTATGGTGATGAAGACTCATTGCTCCGCAAATTTATATGTTATTAATTGTTTGTGACGTCAGATTGATGTGACGCTGCGATGTCGGAACTGGACCGATATTTTGAATGCAGTTACAAAATATATTCAATTACGTTTAAATCAGGAATCAGGATGAAAACGAATATTGATAATTTTGACAGAGAAATGGCATTTACTTACGACCAGTAGTCATATTAGTTGACAATGGTACCGTGATGGAGGAGTAGAGAGTCAGAGATTAGCAGTGTCCATTTTGAGAAACTGGTGCTATGTAGTATGAACTGTTCAACTGAAGTTTCAGTTTTCTGTTTCATTCGATTGTTAATCTAGATACATATTTCAACAATCATAATATGATTAAATGCACGATAGACGTTTAATACAGTAGAAATTACAATCTGACAAAGGAAAGGACATCATTTATATGCATATAGGATTTATTAATTAAGAAGGAGCTCTTTAAATAGATAGCTTGTCGAGCGAGAGAAGGCTTCTCCCCCTATTAGCAAGGGAACTTAGACTATCAAAAAAATTCATTAACCAGAAGACGCTAAGAATGATTACAGTAGAGCTTCAATTTGAACCAAAAAAGTACAACTGAGAATACAAAAAACACAAAAAAATCTAAGCTTTCTTTTAAATGAGTATCTACAGGGTAAAAGGTATTTAATGGTTTTAAACGATTTTCTTGTTCTATTGTTAAATTTGTTAACTTATGCAATATAATTTTCTTCAGATTGGGTCATAATCTTCTAGCTTTTTCTTGTTAGCATTTCTCAACATTTCAGTAAATCAAAACGCATTGCACTCTTCCATTAATTTCATGAAATGAAGCCTAATCTGGACATCTATCGCCAAGTCCAACATTATCGGCGGGCACCTCAAAAACACCCCCTACCTCGGTACGCCCATGGTATCTACTTTGTGTAAAAATCATTTAGATTTAGCGTGCGATCTTGAGATGGTGTTTGACGATCGTCGAACGTTACGTGACGAAGTTAGTAAGAAAGAAGTGGTGGTATGTTGCAAGGTGATTATTGTTCTTTTCAACTTTAGCATTGTTGGGTTCTTTTATGTAAATCTTCCTCGCTTGCTAGCTATTTGGCAAGGGCGCCTTCGCCGCACTTAGAAAGTAAAAATTCATTTTGGCAATTGCCCCCCTGCCAGCACGCCACAGGGCCCAAGTGAAAAAGTGGCTTTTTTTGTTTTGTATGTAGGAAGATCCATTCCAAATCTGCTAGATGAAAAGACGACCGCACCCTGGCAATTATCTGAAACATGTCGTCGTTATAGAGTTTTGCACAATTTGGGTTTTCTTTTGACAGATGTTAACCAATGGCAGAATCACTTGTTCTAACAGTGTATTTAGACCTACAATATCGCGGAGGCTGTTCTCTTTGGGGGTCCTCGATCTCTCGACCTCGATAGTTTCGGATAATCGATCCACAACTGGGTGTATTTTTCCATCTTACTCTTTTTGATACTTATTTTGAAATTTATACTCTGAGAAGTGTCAGACGAAAAACTTTAAGCATGCTGTAAAATGTTTATTTTTTTTCAAAGCCATTTTCAATTTTGTACCAATACAATTTGGATCAGATTTTTGTTGCGTACGCGCTTTGGACGCAAAAGTGGCTACAAGAAAGGGTTTTTTGATCCGCGACGAGACGAAACGAAACTAAAAAAAGTTGAAGTCAACACACTTTTTTCGCACCCTTTTGGTACAGTAGTTTTCTGTTTATCGAAATCGAATGACAGCTCTTCAAACCATTTGTGTCGTTAGGCCATAGAGATATGCATTAAGCTAGGATTACATTCCAATCAAAAAGATCCGCGAATCGAGCGGAACGGGACAGACAAACTCATTCTGATCCAATCCAAGGATCATTTTCCGGAGAGGGTTTTCGGCTTTATGGACAATGAGAGTGCAAAGAGTCTTTCGGCCTCCTGAGGATTTGGTTTGTAATCCTGGGGTAAGATGTTTGGTCCGTAGTATTTATATTCCCTTGGTTAATCTAAAGGTATTTAAGGTTTTGGAATAGCGTGGGTCTTACCTTGCTTGGTGAAGCCTCCATTCAAGTATGATGGTTATTTTCCTCGCTCCCTTCCTCCCTCATTTTGCTTCTTTATAGGGAGAACCTTTACGGTATAGCTTTGCTGTTTTGAGTTTCTTTTACGGCATCCTTAAAAACTCCAAACCTTTAGGCCTCTTTTGTGCCGGCGTGCGCTCTTTTGATGCTGTTAATTAGGACTGGTGTATCGGCTATTTGTGAGGAAAAAAGGCTTTTCTTGTTCATTCCCTCCCAATTATCAAATAAATTTGGGGGCTGTTGTGTAACTTCCCTTAGTAACCCCTTCCCGTTAGAGGTTTACCTATGGTAGGTTGAGCGATTTGTGCCGATGCACCAACGGTCTCGATTAAGTGGGAACGTAGCGACACGACTGATTTTTTGATGTCTATGGCATGTTTTCTGCGAGAACTTTTTGCGCTCCATTTTGGTGTCTGTAATTCATTCGAGAGTAAGAAAATTAACAGTTCACTTTGTATCTAGCTTCTTGTGTCTAGTTACTTTTCTGCGTGTTAAACAAGCCCTTCTTGTTGTTTAAGAAGATTACCCGTCGAATAAGACACCTCTAGAATAAGCCCCCCCCTCCTTTTTGAATTTCTTTATATCCGAGCAATGATATAGAAGCGCCAAACTTGCTGTTATCAGCTGAGGCAAAATCACTCAAGCGGAAATACTGGCAAAAAGACGATTCCGTATAGGGCTCAGTAAGGGAAATAGCAAGGCGGACAAAGGAAAACCAATATTTTCGAAAATCAGCATAAATTTGATAAGTAAGCGATACTGTATCAGCTTTTCATATTCATTTCGAAGGTTTAAGCTATAAATTTATTTGGTAAATGGTTTTTTAAGATTTTAAAAATTGTTTACTTGCTACGGCGTTCGTAGAGGCACTGGTCTCGGCAATAAGAAATCACAATAATAAAAATCATTTTACGAATATAATTTGTGCTATCAAGGAAGGTTGCTTTCACAGGTAGATTTTTTCACTTGCTTCCTGTTTTTGCTTGTGCGGGGCCCAGCTATTTCTCCTTAAAGTGAGAGCAGAAAAAGAGGCGTTGCCCTTACTGAGGGCCTCAACCTAAAATTATTGACAAAAAACATTTAGATGCATTGTAAGTTGTAAAAGGGACACTTGACGTTTGATTATCATTTTGAGGCGGAGGTTCATCATGTGACTCTGGTACCTCATCGGCGGAAACATTTTTTTACGTAGCACTGAGGGCCCAAGCCGGGAATTGAAAATTGGGGGGCCAGGCTTGCTAAAGTAAGGCGTAAAGGCTTCCTTCCCTATTTAATGCAGCTTCAAAACAACTTGCTTCCCAAAAAGTGGAGGGGCCGTGTCCACCCACCCCCTGGTGGCATGGGCCCTGGTACTGAGAGGCACTTGTAGAAGAAACCCTATCACACTATGTGAAACTAGGGCACCTATATGTTTGTAGGCCAATGGGCCACATTGGGAAATGTGGCCCTGTTTATTGGTCCATTTAACTCCATGTGAATAATCTTCATATGAATATAACAATATCAAACCCGATCCCGAAGAGCCCGATTCCTTTGAAATTAAGTCTATGAATGGACATATTTCGACATTTTTTTTAGTCATTTTTGTTTTTTGTTAAAAATTCATTTTAATTGTAGCCCCCATCCCCTTTTGCGCTGTCCATAAATTGACATCACCAGTGAGTCGTAGGATTTAACTATCAGCCAGGGAATATTGTTTTTAACATCCAAATTGTTGCCATTGTTTGTCAAAACTTTAAATAGAACCTTATTTAAAATAAAAAGAGAATAGAATAATAATGATAATGGCATTCTAAGTTCACACGAAATGAAATGCGGCACGCCTATCTTCAACAAAACCCAAACTATATTATCTAAACCGAAATAGTCACGATATTTACTCATATGAATGCTTTTTTCGAATAAGCCCGAAAAATATTGTTGACAACATAAACATTCCTAGGCCAGTGCCTTTACGAACGCCGCAGCAAGAAACATTTTTTAAGAATATTGAAACCCCATTAACCAAAACATTTTATGAATTAAAACCTTTGAAATGAATATGGCAAGCTGATACAGTCTAGCTGAACTTTCAAATTTATGCAAATTTTCGAAAATATTGGTTTCTCTTTGTCCGCTTTTTGCCAGTATTTCCGGTTGAGTGACATCTAGCGCCTTCGGCGCTTCTATATCATTGTAAATAACGTTCTATCATCGCTTTTCTATCTCACTTGATAACGGGCTATGCTCGAAACGTCGTTAATTATTTTAAATAAATTTTCCTGGTACAATTTACTTAAATTGATCGTTATTTAAATTCATCATATTGTACCGGACGCATTTGAGTGTATTTCTAATCTAATTTTTAATATATATCATTGTGTCCGGGTAAAGGCAGTGCATCCGAGGTTCCTTGCAAAAGAGGTCTGTGTCGGCCTATAACGTAAATGATCACCGGTGCCTCTCTTGATGGATGATAAAATAGAGTTTTCAAGAAATAAATTGAAAGCGCTGAAATTCAAATTATAATCGCACTCAAGGGAGCCAAATAACGCACCAGCCTGTCGGGGTAAACATTTTATTTCCATAATTGTAACCATGTTTAGTATGTCTTCTTTCAGTGATCGGACCACTCGGACGAAGCACAACAAAACAACAGGTGTAAAACATCTTTTTATTGCTGTCCTGACAAATCGAGTCGCAAGTTGAAATTTACGACTATGGGAGCTGTTTGATGGAAGAACGCGAATAAGAAACAAAGGAAACCACCATCGATTTATCGTCAGTTGCTTAATTTGGAGAAAGCGTACTTGTTGTTAGGGAGCGGGATTTGTCGACTTAAAACCTGCCACTGTACCTCAGAGGAGTTTGCTGTCAATCGTTACGAGCGGTTGGCAGATGTAAACTTTTGTATTGCACATGTAAAGAAAGTTAACAGTTCTAAGGTTCTGTTTACTAACTTTGATAGGTTTATCGTTGTACGTGACCCGAAGATGTCCATGAATGCTGATGAAGATCACGGGCATTCGTTTGAAAAGAAGACCTTTCACAAACCTACTTATTGTCATCACTGTTCTGACATGTTATGGGGAATTACGAACCAAGGAAATATGTGCAAAGGTGATTTCTTTTACTATTCTATATTCTCATCTGAAAAGCTTTTCTTGTATATTTTTTACTTCCGTATTTTTTGGTTTCATGAATATCTACATTGTTTCTATAGGATTACCTAGTATGGCAAACACTTGTTAGACATGGCATTAAGGTAGAACTAAGGATAACAGTTTTGCACAGTGAATATCTGTAACTCTTAAGATAACATAAAATTACTAAAATACATGAAATCAAAAATGCACAAGATTATTTTCTCTTTTATTAAATGTATCATGTAAAGGTCTTAGAGGAATGTTGATTTTGGCAGTTATCTTAGTCAGCAACAGATGTTTTCATTTACATCCCTCTTCTTCCATCTTTCGCCTGTTTCCTGCTATTCTTGCTCTTACCCGTCTTGATTATAACTGTCTTGAAATGTTTTCAAAAGTAAATAATCAAGTAAGATTGTATAAACTAAGAAACTCTTGAAACAAGTGCCAATCAATTGCATTGTATCTTTTTTAATAAATGAAGCCAATGCCATGGTTTTCAACTTTGTAATTTATTCAAATTAAATTGATAAGTTTTTTTCTTGGTAACTTATTACTCAGTGCAACCATTTTTTCAGGCACTAAATACCTTAAAAGTTTTTTTGGCATCAAATTTAGACAATTTTAATTGTTTTGATGAACTAGTGTCTTTTTAAATCTCAATGATGTGTAGAGTTTAATTTGAAGACATTTCTTAGTTATTTCTTAGTAACTATTCTTATCCTATTTTTCAATCATCCCAGTTTGTAAATCCCCTTCCTTGTGTTTGGTCATTATAAGAGTCAGAAGCAGCTGCTGTTTTCCCAAGCAAGTTTCTTTAAATCCACAACGATGAACTCTTTTTTCTGCACGCAAAGGGATTCTCTATCTGGGTGGTAAATGTCTCACATGTACCCTCAAAATGTGCCATCCAAGAGGTCTGTGTCACCCAATTAGAATGTTGAAGTCATTACGCCTTTGTGTTCTTATGACCTTTGATATGCTTTCATTCTGATTTTGGCTTAGATATGCAGATTAATTTTGGGAGGGGATATTTGCTGGATTCAAATGTGGAAGACTGAAGTACTATTACTCATATCGTTATAAACCTTATCATAAGTCCCAAGGGACATACTTATCTAATTTTAACTACTCCTAATTTTGTAATCCCAGATAATTTTTCTAATTACTTATGTAATTATGCTTTGATTTCAGAACTGTCTTTTAAAGTGTTTGTTTTATACACTTTAATTAAAGGCTGCTAATTCTCTCCTTTTGGAAGGGGCTATCCAGATTATTTACTTCTGAGAAATGCTGAGTTATTACCTGACTGAAATATTTGTTATGAAGCAGGCTCAGCAAATAGAAGCTTATTTTAATATTGAGTTCCCTTTGTTTGCTGTTAAAACAACCTGTCATGTTTTAATGATTAATTGTGATTTTAAGGTAGAGAAATGAGGTCAGTCTTTGTCCTAGGGAAATTTAATAATTTCTTCCTTAGAAGCCCGCCATTATCTTATATCATTACCTTTTCAGCCTTAAAGAGTCCCTTTTGTTGCTCAAATTAAAATTATCTATGCAATTTCAAATCATACTATGCTACTTTCACCTATCTTCCAAATAATACTGCAGTTATCAGTTATGATGTGGATATTCCTTCCATGCTTTTCTTGTTTTTCACTTCAAGGAGATATGTGCTATCATTTTTATAAAGAGATTATTTGTAATTTAACAAAACTGGTTGTTGTGGGAATGGTAAAGAGGGTTTACACATCAGCGAACAAATTTGTTGAAAAATGCCATAGCAACCAGAAATGACAATATGTTAACCTGAATTTGCTGGTCTTCATTTTGTTTTCACTTTCTGCCAAACTTGCTCCTTTTGTGATGTGTGTAAATTGTAATCAATTATTCATCAAGTCCTTGTGCAGTTAACAGGTTGAGCTTTTTCTCAAAATTGACAATTGCAGTGAAAGTGACATAATTTTTCTGTATCACACATATTTAAAATCAAATCATTTCCATTTCCTAATGATTTTTATCAAATCTAAGGCTTTTTTATCAAATCATTTCCATTTCCCAATGTATTCCTTTTCTTTATAAACAATAAACTACATGGTATTGAAAGTGGGTGAATTCAGAACATGATTTCTGTGTTTACCCAAGCCATTTTTAAAATTATAATTTGGTCATTTTTACTTCATTTTACATTTTTACATGAGAAAAATATTCATATACACTTTTTTCAACAGCCTCATTCGTTTGGTAGGACCGAGTCCCATGACATCACCACAGCTCTTGCTTCGCAGACCATTTGCTAGTCAATGCTTAATGTAAAATGCCATTAATGTGATTTTCTAGTCACACCCAAGCTACTAGGTTCTTCACTACCATTTTAGACATGTCATCAAGATGGCATCTGACTGGATAAGCGAAAAAGTAATTTTCCAATGGCCAGCTTTTATGAGAAGACTTGTGAGCTCCTCCTTGCACCTATACATAGCAAAACAATTAATATCGTATGGAAGAAGGGCATCCTTCTATAATTTGAGAATAGTGAACAACAGTTAGTCTGTTTAGGCCCCTTTTCTGACCAGCAATATACACTTTGACTGTGACTTTGATCTTACTGAATGATTTTTACAAACCTTGAAATCTATAAAAGTTGGGCTGAATAATTTCAGTAGCATGTGCTGCCATACTTTGAGATAATGTTAAATACAGCAGAGTAATGAAAAATAATTGGAAACAGGCCTATCTCTTCAGGAGATTAAAGTCAGCCGCTTGAAATGCAAGGTGAAAATAACACGTGGGTCTTGACGACGCCTCTGTTGTGAGAACAGCGCAGTGACGCACCAGTTTCTGTTTCTGCCTCGTTTACAGTTATCAAGGCAGTGATGATACAGAAACCCTAGCCCTTGTTCTCTGAAGAAGATATGGGATCTCAGATAATTAGTTTGCATGCTTTTAATTTTGCAGCAAGCAATTTTTGCTACATGTAAAAGGGATCCAGCTTATCAATGAATTTGCTTTAAATGCTGGTTTTGTACATATTTATGTGTATTTTTTCAACAGTTTGTGGATTCGTGACCCACGATCGTTGCATGGCCAATGTTGTCATACCCTGCACTGCACTGTCGCTCGCACAAGTTCAGGTAAACATTTTGTCTTATGTTCCTGGAAATAACAGTGAAATTACTCATATTTTTGTTAACTCCACTTGATGTTGTGGAGAAAGCTCATTTCGAATGTTGAAGCTGTATCGAGGAACCGAGGCTCGTTTAATTGAATACTTAACTGAAAACCTCGTTTTGGAGGCCGAATGGCCCACATTTTCTTGATTCTAATTTCATGTTTTTTAAATATATTTTTCTTTTGGTAATTTTTAGATTGACTAGATTGATTTTATGCTTTATTTTCTATGCATTATTGCCTTACTTTAGTTTAATGATGGAGCAAAAGTAACCGAAGCCTCTCAACCAATACAGATTTCTATCGACTAGGCGAATAGTTCAAAATAAGGTTACTCCGCGCTAACTGTACTAATTAACTCGAAACCCACATACGCGGGTAGGGAGTCTTTATTCTTGAGTGGGCGCCATGTTTTTGTACCCTCTTATCTCTATGGAAAACAACCCACGAGACTTTTTGTTTTTGTTTGTGTACAGTGCGCAAAAAGCCTTTCCAGAATGTTTCAAGTTTGAGTTTATTCTTCGAATTGTAATCAACAGACACATCGAACGTGTTCAAACGAAAATGAAGCCTAAATTCAAGAAATTCTCACATCACATTACTTTTAAGGCTATTAATGATGCAGTTTTCAGTTATTATTCGTGATGTAGTTTGATCATTGTTGTTATTCCGTGATATTTTTATTTTTCCAAATCTTTTGACAGAGGCCACAAGCGCACACTTTCATATCTATTTCAACGAAGTCAAAGATATGCAATGTTTGCAGGCAGCGCAGCGAAGACTCCGATTTTCTCTCTTGCAGATGTGAGTTCAGCTTGGCCGTTTATGTTCCCTAAGCCATGTTTTTTTGACTTATAGCTATGTAATCATGTAGTTCCTTTCAGGGCCCTGATAAATTGTTTAGGCCGGGGATTGGAATTTTCATGTAGTAAAATGCACGGTAGTGCAGCGAAAGGTAACCCCAGGATCCAAGGTTCGTGGAGTAGTCAATTCTGCGCATGGTCTTTTTCATCCCGTTTCTTTTTCTGGTGCACCATCACTACCGTTTTCCACAAAACAGTTTGATTTATATTCACTCTCTTACTAGTATCAAATTAAAATTTTCCATTTGGGTGAAATTTGTTTGAAGGTTATGCTCAAAGGGTAACAAGGAAGTGGACGGTTTTCTGCAGTCGACATTGCTCTCGTTGAGTATCCTCGTTCTTGTTCCCATGCTCTCAGTTGAGCTTTTTCTTAATAGCTATTATGCCTTCACCATCAGAATATTATTTAGATCAATTCCAAAAGTGACAAAATTTTGTAGTTTCGGCTAGGTCTTATATTCTGACGTATTTGCTAACAATAAGCATTCCTGTTTTACGCACGAAAATTGCCAACTTCCGCTGCTGATTTTTTCCAGCGCGTTAGGATTGATCAAATATTGACTACACAAACCAGGCCATATTGTCATTGTATAATAATCTAAACAGCACAAGATTATACTCGACAAAAGTCATCTTTTTTCCTGGCTAACAAGATTAGTTGTGAACTTAACACACAATTTTCGTTTCCATATATTTAAGCCTTTTTTCAACGAAACCAAATCTTGTTGAAAAATAAATTCAATTATAAGGTTAATTTTGCCTTATAATCCTTTTTTGTAAGAAGATTTATCCACAAGTCAAAATCTTGATAGCTGTTGTGCAAAATTGATGACGTTCGCTGACCCTTGGTTTAGAAATGTGCTTGCAGCTCGAGATTAGCTTAATGCATGTATGCTGTAAAAGGAAGCAGATTGGAAAGACACTAAAGCAAAGTGAAGGAAAGAGAGGCTTAATTATTGTTAGGGTTGATGATCGGTTATTTTGCAATCAGTGCACACTGACCAACAGCTGGGTACTGTAGAAACATACCGCAGGTTAAAAGAAAGTTGTCTAATGAAAGCCCATGATGAATTGATTCATCTTCACTACTAATAGAATTCGGTCTAATAGAATTCAACCTTAGAGCCTTGTTCGTGAATTCTAATGATTATATCATGTCTGGGAAAGTCTTAAGAAATAACAAAGGGAAATAGATACAATTAAAGATTTTGTGTCAGCATAGTTTTGTTGATGACATTTCCGCCCCAACATGTAGCACTGAAGCATTTTCATAATTTTTTAAACATGCTCCCAGCATCAAGCTATTTCCTCTTCTTGTCGGGCAATCTTTCAGCACTAATACTTTGAGCTACAAATTTGTTGAGATTTCAGGCAACAACTCCCAGCTTCTAAAAGCATTCCTTTGGAATCGCATAAATTGAACTTTAAACAATGATCACCTGACATTTAGCAAGGGAACCCTATAACAGCTTTTTTAACAAAGATTAGATCAGTCCAATTCAAAACAAGAAAAAAATCGGTTTGATTTTTCAATAAAATTTGACGATTGCGGGAGCGTTTTGCTTTTAAGCCAACATTTGTTTGAGTTAGATTAAAACAGTTTAGTTGCAGTCGTCTTCTTAGGTTGGGTTCTGCTTGATTGAATTAACATAAAATCTTTGGTCTTCTATCACAACCGATCTTGTGTTTTTAAACATCTTGGCATTTGCCTTAATAAAAATGTCTTCTGCTGTAAACAATTTATCGTCTCTAAATTAGGCGAATGTTGATTCAATTGAAGCGTACCACCTGTCAGCATATTGAGTTTTTGAGTATTTTCATCGTTGACTTTTTAATTTTCTACAGCGGAAACATTCCGGCAAATATATGTAACGATTTAGATTTGTTTCTTCTAACATGCTGCCCTCTCTACACTTACAGCATTTCTACCCTTTTCTTGCAAACTGAAGATTTTTCATCAGGTATTTTTGAACTGGTTACGAAAGCCCTATTTTGAGTTCATTGATCAGTCATTGCTGAATATTATCCTCACACGTGATATCCTTTTCTCTTGCCGCTCGCCTGTTTGGAAAAGTTATCCCAACTGTTTTTCCCTCCATTTATAAACTTGTAGAAGTAACTCATTTATACCAATGACCATTTTCCATCGACCTTTCCTGGTTTTCCGCATAACCCTCTTCAATCAGCTGCAAATTCTCCCTCTAAATTGTCATTCTAAAATGCACTATCGCATTCTGTTCAGGTTGCGAGTATTATGTTCATTCAAGCTGCTCAAAGGACACTGTTCATAATTGTAAAAGATCTTCCGTTTACCATGAAGATCTTGTTGATGTGAGTGCTATTTCGTCAAATTTATTATGGCTTATCATTCATTACTGAGCACGTATTCTTGATGCAATGTTGTGCAATGTAATATTATAATATTTGAAATATAATACCAAGAAATTTAATGCAATTTCGTGAAAGGAAATGCTATCCAATGTTATGCAGTAGGATTCAATGTAATTACAATGTGCTTGTCCAATCCATCGTTTCTAAAGGTAATCCTAGCTAAACTGGAAGTTAATTCTTTAAAGGGAATAAGCCATAGCCAATGTGTTTGTAAGGCAGGTAATTGAAGTTACCTCAGAAACCCAGACAGATATGAGAAAATGATCTATGAAGAAGAATTAATAATCAAAAGATGGATAGAGTAATAGGAAGGGAATTTTATAATGATGAAAGAGAGATCTTACCAAATATTGACGAAGTGAAAGACGAATCGAATAGACGAAAAAGAAGTACGAGAATGGAGTATGCGCTGAATTCTTACAGAATCTTGGAGAAAGGGGAATAACAACTTTAACTGAACTCCTCAACAAAATCTATACAACAGGAGATTTTCCTCAGGATTTTATCAAAATGTGTTTGTTCCAATCCCTTAAGTCTCCTTTGATTGAAAAAAGAATCAGCGAGAATCAACTTGTTTTTGGAAAAGGCAAAGGTACAAGAGAAGCTATTTTCATCATAAGAATCTTAAGTGAAAGAACTATTGAGAAAAAGAAAACTATTTATCGTTTTTTTATTGATTACACCAAAGCATTTGATGGAGTAAGGCACGACAAAATGATCGAAATAATGAAAGGAACGGGGAATTCCTAATCATGAGATCAGATTAATTGCTAATTTGTATTGGAAATAGAAAGCAAGTGTAAGAACCAACCAAAGGGAGAGTGAAGAAATTGAAATAAAAAGAGGCGTTAGACAGGGTTGCATCCTATCACTAATTCTATTCAACCTGTACAGCGAATTCCTAATTAAAGAAGCATTAAGCAAGGGAAAAGGGCTAAACATCAATGGAGAAAATATAAACAATATTAGGTTCGCTGATGATACTGTACTAATTGCAGAAAGTAGAGAAGATCTTCAAAGAATGATTAATGAGCTCCATCAAAAATGTGTAGTAATGTTATGTTATGTTAAGAGTAATGTTAATAGACAGGAAGGAACAAATTAAATGTGAAATTAAAGTAGAAAACAAAGAGCTAGCAAATGCAAAGACAACAAAGAGCAAGTAAAGGAATGCAAATATCCAGAAAGTTGGATAGTTAATAATGAAAAATTTGAGGAAGAAGTCAGAAGAGGAATAGGAAAAGAAAAAGTAAATTGAAAATTTAAGGAATTTTTCAGAAGCAACATCAACCTGAATTTGAAATTAAGGCTACTTAGAATCTTCTCAGTGGTAGGATATGGAAGCGAAGCATGGACATACAGCAAAGTAATGAAAGAAAAACTTTATCCTTTTGAAATGTGGTGCTACAGGAGAATTCTGAGAGTTAGCTGGACTTAAAGAGTAACCAACAAAAAAGTGTTAGAAACAATTGGACATCAGAGAGTTTTAGTCAACGAAATGATAAAAAGAAAAATGAGATTTGCTGGCCACATTATGAGTGGATCATCCGGGTTCTTGGCAAGGCTTGTTTTGGAAGGTATGATTGACGGAAAAAGAGACAGGGGAAGACAAAGGAGAACATGGGGAGAAGATGTCAAGGAATGGAGCGGGTATGAGAGCATTGGGAGAGCTAAACGATATTCTGAGGATAGGGATAGTTGGAGGGTCATGGTAGACCACCTTTTGATAGAAGATGGTACCTGATGATGATCCCTTGTAACACTTTTGCTTGTATTATTGCAAATTTTATCAAGGCTTCTTGTGCTATCAATGTCTTTGCCATTCACTAATTTTGTAGCGATATAAGCCTAATTTTCATGTGTTAATTTGAAATGCGTCGTCTTTATTTGAAGGCCAAGTATATTCAGCGCCACCATTGGATGGAGGGGCACCTTCCTGCATCATCGAAGTGCCACCACTGCAAGAAAATCTGCAGCAGCTCAGAGTGCCTTACCGGTCTAAGATGCTCTTGGTGCGGCATAACGGTTTGTCTATGTTTTTAATGGTCTGTTACATTCTCACATCACTATACTTTCATCAAACTTTACTCAAATGAAGAAAAGGCTTGTTCGATTGGTATTTCTCTTCTCTTAGGCTCATCCCGGTTGTCAGCACAACATCAACCAATCCTGCAACTTTGGAAATTTCTCAAGATTGGTTTTACCTCCATTTTATGTGTCAGCTGAGAATATTCCCTTGTGGATAACAAGATTTTCTGCTGATACGGCAAGAAAAATGTCAGGTGCGTCCGAAAAAATATTGCTCATTCTTTAACGTTTGCGTCAGCGTGCAAAATGAAGTATTTGGAACGTTAAAATTTTGTTATTTTGGTCACTTGCTGTGTGATGCCGTGTTATATTCTTACGTATTTGCCAGGTAATATTATACTGTAATACCCATTAGGTGCAGCTAATTCTATCGATTATTTGGTATTTTTGCTAGTTGATTTCTTGTTTTACCGAGTCCTTTCTTCCCTTTTTGGCATTCAGGCTCTTCAGATTCAAGTCACACAAGCTCTGGGTCATCGGAAGACAGACACGATGTTTGTAATTCTGGTGACGTTGAAGGTAACTTGATGAATGCTTTACGTCACGTGTTGTCATCTAGATGAGTGACTGGGCACGTCGTCCTGAAGTAATATGTTCCTTATACTTGCAAATAATATGTAGTTATAATTACAAAGTATACTTTGCTTTCAGCAGTGTAGATAGCAGTAAATTGTTTGAAAAAGAAGCAGAACCCCCAAAGACAGTATCTTGTAGGCTAAGCATGCAACCATTCTATGCAAACTGATCAGTAGAAATTTATTATCAAATCATCAGTTTAATTTATTCCAAAATTTTGTATTTGATTAGATTCATCTGGTGTTCTGAGAATATACGATGGTGACATCACAAATCCGCATGGTTGGCGCAATGTAAGGGTTTCAAAAGATGCTACTGCACCAGATGTGCTGGTTCGTGTTTACTTTTATTTAATTTTTGTTTTTTGTCTATTTGTTGATTTATCAAAAGAATTTAATTTATGTTGTTGAGGATGTCTGTCTATTTCAGGAAGACATTTGAAACTGTCAAACAGGTCTCCTGACCTGAAAATGTCCTGATACATCTTTACGTTCCGAGGGGATCTGAAGTGGACCCGTAGAATTTCTAGCAAAACAATCTCATTGTCGTTTGTTGTTGACCTTCTTTTAATTCATCGTCTCCAGAGAGATGCCTTGTTACAGTTTCGCATCACGGAAGAGCAGAACAAATATTACCTGGCTAGAGCAATCAGCGTCAGTAAGTGTCCCTTTCTACTATTCCTGTAATTCTCTATACTCTCATTCGTCAGAGATGGGGGGCAGGGGGGGGGGGGGTGCGGGGGGTGATAACTTCAAAATCTGCGAGCTGCACGACATATTCCCGTATTCCCGTACGAAACATATGACGCAGGACTGAAAGTGCTTTGAACTTCGGATCACAATTTTGGCATGTTTCTTAATCTGCATAATCTTAAGCCCAGAATAGTTATTATTTCTTAAAAACATTGACTTTTTATGTAACACAGCTGCAGAATTAAGACAGTCCCTTTCTACTTACATATTAGCCAGAATATCTACCTATTCACTCAAAAGGGTTTTTCACAGGGATTTCCCTCACTCAAATGGACCATTATGAAAACATTTCTTGACTGTTCGATCGCTGTCCCTCATGAATGAATATTTATTTTGTATGTTGTCTCCTTTTATCATGTCTTAGCATTTTATGTGGAATAAATACTGTTACGGACCACAAAATAGCATCTATAAAACACACCGTTTGTCAAATCCCGATCTTTAAACATTCTCAAGTAATCAAGAATCAATCGTTTAATGTCAGTCTGGTTGAAAATTTGCCAAAACATTCTTTGCTTTGCTTAATTGAGCTCCAAGCATTTCATTTGTACATCTTTATGCTTTTTCTTAGATTCGGAGCGACGCCTGGAAAACTACGAAAAACCCATGCATTTTGTGAAAAACAAAAAGCCGCAGTTGTTTCTAAGACACAGTGTAGGCTTTATTCAGTTTTTTTATTTATGTCTGCTTTTAGGCCAGGGAAAAACATCGAACCGGTGCAGCTGTCAAAGTACCTAGGAAATCTTGTTTCTTTCACGAATGCGCCCATCTTTGTTATGCTGTTGCCAAGTGCATGTCGCATAATGAATGAATCCGATTGTGAATAATATAATGTGTTTTTGAATATATTTAGCGCAATGCCGACTAAATGTTATTTTTGTGGTCTGTATATATATTATTCCAACTATTTTGTCTTTTGAATGCAAGATGGTAAATTAAATTTTTTCAGTAATGATCTAGCGCCCTGTCTCTAGCTTACTTGTCTTGATATCATTCAAGTTATTGCTAAATTTCGCCATCAAACACACCCACTTCGATGGATGTCTCAATTATAACTAACCCGTTTTATCAACAAAAATTTCTTCAATCCAAGCAAGCCCCGTTGTTTAAATTACGATATTTTTTTCTTTGGCTAGATTTAGCCATGTTATGCATCTGTTCAGCTAATGGTTTATTCTGTCAAAACGTTATCTAACGATTAAGACAATGTTGATTGTAAAGTGTATGAATTATTTAGAGTTACTTTAGCCAAAACAGCTTTATGTTTCAGTCTTTAGACATAAAACATGGCACACTGACCATCTACAGAGGAGATATACCGTAAGGAAGCATCAATTCACTCTCACATTTATCAAATTCTAGCTATTGTATGATGAGCTCCAACTTCAGAGCCCCAAAATCGTGCAAATTTCTCGTTCAATGTAATTTCTGCGAAAGCCTTGTAAAAATATAAAACATTCTACTCTTGTGAAGTTGACTTTGATCACACCCATATTTAATGAAATGATAAATTTTTATCAGTGAAACAAACTTTTGAATCGAAGCATAATAGGATTAAGTTGTTTTTATATTGAAAGATTCTCGAGCTTCTTTTTTCTCTTAAGATTAAGCTCACTTATCACAAATTCTCATTTATGATTAAAATCATTTCAAATGTGCGGAAAAGTTTAGGAATGTTTTGCACTGTATCGCAGTATATGCCTTCATTTCTGCATGCCAATAGTGCTTGTTAACTTATTTTCATTAATTTTAGCATTTGCATCGCTTTTGCGGCAAGTTGTGTGCCGTGTCATGTTATTTTGTGCCATATAATCGTTTTTTGTGACACCTAATAGTCAAGATAACGGTTTGGGTAAAAACCCAAATGACGCTTCCTTAACCTTCAATATTTTATTGCAGTTTTCCTCCAAAAAGCGTCCTTAAAATATGCATTATGATATGGCATCAGTAAGATAATTTTAAAATCATTTTCTCTAGAGCAAAGCAACCATCGGTGATCGTTGAAGTTAACTTGCGAACTCCAGCTTGGCGAATCGTTGAGCGTGCGCTCAGCTTGTTTGAAATCGAAGTAAGCCTCTTGTTAAGTCTGAATGTCCTTATTTATACGCTCGATTTCTGGTTCCAATTGGCTTTCGATCTCATTTTGAAGATTCAGGCTAGACTTAATGGGTGAATTTCGCATTTCATTTTGTTTCAGAATGCCAAAATGGAGCGGTACTGTCTAGTTGAACTTCAAATGCAGCCCAATGGAGGTAAGGCGTTTTTTGTAATAATTAGCAATTCCAGTTTAGTCGTGTTCCAAATTTCAGTTCCAGTTTAGTCGTGTATTTCTGGCACTGTTAACATTCGATGCTTGGAAAACAGGATTTTTTTGTAGAAGACCTCACTGTTCCTCAGTGCTCAACGATTTTCGTTAGATGCAGTTTATCGTGAACCTCGTGTTTAACGAATAATTTGCATCAAATCTTCGAATTCCATCTCTATTGATGCCTTGAACAAAGGCAAAATTTCTTTCCTTTTGTTTTTTTAGACTTTCAGTATCGTTGTTTTCTGTTTTAAAGCCACACCAACTCAAATACACCTGTCTTGTTACCTCTGTTTCACAGCTCTAAGTTTATTTTTCTTCTCAATGCTAGTTGCACCTCAGGAATGTGTTCTTTTTAACCTCCTTCTGCAACATCAGCATTTTCTAAGTCTACGTCATCATAGTTGAAACCTGTCCTGTTTGTTTTCAATGCAGCTATATCCTGACTGATTTGTTTCCTTTCAAGAAAATCTCTGATCCAGACTGATTCGTTTTCTCAACCAGAGGCGGATCCAGAGTGAGTTCTTTGGTGCACAGAACTCAGTCAGTTTTACAACATAAAGCTAAAAGTAGTGTTACTTGAAAGAAGTAATATTTAAAATAAAAAAATGAAAACTATAAAAGTTTTATCACAGTCTCTTCAAAATCTTAAATTTGCCGGTTTTATATGATTCGTTCGCCCTCCTTTCTTCTCTGGCATGATTTAGAAACGATTTCCCCGACGCTGTGGAGGACAACAGACCACACTAGGCTAGCTAATTCTGATAAAAAAGGAAGTCAATCCTAGAACTTGAAAATAAACAATTTGTGCCTCGGAAATAAGTGAAACAAAAACAATGGAATTTTTATTGGAAACACGGATGGAACGCAGTCAGAACAGCATCTGGAACTCGGAAATTATATTTGTAAGATAGCTGCACAATAGCCAGTAGTTGATTGGCTGCCTATTGTTCTGTTCTGGCGTGAGACTGCATTACATTGAATTCAAAATGGCGGGCGACTTCAGGTGTCTAATATTCGCGACACTCGAGCATTCCAGCAGATTATTGAATTGCAGTCTTTGATGGCAGGGGTAACAATGCTCAGACGGAATAATGGTTCCATATTTTGATGAATTGGCTGGTGTCTACCGAAGCAAAATGATAAATTTGTGCTTAATTTAATAATGATCCGATTTTATTTGACATTGAAATGCAAACAATAGGGAAAAATTTGGCTGTGGTATCCAAGACAAACAAAAGGGTATTGAGAAGGGGAGTGGGTTTCAAAGGGGAAAAGGTTCCAAAAATTTCCACAGATGCACTGTTGTTGTCAGAAATGGCCCCCCTTCTATGGTACCAAAATGCCTAATAATTATAGTAATTTTAATAATAATAATAATGATTTTGACTTAGGCACAATTATAATTCATAAACCTAATTATCTGAAATACCCCAGCCTTGGCCTGGAACTCAGTCAGGTTTTCTGTTGGATCCACTCCTGTCAACGATCCTAAATTTTTATCCATATTTGGGCAAAGAATTTGTGTGAATTATTTCAAGGAATTTCTGCTTTTTGTCATCAAATTGTATATATTTCTTGCGTTAGTTGATGAAAGATATGTCGAAGATGAAGATTGCGTATGGGAAGATTACATAGGAAGAAGAAAGGTACTTCACTAAAACATAAACCTTTTTATCAAAATCTCTATCTAATGATGGGAAATGTTTTTAATTTCATTTTAAAAACTATTTCCGACAGCGGTTTTATGCGGGAAATTTAGACTGACGGGGATTACATGTTGGTGATATCAGTAAGGATTGTAACTGTATTTCATAACGGCAGTCTTGAATTTTGAATCGCATAGTGCGAAACAAGTTTGCCACCTGCACGTGATTCGCAAACAGATCTATCTTTTGCTTATCTATTTAGACGCTAATTTGACAAATCTTAACTTCTTAGGTATACCAGTCTAAGATTAAATAAATGTTTGAGTTAAGACTTTATTTGTTTATTGATCGTCTAATCTTTTCTTTTAGCTTCTTACTTTGGCTAGGCCCATTCTGTAGACTTAGGATCGGTCTTGCTTTAATGACCTAAACTTTCTTTTGTAGTTATCAATCGCCCGGACACATTCTATACGGTATTATCTTCAACCGGTTGCAAGCAGAGCAAGGAAGACATCATTGTTTATTGGCAACCTGCCCTACAATTTAACTAATGCACAGTATGAAGCATCTGTAACTGAAATTATGGGGGAATGTAAGTCAGATTCAGACATAGCGTCGCACAGATTTCCATATTTAAATAATGCGTTGTACATTTTCGTAGAGAACTACAATCCTTGCCAAAAATAGTTGGAACACCAACATATTCACGTTCAAATATTGTCAACCCCCGAATTTTAATACATCTCCAAGTTATCAGTCACGTTGCTATGTTCTTCCCTCTTTCCCCATACAATGTTGGTTATTTCATTAGAATTATTTCATTTTGCGCCCAGTGCTTGTTAATCCTAGTTTGATTTCAACTGCAAATCATGCAATTTTGATATTAATCAACATTATAATGGGAGAAGGAAATTTTGAAAAGCTGTGAAGTTTTTTGTAAGTGGTCCAACAATATTGGCAACGATTGTAGTTCTTCGATGTTTGGCGACAAGCTCTGGTCTGTGACACGTGAATGTGGCACGCTCTGTGACACGTGAATATGGCACGCTGTGTGACACGTGAGTGAGATAATTATGGTACTGAAAAATATCATGTGTCCAAATGAAGAGTGGCTGCGAGAAGTGATAGGTCTTGGGATTTGCAGCTGTTTTTGTAATTCAGAATCAGTAAGGTAGGCCAGTAGAATGATCTTTTTGTAGAAATGGTGGCAGCTGCAAAAAGTTTAAAAATGAAACTCAAAGTATTTGGGCTGTTTTAAATAATGGACATTTTCTAAACTTAGTGCAGCAATTGTTGTCTAATTTTCTACAGCTGAGCTAGACTGTTGATCACCCCAGGTTGCCTTTGCATTTAGGGTTATACTGCGTAAGTTATCACCGTACATCTTGACCTATAAGTGTCAACATCGTGAAAATATCAGTGAACATGGCTCAATCAATGGTTTTGTTGCTTCTTGGTTCATTCATTGTAGACTTTATGATTTAACGCATTTATTTTGAGCGATTCAGTTCAATTCAGTTCAGTTAATTTTATTTTGAATTCACCTACATACAAATACTCTAAAATTAAACATACTTTACTACAATTTGATTAACTACATAAGACAATACACACAAAATTAAAGAAAGATACACAACACTAGAGGATTGGTATGAAGGGGAATTCTTAAGGAGGAACTCTCTCAATAGCAAAGCTAATCGAGGAGAGAGCACCCCCTTTTCAGATAATATTTTTAGAAACTATGGGTAAATTGTGAGCTGTCTATAATACACTTTTAATAATTCTTATCCATTTTCTCCTCTTGCAGTTGTTCCTGATTGCATCATCGAATATTCCTTTCCCCTGTATGGTAGGTTGCACCCTTCACTATCGCACTGATTAATTTCATATTGAGAAAAGGTTTCCTTTTCGCCCAGTTGGTATGATTTGTTTCCAACGCAGCAGATACATTCCTTTTCATTTCTACAGGTGCAATTGTCATCGAGTTCCCATCAATAGACTCGTTGATATCCGGATATTTCAGACTGAAGGATGCTTCGATAAACGAAAGGAGAATTTATGTGAAAATAATTCCAATCATAGAGGTTAGTATTTATAGTTGTTTAATTTCGAGTTGTTGAATATAACCAATTCAAGCGAATAATTTCTGGTTTTGATATAGATTCCATTTGCATATAAACATTTTCTTTTCCAAATCCAGGAGAAACTGCTCCCAAACTCGAGTTGGCCCTTACTTGTTTTCGTCAATGGCAAAAGTGGTGGTGGACAAGGGGCCAAGCTTATCAATTTCTTCCAGAGGACACTCAACCCTTATCAGATTTTTGATTTGATGGAAGGAGGTCCTCTTCCCGGGTAAGCCATTTTTCGATGTTTTAGACTTTGGCTTGATTTTCGCTGGAGTGCTACACTTGCACGTTCCCACACTGTTACTAAGAGTTTGCTCATTTGACCGACTCAAATCAGATTCCGGCAGGATAATCAAGCGAGTGAAGGATCGAATCAATCATTATCAAGAACCTTTTTATCCTTATTTTAGCTTGTACACGTTCCGAAAAGTGCAAAATTTCCGAATTCTTATTTGTGGTGGCGATGGAACATTCGGCTGGGTGCTTTCATCTATTGACGAAGCGAATAAATATATGCTGTTGACATGCAAGGAGCCTCCTTGTGCACTGCTTCCGCTGGGAACAGGTGTGTGTTTCATTAACTTCATTTTCAGTCGTTCATTTATCGTGCTGTTCCGGCCCGTGTGATTGAATGGTTAATCAGAACTAAGTCCGTCGAAAAGACCTTTTGTTTGTGACATGTTCTTTTTAGTCCAACATATCGGTCCAGTTCCTAAGGCTTTGATCCAAAAGCTCTCTATTATGCTGGCTTGTGATCTACCCGTAATCTCGTTCTAATAACTTGTTCAGTAGAAAAGCTTTTGAGGCATTTATCATGATTGAGGAGCCAAGCTAATCTTTTCTGAACTGTCTTGTTTAGACCGCACAGGTGCCTTGAAGGTGAACATAATTTAGGACACCGTTAAAACATCTTGAACCTCGATAATACTTTTGCCATGTCATTCCCTAATAAAGCTACGATTTTGTGGATTCCATGGATATTGACATTTTATATTCACATATCACCAAAAAACGATTTTTTTTGCCCCTTGCCTTGTTTTTGCACTCTAAACTCCTCTAAAAATTATTTTGAATGTATCTGTATCGATCTCAGCAATTTTCACAATCGGCATTTGTTACCTGAATGTGTTTCAGAAATTAATGCAAAGTTAAGAGGTTTTTAATCACAGCATTAATCATCGAGAGTAACATATGAGTTGGACCGACGCTGTTCATCCGTGCAAGACAGGCACCAGAAGTATCAAGTTTGTCAATGAAAACATCCACATTGGTGCTCAGCGCTTCTGTTGGCTAACCACACGAACGGCAAATTTGCTGCAATAGCGACAAAATATCTAAGATGAATTTATTAAACAAATTTCGCCAAGGGATGTCTTGTGGTTCATTACTGTTTATAAGTGGTTGGTTTTTCGGCCTTGTACGGATGAAGTGATGAAATAACTCACATGGCCGTGCCACAGCAACTTTGTAAAAGTGATTCAAAACTTGCTAAACCAGTCAGACTCAAAAGTGTACCCTAGGAGCATAACGACCCTGCATACACGCGCGTTCTTCGTTTCTAGACTGATTTTATTCTTGTCTAATCGGTTTTCAAAGGCCGATGATATGCGCAATGATATTCACCAGCCTTGAACCTCCCTTCCTTGAAGCTCATCCAATGCATCTTATTCCTCAAAAAGCCAAGATCTTGATGGTTCACAAAGAAAATTTAATTCTGTAATTCACCAGCATGTCGTTTCGCGCATATTTTGTGATACGCCTTTAAAGTTCTTTCTCAAGTAACGATACAGTATGTAAATGCAGATGACTTATCTCCTATTGTCTTCTCAGCAAGATTCACAACACTGTATTGTATTTTTTCTCTGTATAGGCAATGATTTAGCTAGAGTTTTGAACTGGGGTTCTGGATACACAAGCAGTGACGATTTGACGTCATTGTTACTATCTGTCGACGATGCAGTTGAAACCAACCTTGACAGGTAAGACGATAGTCGATGCTTCTGCAATGATGTCTACCTTCATTCTCGATAATCCGCCATTTGGTTTATCCTGCCTACCAAGCGTTCGAATCTTGATTATCAGAAACATGATTGTCCGAATCATGATTATTCCTAAATCAAATTAATCTAGCTTTTTAAGTTGAGCGAGCTCAGATCACGTTCAGTGTTTTTAACTGTTACATCGAACGCGAAAATACTTGATCCTGATCAGGTAATTAATCTGAAGAGTCCCCTATTTGTATCCGTATCTGCCCCCTTTTCGCTTTCACCTACACTCATTCTGCACAAGAAGCTTGCTATAAGAATCGAATAACCAACAATCGGGAAAAGGCAAGAAATATCAGTACTAAAGCGGAGCAAATCTATTGAAAGAAATGTCACGAGCATTTGAAAACAATAACAAAATTGACGAGACTAGCTGTTTGCATCTAAGAAAGCTCTTCCAAACAGGTTTCTGTTGTGAAATTTCTAAGCGTGAAGAAACTAAATCTAAGGCCCTGAAGGTTAGAATTAATGACATCATAGTTAAGAAACTTTGTTCCACATCATAGTTAAGATTATTGAAGCGAGTATTGGAATTTCCTAAAGCATTAAGAAACTATAGTACTCCAGGTTTTGTTCTTAAAAAAGGGAATGAGCGCAACAAATGAGAATTCTTTTGTTAAGAGCTACTGCTCATCGTTAATCTAGTTTTTTTGTTTTGTTTTTTCATTGTTACCATTGTAAACTAATAATTATGAACATGATAAACGAAGAGACCTAATGTGTCTGCTACAAGCCGGTGTTTATGTTATCAAATCTTTTACATATGAATTGGGCGTTAATTAAGCTATACTTAATTTTAAAGCCATTTAAGAAGTATAAAATTAGCTCAGGACGCCTAAACAAGAAATCGAGTACCTAAAGAGTATTTTGTAGGGTAATTGTAAATCTTGAAGTCTGCGTAATGTTAATTTACTTCTTTCTTCTAGATGGAGTGTTGTATTTGATGTACCTGCCTCACCAGACTCTAGCTCCTCTGAAGACGAACAAGCAAACGTCATAATCATGAATAACTATTTCGGAATTGGTGTCGATGCGATGCTCTCTCTTGACTTTCATCTCGCTAGGGAGGAGCAACCCGACAAATTCAACAGCAGGTTATTATTAAACCTTGATGATCACGTGACGTCTTTTCTTATTCAGCAATTGTTAATCTTGTTCATATTTTTCAGCGAATTTTTTATTTTAGCTTCACCCATGCCAAATTAGCTTTTACATTTTTCGAAGTACCGTTTTCTCGTATTTTGCAATGAGGTCGCTTTTCCTTTATTCCAAAGGCTTCGTAACAAAGGTGTTTATTTCAAATCTGGATTGAAAAACATCGCGAAAAGCTCAAACTCAAATCTGCAAGATAAAATCGAACTCGAGGTATGACCGTGCTTTCCTTCCCTGTCCACTACCGTCTCTTAAATGCAACAGAAAACTTGAAATTGGTTTCAGGACTCTCAAAGTGACAGTTTGCTCGTTTTTGACCTTCCATACTTGTGAATCCTATTCTATTTTATAGAGGTGTTCATTCAAGGCATAAAGAGAATCAAATACGTCAATAGATTTGTTTATTTCACTTTTAAATCAAAGTGATGAAGCAAAAATAAAAAAGTTTGCTGCAATGTTAAATGGATTTGTAATATAATCATTTTTCGCTCACTTTACTTACAGTATTTTTCTCGTACAAGGTTGACGGAAAGACTGTGAATATACCCAGCATCGAAGGACTTTTAATTTTAAATATACCAAGGTATATTTTATTTACATATATTAGCTAAGCTGTTAGGCATACTGTGTTTCCAAAGTAATTTTTAGAATTAACAACATTTCTGAGCCTTAAATTAATTTCTCTATCAAAATGTTTTTAGAATTATTCATATATCCAAGCAATAAAGTTTAGTTATATTTGTTCTATTATGCAAATATTTGTAATTCTTCATTCTTTGTTATTTTTTAATAAATTTTATCATTCAAGTTATTGGTATTTCATGTTTTGATGACGTTGCTTCTGTTGTAGCTGGGCTGGAGGATCAGATCCTTGGGGGAAAGACAAAGATACTGTAAGTGAAATTTTCGTTTGACTGAACCTGTCCTATTTCATTAGTTGCTAGTTAAAGAACTTGATTGAATCAATTGTAAAATGTTTTCGAATTGCGATGATATTGTCAGTGGATTGCACTTAAAATAGGTTTGTAATTTCTCCATTAGGTTTGCCATTAAGAAGTGCTTTCTTCTTTATTTCCATTTGTACTTTACTTATTTATGATTTTAATTCTTTAAGAAATTCAAGCAGCCTTCATTGAATGATGGTTTGGTTGAACTGATGGGTTTCACTGGCGTTGTCCATATGGTAAGCAATTCAACATTTTTGATTTTAAAGTTTTTATTTGAATAGTTCGTTTTGAATTTTTGTCTGCACAGCCCGTTTATTGAAATGCTAGTCTGGTTACGATGATGCCTTAATTAAAGCTGCGTTTAAACAAGCAATTTGCCAGCTCCCTGAACCCTCTACAACATATTTGTTTAATGTTTACCCGCTCCATCTGAAACCATTTACGCAAACGCAATCAACCAACCACAGAGGTGCGTAGTCCACTGTGCACCAGTTCCGCGTTTCTTCTGCAGTTTTCTCTCAAATGACAGCACTTTTTACAGCATTTCATGCTCTTTCTCGAAAAAACAACATATATTTTCATGACCTCCAAAGTTTTAAGCAAACATCTTCGTTGATCTATGAATGCTAAGAAGTTGCAGTAGTGTATGAAATAGCAAAAGCAAATATGGACAGCAGAAGTGAAGTCCTTAATGTTTCTTAGCATAAGGGCATCGTTCAACACAAAAAAACAAAGTTGGTGACTTAAAGTCAATAATGTAGCAGCCTTGTAAAGATATTTTCAAATCTCTTAAAAATTTTAAATGCATACTCATTTTGAACCTTAGATGATCCTTTTTCGGTACTGCTAGCAGTTCCATTTGGAGCGGTACCGAAAAGTCCTGTATATGTCAAAGACTTTATTTCAGTACAACCCTGTGAATCTCCGGTAAAGAAAAGGAATACAAAATGAATTATAACAATCATTTCTTATATGCACTTTATTTTCTACCCACTTATGTTTTTTTTTGTTCTTTCGTTTTTCAGGGGAGAATTAAAAGTGGCCTGTCATCTGCAATCAAGATTGCCCAAGGCAGTTAGAGCACAGAGTTTTTGTATCATCGATATGTCTGAGCTATAGATTATGTTTTCATTGTTTTGGTTGTTTTGATACCAGCTCTCGTGTTCCATGGTATGCATTTCATGTGTAGAGCATGTCATACACAATATCAAGATGTAAACTGATTATTTTTTATGTAAACTGTAAAGATGTGAACTATGCTTCAGTTCAAGAACATTTAAAGTTTTTGAATACAAGGTGAACTTGAGCAAAAGAAAGAGTTGTATGTGCTTTGATGTGTAAACAAGACGATTCTAAGTTGCAACTCAAAGTTTTTACGTTTAATTTGATCATCAGGCAACAGTTCTGCGATGATTTTAAATTATTTGTCTTCTTTGATTGGGCAATGAATCTTATAAATCTTATTCACTGTGTACGTTCAAGTGATTCTTTGAAAACCAGAGTTTTTGTTGTTTTGTATAAGAACCCCGGTCCTTGCGAACCAATGCAACCCAGTGCACCATGCTTAATTGACATGTTTCTTTGAAGGTGAATTTGAAAGTTAAGGCGGTTATTCCAATGCAAATTGATGGCGAGCCATGGATGCAGCAGCCGTGTGACATTGTGATTCGGCCTACGGTCCAGCAGGTAATTGCTAACCACATAACTGTTACTCCTTTACCTTTCCCCCTTTTATGTTTGTCTTTTTCTGTTTTTTGCACTCACCCCACCCCGAGCAACCGCTTGAAAGCATTGTTTACATCGTATCCTATCTGCCAGCACAGAGCTAATTGTCAAGTTATGAATTGTCATTACATAACGCCTTCATTTGTTGAGATCGCAGTTGATATTTCTACATCGCTAATCAAACTTTTTTCTAGGCAAAAATGCTCGCAAAAAACACCCCACTTCGAAAAAGGCTATCGTCAAAGACTTTGGGACAAAAGTCTGTCTCGACGCAAGAATAAGAATTATTTATCATAAAAGGTTTTTGATTAGTGTTAAATATAGATAGAATTCTTTAGATGAGATTGATTCTCGAAATTATTGGTCAGGCAACCAAATATAACATTTTTAATCGTTCTGGTAATCTAGTTATATTGCGCCGTTGTATTTAATGATTTCTTGTAATTTTGTTCCATTTCAATGTCATTGTTGACTTTTTTTAAGTTGATAGGCTCCCTAACAATTAATCCTTTGAAGTAAATCATTAATGATTGCTGTAAAATAGAATATTTGAAACTAACCTTTGTCCAAAGCTGCCTAGTCTTTGTAGAATCTTGTTTTTCCTCATATTTAAATCTATGTAAATCCTAACCAGCCTAGGAAAAACGATAATTTCCATAGGATCAACTGAGAAATGAACTTTTCTGCCTCAGAAAGTTTTGGAGCTGTTAAAAATTGGTTGAAATTCAATTTTTACAGCAATAATAGATTATTTGGTTACTCTTGGCAGAAGCATATTTGGTTATTGCTCGTCTTTTCTTCCGGTTATTTGTGCAAATTCTGGCGCTCTAAATGCTTATTTAAGTAGAAATTAAACTGCTAAGCAAGTCAGTGGCAAACAAGCAGACTTATTCCTAGACAGACCGCTACCTTTGAAAAATTTATGTTTATGTTTATGTTTATGAAGGCATCATTCTACTCAAGCAGCAAGGGTTTTCTGCTGAGATAACTGCTCCGTATTTGCTATAAGCTAAAACCATTCTCCAATCTAATTGAATGCATACCAATGTTAAGTCCCTTACTTAGAGTGGAGTTGGGTGATATTCAGGTAATCTATAAAATTTTAGATTAATGTAATGTTACGATTAATGCAATTAATGCCCCTTCAATGCTCCGTGACCCCTTTCTCTTTTCAACGTAATTCAACGTAACAGATTTTTGATGCTTAACTTTTTCTCTTCACATGTGCACTTCTCTTAAGTTATCAACGGCGCATTTTTTACTATAATGTTAAGGGTAATTAACATTGAATATCTTAGGGTAATATTCGGGCACGTTAAGCCAAATATCGCATCACATGCGTATCACGAGAAATTATAGCAAAGAAACATGATAATTTCACTCCCGTCTCTTCCTGTGAGATTCCTTCTTGCTGGTTGGAATTCGAATGTTTTAAGAAATGCTAAAACTTTTTGTCTGTCACTCCGCAGTGTATCAAACTTCAGAAAAATGCTCAAAAATGTGACGTTAGAAAACATTTATGCCCAGAAACTTGAAATACCCAATGGATAAAAAATAGCCAACGGTGAAAACGAACAGCTTCCAAAATAGCGGTTTTTCATTATGGCAACGGATTCTAACACTGCTAGATGAAACTACGAATGTGCTTTGCAATTTGAAAGATTTCAATTCCACATCATAAACTAAATTGCTAACTTCTTTTAGTTTGCGTCCTTGGTGATAACACTTAACCAAACAGTTGTCTTCAAGATATATATGGGATATTAAGATATTTTTAAGGTATGCGTACGCATATTGCAATTTGAAGCACCCGTCCATAAACCCCGAACATTTCCTTAGGTGAGCATGGCCCCTTTTGAAAAACGCCCAACCAGAAATTATCAGTGCCTTGGGTAGCTTGGCTGAGAAGGCTAAAAATTTTTGTTTTAATGCTTAGTAGGTACATTGAACTGATGATAAAAAAGGACTTAAACTCACCTTGAGGCCTTTTATCGTCATTCATTGCTGTAAAGTGGTAGTTGCGATGGCTGAATTAGGCCCTTTGAAGCGCACGAGAGTTTGCTGTCTCTGCAAATTGTTTGGCAGCAAAAGCTAGGTAACATTTTATGCATGCTTCAGGTGATGTGAGATTTGATTTTTGGCAATTTTATGAGGCGAAGCAGTCTCACTGGGAATTCTTTTATACTTTTTGCTCTTGCGGCATTTCAACTTGGTGACCATGCATTATTTCAAAGAATTTATGTTTAACTGAGCTTCCCTGCCAGTGATATATTTTCATTTATCTCCCATTGTTAAATGCAAAATTGGGATTTGGCTATTTAGAAAGAAGAGGCTTGTGTAGACATAAAAACAAAAGAGCTTTACAAAAAAATGTTGCTTGTTTGAAGCTGTTTCCAGCTAATGGAAATGAGAATATAAATATCTTTAAAACGTGCTTGGCATCCCCTGGGGAATTTTATTGGGGCTGTGTTGAAAGAATGCTTTTCAGCAAGGATGCATTATAAGGGTACAATTCTCTTAACTAGACACCAGCTTATAAAAATCTCAAGGGCAAAAATACATCTTCTTCTAAAAATCATATTTAATACTAGATTCGCTGCCTTTAGTAACCATTGCTTAGCAATGTTGCACTACCTTGACTCATAGCATAAAAGAAAAAAAGGTCTTTCAAACAGGCTCAATATTAAGGAATTTTTCACTAAAGTATTCGTCTTTTTGCCAACCTTTCTACCAGCAATGTTTAAACATAGGTCCGCTCCATGACATACTGCACCGCGGCATACCGCGCCGTAAAGCGGAATTTCATTCTTAGGCCTAAATACTTTTGCATCCTAAAATTACTTATTCATTTGATACATTTCTCTGACTAACAGTTAGCATTGAAAAAAGAGCAAAGGAATGAAAGCTAAGAAAAGAGATTTTCCTTTTCTCAATAAATATTAATGTGAATTGGACGAATATAAACATTTGCATTTTCAGGATATACAAAATATTAATTACAAAACTAAAATTCATTTCTAATCAAAGTACTTTGCAAATCTATAGAAAAGCCAAAGGCAAGAGTTTGACGCTTTGGTGTAACGGCTATTGCTCAACTCTTAATTGGACATCATATCGATGTTGCTGTTGTTATAACGCCATTTTCGAAAGTTATTATTGGTTGCAGCGATGCCCGTAGCAACAGCTCCTCCTTAGTGGGCACTTGGCCGGCCACGGGATTGAAGGTTGCACCGAACTCCCGATCTATCGTGTCATCATCAGTTTGGGAATCATACATGTCTGATATATCTTCAGAACCATAGAAGTCATATCCGTCAGGATAGTAGTCAACGTCTGTTTCTCCATTATATGGATCTTGCATCATAATGATCTCCGTCGTTAGAGTCTAGAGAAATATGGAAAAAACCAAATTGAATCTAAACATGTTACAAGCACTTAATAGAATGTACAGTCACTGCCAAACATAAAAAGCATGTTTTGTGATTCATAGTGAAATATTTCAAAAAATTGCTTCTAAACTGACGGTTCAGCTAGATTATGGCTGGCTAGAATGTACGAGTGTTGAAATACAGCCAGACGCCATTAGATGACTATGAAAAAACAAATTATTCTGAGACGAAACAAAACCCAAAGAAATTTGACTTACCCTTGTGTTGCTAACGGTATTCATTGATTTATTTTCTTCATAATAAGAAGCAGAAGAGCTAAAAGGAAAAGAAAACATGTTTTATTCATTGTTCCTATCTTTCATTGTTTTCATTTTTGAGAGATCTGATGTAAAGCGTTGCTAAAAGGCAGTCGAAAATTTCGTGCTTGTTTTGGTAGCTAGAGGCATTTGCAGATACTAAAACAGCGGGCCTAGCCTCCAGAAAATATTTGTTTAATTATTTAGTGACCAGGAGCGGTTTCGAATATACAGTCTTTGCAAACATTTGAATTCGTATATGTTAAATTCGAATGGGGTAATTGGTCAAGTGGACGAGGTTTGCGACAAAGCGTAACTCTACAAAGGTTGTTCAGTTCAAATTTTGTCTAGGTTAGAGACATTTCCAAGAAAGTTTTTATGTTTTCTTCTTTAGGGATGTGGCAGTGAGCTTTCGGTTGCTAATTTAAACAGGAACTGAAATCAAAATAAAAGAAATTAATCGACATTATGAATTGACAAGGGCACGACTAGTTTAAATGATTAAAATGAAAGTAAATCTTCTCTATTTCTTGGCAAGTAATACATTTAATAGGTTTTCTTTAAAACAAACCGTTTATGCTTTTTGCGGTCTTGCTAATCAATTCCTTTGGCATTTAAACTCTGCCATGAAAAGCAATCACCATGAATGCATAACATTTAAAATTATACTAAAATATTACGAATTATTTTCTGTACCTTATAAGCTTTTAAGAAATTTCTATTCTTTTTTATTAGAAGTTTTTAGAGTCAGGCATTAAAAATAAAATTAGGGGATTATGAATAGCGAATGTGAATAAAAATAAAATAAAAAAATTAATATGAAAAGTTGAGTTACTAAATAAATTAATTTTTTTAGGCAAAAACAGAAGATTTAAAAATCGATTTGAAACCTCACCGTTTTATAGAAAATGTTTCCATTAAAGGTCTTCAAAAAAGATGAGATTATTCAGAGTTAATAAAGGCAGAATTGAAAACAAGGGCCTTCATATGTATATTTTACATTAAGCATCACGATAGCAAAATTAATAATAGTTGTTAGTATCAAAGGTTATAAGTTACAGGCAGATCACAGAATTACACAGAATTACTAAGCTGAATACGAAGAAAATGATCGAACTTCAAGTTTAGGGATCGTTGACTGCAATGGAAAAAGTTTTTGCGAAATATATAGAGAAACAATTTACATAAATATTATTGAATCGATGGTTTTAGAGGTTTCAAAGCAGGGCTGCAGTATTTAATGGTTTTACAGGGTGGAATTTAAACTGGATTAGTAGTTTTAGACGTTTAATGATATCAAAACGTGTTTTAAAGCTGATGCGAGCTCTTGCAGTGAATTGAGCTTTTTATTTCAGAATTAGAAGAGAAAGACAAATAAATAAATTTTGGCTGTTTTGTTTCGGCAAAGAGCCTAGTTTAGAATTCTCAAACAACGAACCAACATTCAGTGGATACTAGTCCAAAAAATAAAAACACTATTTTAAAATGCTAACATGGTTTGTTAGAACTCTTGGTTAAGTTAAGTGAGGAAAATTTTTTAAAAATCAGAAGGTTAAAAATTCTTTAAGAAATTTGGAGTTAAGAATGTATTTGTTTGCAATTCAGACATCAGAATGAATTGAATCCTTTTAGATATATTCAGCAACTCAGCGTTTTAAAAAAAAATCTTTTTTAGAAATTATGTTTTTTCTCTTTCGAACAGCCACGTACCTTATGGAGTCAAAATTCTCATCTTTTGGTTCCACCCACATCGGGTAGAATCTGAGAGAAAGAATGCATTAGAATATTAGTGTTTATAAGAAAGATTGAAATCTGTCTTCTGCTTAAGAAATAACGAGGAAATTTATTGATATAGAAAACAAACGTGCTTCTTAGTCATGTTTAGAACAACTCTTCTTCAACATAGATCTTCAACATTTAAAAAGCCTTGTGAATGCTTCGGTTCTCCTCGTATGAAGATTTCCTTCTCGTGTAATCTTTCCTCATCTGCATCTTCAACACATTGCCATCCGTATGTTCCCAGTACTCAACATAAACCAGAATCTAAAAGCTGCCAAAAAGAAGAGTGGTCATATCTCAAATCCTCGTGTGAATTATTACCTTTCGGAGGCTCTACTCAGCGATTTTGACACGTGACTGTTGTCCACCTTCTTCCCGGAAACAGCGCCCTTCACCATCGTGTTCAATTTGTGCATGTGTTCTAGCTCAAGCGTCGCATCTGAAGACACAATATAGATTAGAAGACAGAAAAGGGTTTTGCACATTTGCCCAACCCAAATGAATGAAAATACCAGTTTGTATTGCCAAAAAAGTGTTTTTCCGATATATCCTACAAGTGCTAAATACTAACAAAAGTGATCATTAAAGTAATTAAGAAATAACGTTGCGATTTCGACTTCAGTTAGCTTATACTTTCAGTAAGCTAGAAATCTGTAAAAGAGCCTTGAAATTTTGATAACAATTGGAAATATAGCCTTCATGCAGGAGCACAGCCGGGTATCTCTGAATGGCTCTGTTTCCCAGCGTAGCTATGCATAAGAAGAGACATTACTTAGGCAGAACGCGTTTTGTTAACAAAGACTAAAGATAGTTGAGACCGAAATCGGAATCAGCATTGCGATAATTGTGCATCTGTACCAAACGACGATGGTTTAAACTCAGATATTCCTTGCGTTCCCAGTTCAAGTGGAATGTATTAATCTTACCCGAATCCTTCGCAGAGGCAGTAGCAGCTTTTAGTTTTCGTTGCTGCTTGCGCCGCAAGTAACACAGGGCAAAGACGAAGCCAAGGATGATGAGAAACAGTGCAGCAGCAACAGCTATTAAAATCGTCTGTGTTTCATCATGGGTCGGAACAGATGTAGGAACAACAACAGCCTGGATGGGATAGATTTTACTGATAAGGAAATTTTAGATTTAATGAATTGGCAAAAAACACGGGCAAAGATGGAAAAAGTTTGGGATAACTAAATTAGCTAGGCTTATATTTTCCAAAGAAAAACAATTCGTAATCTACGTTAGAATCATAAATATTAATGTTCAAAATAAAACTTTTCAACAATGTTTGAAATGTGTAGCCTAAACGTTATTACGTACTAATGAAAAAATGGGACGGAAACCAAACTATGAATAGTTAATCTACAATGGTCGGCTTGTTGGTGAAATTTCGCAAGAGTTCTGTTTAAGAACCACTAGTGTTAATTCAGATTAAAGTGAAAAAGAGGCGGACAAAAGATTTTGACAGCTCAGGTCACATCCCATGCCCTTAATGTAAGATACATTGGCATGTGCATACAACCGACAATTCAGAAAGTGGACTTTGGTTTTATGCGGACAATTCCGCACGTGGACAATTCTGCACGTGGAGAGAATTCAGATGTTGAGAAACTTGATATTTGGATACTCAACAATGGATGAGAGGCTTATTACGTCAGCAGGGCATCTAGTTTATGGAGTGAAAACTCCTGGGGCAATTCAGTTACGTATTTCTGTCAAGTAGAAGTAGCACAACCTTTGGCATGGGTAAACTTTGGCATGACATTTACACGATTTTCAAAGCAAATTGTATTATTGTTCACATCATGTCATGCAACAACGCTTTTCGAAAGGCAAATCAACTAGCATTCCAAGGCAGCAGTTCTCAGCTAAACTCGCTTAAAAATGGCAACTGATACAGCAAAACGCAATTGTATTTATGTAAACGAGTTAGTGCTATAGAAGAAAAGTCATTTGAATTAATTTTTAAAAGGAAAAACAATCAAAACTGTTTTTTAATGACAGAAGCAAAATTACAGATAAAAATAATAGATAATTTCAGTATTGGGCAAGGAATTGCTTTTAAGTTACATAAAAACTTACTTTTACCGACTGGACCTTCCACTTCTGGAAGAACCATTGAAATTTCTCTTGGTTCCTTGCAATGGCCCTAGAAAGCAGAAATGACATCAGACACAATAGCCGCGTGGAAAATCTTTCCACCATATATCAAACTCCTTTTACTGGGCTTTATTGGCAACAGGTAGAGTTACATTCAAACGGTTAAATAAAGAATTGTAATCATTGAATGTGAATAAATGTCGGTTTGGTATAATAAAATAAATAACACCTACTGTATTACTACATCTCTGTCCTGTATTTCATTTGTTGTGCGATCAATGGCGTGAAAGACGAGATCCGTACTACAATAGGAACAAAACTCAAAAAATTTTACAAAAACCCTTTCAATTCAAAAGGAACCCAACCAAATAAACAATAAAGCCTTGCAGATATTAAAGGTCTGCATTAGATTGTTTAGTGATTCTGCATTCACAGAACAAATAACAGCAATTTTTTGTGCTTTCTTAAAAGTAGAAATTCAGGTTCTTGTTGAAATTCATATTCTTCATTTAATTTCTGTGACAGTTTCATAACTGAAGGTAAAGCCACCAAAACGAGGCAAAAGCAAAATTGTCCTGATATCGAATTGCTCTATACGAACTAAAGTAGCATGGCTTTGTAAATGTTTGTACAAATTTGATTTATCTTTTTTATGATTGTTTGTGTTATTCAAACTTGATACCACAAACCTTGTTCTGTCGTATTCGCCGTTCTTTGTAGAGTATTGGATGTCGTCAATATTGATTTTAAAGGAAGTGATGTTTTGCAGAAACCTTTGGCAAAACATGGTCATTATCTTCAAAAGGAGCTAACAGAAGTTTTACAATGAATATATTACAAGAAGAGCTATTAACAATTGTGGATAGGGTGAACGGAAGACGTTAGAACTATTAGCTGATGTTTGTAAAGCTTATTTTAAGGGGGGGGGGGTTTATTTTGAGCAGGGAGACGGACCATTAAATATCTTATACCTGACGGTGCTTGCAATTGTCACCCGTCATCAACATCGGGAATGGTCATCAGCAAAAAAGAAATTAAGAAACAGCTTTTACTCGGAGGTCTTGTTTAGGGGGGGGGGGGCGGGGGTTGGGGGGATGGTTGGTCATAAGAAGAAGTAATCTGAATATGTTATTCACATGCATCTAACAATGAGAACTGCTATTCGTGGATAGTAAAATGACTTCACAAGCGCACTTAATCACAAACCATTCAATGTCACCAACGAGAAAATAAAGTTTTTTTGGGAACTGGGTGATTGCAGTGTCCCTGTTTTAGGTTTAATGATAGCCAAAGGGGAACGTTTTCTCTTGAGAGATAAAGACGTAGCAGATAAAGTGACTAGAATAATTTTGCAGCTTGCCTTATGAACTCCTCTTTGTTATCTCGAACAGTCTGTGGGTCTACATTCATCGTCAGAACAACTCGCTGGTTGTCAGTCAAAACAAATATCTGAAATTGAGAAAAGATGATTTATCTGAAGGAGCTTCACGGAGAGGCCTTCAAAGCTCTTTGATGGAAAAGGCTGATTATGCACGCTTCAGTTCATTTTGAAAACGTGTATACGTAAATGAAGAATTGAGCTAGAGAATCGAGTGGAAAGGGGAATCAGGTTTAAATACACTTGGAAGTGAATAAAATGCAATCAGCTGCTTTTTGGAGCCAGGAGCTGTATCTGCAACGTTGATTTCCTTATAAAAAGCACAAGCATTCGATTGCTTGCAAGGACTTGTGCATGAGGTGTCAAAAACTTTGATACATAATGGCAAAAAATCCCATGTGGCTTGCAGAGAATTTGAGTAGCAAATAGGCTAATTCTCCTATAATCGTTACCTTGACAATAGCAGTGTCGTTTCTATTTGGGCTTCTTCCATCGTTATCCTCCGCAACGACCTTTAACTCAAAGTTTCTTCCAACTTTACCAGTAAAGAGTTGTGCTGACTTTATCCAGCCTGTTTTTTTCTCCAGAACGAAGAAGCCCTCGTTCTGTCCACCTATCATTGAGTATGCGATGTTGCTGTTGTTTCCAGCATCTAAATCGATGGCCTGCAAATGTAAACAGTCGAAAATATCAGTAATATCATTCAAGAAATCTTTCAGATGTCAACTAACCAAATGAATACGAAAGAATACAATAAAGATATGGGAAAATCAATTTCAATTTATTGGTAACTTCACTCTAAAAACAAATACCAGAAATACTTCATTTATCTTGAATGGGTTTTTAGGCCTTGAGTTGCCAACGTGAAATGAGCTAAGTCATTTTGGAGAAAACCTTGTAACCAGAAAGGAGCGAACTGTAAGGGGTTCGAATTGTTTGAACCATCTTCAAAGGCCCTTTCTATAAAAAGCTGTTTCGTTATCATTATTATTAGAAATAATGGAGGGAAAATAGGAAAGTTAGTCAGCCTTCTAAAATTCTCTGTGTCCTGCCTATTTTCATATGCAATAAAACCACGAAAAGCAAAAAGTAAATTCTCTCTTCCGTTTACGATCAACGGCGAAAAATCGTTAATACACTGATTCCAAATAAATTTAATCAGACACAATTCTGGTTACAGACGCGTCACTTTCCCTAACCGTAATACGTAGAGACTCTACCACTGCACTCATAATAGCATCATGAAGGCTCATTTTAATTTATTAAGGTTCGGGATATTGATTGAAATATTGAGAGTTACCGCCACTTGAAGAATACTTGTTGCGTATTTGGCATTTTCGGATACACCTGCAAAAGTACATAATATGATATATGAAAATGAGAAACAAAAGCAAAAACGGGCATCCTTCTGGAGCTTCTGCTATAAATTCCAGTTTCAACAAAATACATTAACTATGAATTTCCAAGTAATTAATAAGCCTATAGTGTGGTTAAGAGAGGTTGGCTTAAGATAAAAATTTAAATGTTAAAATACTTCTTGATTGCAGTTTTACCAAATTATGATTATTGTACTTGATTTCATTTTTATTCTTGTGAATAGACTTTTGATTCTGAGGCAAAGATCATCAACCAGTAAAATCTATAATCTTTTTCTCAAGCGGCTTCATATTTCGGTGTAGCTTTTGACGTGATTCAAGACCACAAAAATCCTTATGCAACAAAGAGTAGTTCGCAATAAATATTTTGCCTTCGGGTACAAGATGAAAAGCTCACCAGCACGATATTCTTTTTGGGTGAACTTTGGTGCATTGTCATTCTGATCGTCAACTTCAATTATCACTTGTTGAGTCGAAAAAGAACCTTGGATATGAACACAACGAGATGTAATTAAAAGCCGAATTTCGGTCAATTCTTGTCCTTTGCTTGATTTCGGTAAATTCTTACGATGAGCAACTCCTCACACATTTCGAACAAAAAATAAAAATTGGTTATTATAGGCCGAGCAATCGGCTTAAAGCGAGAAAATACTGTGATTCACCAATACATAAGGAAAGGGCCAAGAGATGCAGGTGCGACACACACAAATCATTCAAAAATAATATAAAAAAGGAGCTCCGTCCGTTTATTCAAAAAATAGAAAACACATTAAATTTTATAATAAACCTTGGGGCCCTGTGCTGATTGACATGACAAGTGCCATTTTGATTGCCATGGCAACTCCTGCGCCGAAAGCCATGAGCACGTTCATGTATATACGCATTGAATGTACATCTTTCTGTGAAACAAGTCAACAAAACAAGAAAACTAACTTCTGAATAAAATTCGCAAATATTATACCTTTTGGCGAAGCACGTTTCGTTCTGATCAAATTTGTTGACCTCTGGAGAAAGATACGATGATATGAGTTCCGATTGACATTGTTAGTAAAATAAACACAACAAAACACAACATAAAATAACAAACAAAATAACATAACAGAACATACGTAATCGTGAAACAGAAAATGTGGAATTTTGGCATTCCATCCATCTTTGGCAGGGATTTACCTCCAACTCTACAAGGGGAATACTTAGCTGAATTTCTAAGCCATGCCTGTCTGTCATGACGTATTACCAAAAGCTTGTGCAAAAGGGGAAGGCACGTATTAAACCATTATTATAAAGCTATTTTTGGCTGCTTTACTCAGTGTGGCTTGTACAACGAAGCTAAAAATGAACAACTCTGGACGAAAATAGAAGACAGAGAAACACCCCCAACTTCTCTTTTTCAAATATTCGAAAGAAGTGTCAATCACCAGCCGGATCGTTTGCGGAGATGAATCAACGCTGGGCTTGATAGTTCCAGTTATTTAATGAGACACGTTAAGGCCATGTACACTGGGTATGCAAACAGCCTTACATGATTGCTGACCAAATCACATTCAATAAAAGTTTACTTGTCAAGCAAAGGGCGCTTTCACTTTTCAGAGAATTCATGTACCGAGGCAGTAACACAGTACCTGACTTCGTGAGAGAACTAAAAATAGAGACGTTAATCAGAGTTTAATCCCGCAACCAAAGCCTGGATTATATCTCAGACCCAAGGAACAATAGTAAATTATTGCCAAGAAGACCTTTCCAGGGAACAAATTCAGCGTGGAGCGATCAAAGCGCTTTTGTTATCGCTGTCTCAGCCGTAACTTAATACTTAGTTATTTCTTTTATTTGGCTATTGGTTATCAAACACCAACACAAAGTTAGGCCTTCACAACGGAAACGTAATCACTGGGAAACGTTAAGTTCCAGGAAAATACAAAATAAAAACATCGTAAACCCTTTTTACAAACAAAAATGTACATATCTAAGATCAGATTTTTTCTAAAAATGAACAGGATTGATTCGAAAAGGGGACACAGTAGCAGTTTCTATCTTTGTATAAAATAATAACAGATTTTAGTAGATGTTCAGTTCTCTCTTGGGCCTAAATTATTTTTCCTATACTTCGGCTGATATTTCGTCTGATATGTCGTTTTACATTTGCACTTACACCAAAATCAAATGTCAAAATTGCGTAATATTTCTTCATTCGAGGAAAACCTGATGCAATATTTTTTCATGAGTCGGGGGAATTTCATTGCCCAGAATGACGTAATTCCTTGGAAAAAGTGAAACAAGTCAGTAGCCCTGAATAGAAAGGTGACAGGAGTTGAGGATATCTTCGTAAAAACTTTTCGCTCACTGCAAAATTCTAATCGATCTTGAAAATGCCAGTTCAAATCAGAATACCCTCATTCTGCACGGCAATGTAATTCTAGCACCTTGTTCAATGCAAGTCAGATATAAATCTGCACCGAAAAGCAAAATCAAGGGTTTCAAAGGAGTAGGAACAAATATCTTTCTAGAACAGTCATGAGATTCTCGTTCAAATATTTCCCTTTTTAGTTATGTTGCTATAAATTCTAATACCCTTTTGACTTATTTTGCATTCGCTATTGACTAGGTGCGAATTCTCAGATATAGAAACACTTTGCGAGACGAGGTGAACATTTTTCATTGATAATAACGTCCCCCTAAAATAGCCAATTTGATCATAATCTTTCTATCATGAAAAACATCATGTATTAATTCTACTTTCTTGAAAAGATTTTCTAGGAACAGAAAAATAGCCTACGGTGACATTAAAACGAAGTGGCGGCAATGCTTCATCTGTGTCAGGTCAGCAGATCGGATGATTGTGATCATAGTCGGTTTAAACTAGTGTACAGAGACGGAGAGGGATTACATAAGGGCGAAGCAATTGTGAAAGTGTGCTGCCTTTGAATTGTGTAGAACAGCAATGCTTCTGTACCCCAAACTCTGTCTTTTATTATCTTACATTGTAAAAGACATGACATTATCTTAATCAAAATAAGAAACAATCTAATGGACGAAAATGAAATTTCAAACCTATAAGTGCAAACGAAGACCCAGGCAACATTTCATCTATTGCAAAACATTCAAATGAGCATTTAAAAGCAGTGTAGACAATAGCTACCCTAACAGAGTTTGATCAGAAACGCCAGAGAGAGTTGGCGCCCCTTTTGCATTTTGATAGGAGGGGCAAAGGGGACCAAAGTTCCCTCTTCATAAAAGGGCCTTTGTCATCGGCCTTGAATAATTATCAAAGAAATTCAAATGAAAATCTTGTCGACATTTCTTGAAACTTGTCAAGAAACTTGTAAAACGGCCCTGAGTTTGATCCTTTCTTTAATGTTCATTTCTTAATGCTGTTTATTTTTAAAAGTTGTTTCATGCTTGTAAATTTAGTTGCATTTGTGTTCTCGTTTAGATCGTTAGGACCATGCACCTCTGGTAAAGTGTCGTTGATTTAAAAAATACCATAAAATTTTCTGAAATACCTTGGTGTTGGTTGCCACGATCGTTAATGTGTACACTTGAGTTGTTTCCCTATCCTACAAAAAATTAGAAAGCATTGAAATTATACAAATTGAAATCATGCCTATAAAACAGTTCGAGATTTAAATAGGTGGGTCACTGTTCACCTAAAAGGTTTTGTTTCAAATCGTTTTGTAAAGTCTATCGATTAGGAACCAATGGTTGACAACAGAATGTCCATACTTGGCTGAAAGCAAAGGAGTAGTTAAAACCATGTTCCTGGTAAATCTGATCAAATCGAACACTCGTATCTAGCTGTGCAGTGCTAAAACCAACATTAATAACATTGAAAGGAATATACCAATATTACAATTTGCGGTTACCTCGCGGATTATCAGCGGGCAAAATGGAACCTTTAACATTTGGAAAGGCTTTATGTTGAGGAAGCTATCATAAGTTTGGTTTGCAAAAACGACTGTTACAAGTATAAAAGATACACTTATGAAAGAGCAATTTAATGATAAAGAAGTGAATAGAGTTAAGATTTTTCGTAATTAGCCGCTAATGTGCGACGAGCTTTTGAAAGTAAAAGATTGCCACGTGGCTTTTCCTATTTAAAAATCTGATTTCACTTCTGGAAATAGAAATAATAATGATAATAATAGCCAGAAAAACATCTGTAGGACGAGAATGGAAAGCGAGATTTAATGGCAATAACTCAGTTATAGAAATGATAATAATTAAAATAAGTAAGCAGTGTTCTGTGATGTATAAATGTAACAAAATCTTTCTTGATACTGAAAGACGAAACCCTTCTGTTCAAGGACATCTGTAAAGTTTTTCTTAATATATCAACGGGTGAAAACTAGAGGTCATCAATTTAAAGAGCCATCGAGCCTAAAAGAATGCCGTTGAGTTTAGGATAAATAAATTCGAAAGATGAGCAATGGTAATTAACGTGCTTGCTATTTTTAAATAAAAAAGACAATTGAAAAATATCTGCTGTCAAGACAAATATAGCAGACCGTTTTGTAAAAGGAACGAGGTCTTGTAGAAGTGTAAGGGTGTCTTTGGCGGTGCCAAATTGTTTGGTTATATACTTTCGTACGCAACATCTGTTTTGATGGGCCTTTACATGCTATGTTCGCAAGGACCGTAGCCACACTGAAAGCTGTCCTTGAAATGACAGGGGAGAAAGGGGGAGAAAGGGAGAGCAGGGGGAGCAAGGGGAGCAAAGGCAAAAAAGGGGGAGAAAGAGAAGTAATGAGAATTGTTGTCTCATGTTCTCTTTTCTTTTCGATAGAATTCCCTTCTCGCAATTCAATTTTATCAGCTAATGAATCGTGCCACTAAAAACGTCAAGCTGTAATTTAGCTGTCTTCGAAGCAGTCAATGTAATTTTCTTGTAGAAAAATCAACGTTGAATTGAGAACAACTTTAAGAACTCTCGACCCTCTAATTATCGGGAAAAAACATCGTGCCTGGGCAAAAATTGTCTGATTCTTAAAAAAGGAGTGTATTTTTGAAAGCAACTGTCAAGAAGCAGAGGAAAACCAGGCCTAAATGATGAAAAGAGCAGAACATTTACCAGGCTTTTCTTCGTTCTCAAAACGCCGGTGTTCTCGTCTAGAGCAAAGGTATCCTCGTGACTACCTGGGAAAACAAAACAAAAATGGTTATTCTTAGCCGTTTCTCTTTCAACGGTATTAGCGGTGTAACATCATTATGGCACATTGCAAGTGGTGTAACAACATCAAGCCATATCGGCTAGCTAAAGAAGCAGTTGCTGGATTGGAAACGAGGCACTGATTATTTGATATAACATAAAATACGAGGCAGGAGACACAGGCACCCTTTGCTTAAATACTGGGGACAAACAGCGAATAGAAACGAGTACCGATGATGTACAGGCACCGCGGAGGGTCTAGAAGAGGGGGCTAAAGCCGAACAAAAAGACGCTTTGCTAAAGCCCCCAGCCCCCCCTGCTTCGCGGTGCCTGATGCAGAAAGATCATTAAAATAATGATGAACAAGAGAGAGCGAGCTCAAAGAAAATTAACCATTGCGATATTTTACATATGTTAAAAATGGCTTTGAATAAAGAAAACATTTAAAATTTTTCAATGCGATTTTTAACTTTTGCCATCAAAAAACTGTTTAAAAATTTTCATAAACATTTATGGCTACTGTCTGTGTCAGCAACTTATTGCGTGGCCTGGCACTCGTGGACTTCATACAGTGCACCGGCAGCTTTCGGCTAAATTGTTTGAATTGCTCAAGTGACAATTGTTATGCCACTGGATTTAATAGGCTTTTGTATATTTGTGTTTTAATACCAGGGCTGGCTGACTGACGTCAAACAACAGGGGCCATAACAGCCGAATTTCCGTGCGTGTAAGGCACTGATGCCAGGCAACAAAGGGGAGACCCTATAATGCAAAGTGCACGAGAAACCAAAATAACAGTTTAGCTGTGACCAAAAGCTGTAAACGATCAAAATTCACTGTGAACAACGCTGCTCCAATGTTTTGCTTATTCTGAAAAAAACTGTAAAAAAGGTTCTTATCGTAGTGAATAAGGTCCGGCGTCCCGGGAAACTAGGAACTGTGCACCTTATTGGCACATGTTGCAGTACACATAGCACAACCATGCAAAGCTAAGAGCAAAATACTCTTTTCTTATCAACTTAATAAAAAGCACCTTGGAATTAGCAAACTGAAATGCCAAAACCATAGAGATGGTCAAAACAGAGATGGTATGACAATCAGATGACAGGAGCCTCCTCGTACAAAAACAATAGCTTGAATACATCAGAGTTCGACACTCCGTCCTGTCACTTGGATGACATTTTCGTAAGGGGTGGTGGCTGCAAAAACAATTTAGCTTTTAGGCGAAAACATTTTTGAAAACTCCAGTTCACTAGTGAAGATTAAGATTGCATTTAATAATATATTAATCCTTTGGTCGTTCCCATGGCTTTCAGAGTTTTGGGGCTCAATGTTTTCATTGGGTCGAAATATAGTTTATCCCAGACACGCTCTCACCATTAGCGGGCATGGACCGGATGACGTATGAAAGTCTTAGGTTTGATATGAACAATACATAGAGTTCATTGTGACTTTTTTTAAACTATAGGAGAAAATTTAGGAAGTGGGTTTGATTAGAAGAACAGAAGTATAGACACAATTAGAAGGATGCATTTAGTTAATGAAATAAGGAGAAAGGGTAGATAAGAGTGCAATTAAGTAAAATAAATTTGAAATTAAGACACTTTTTGGAAAGTTATTACAGAAATAATTGATCTACGAAACTTTGAAAAATGTCGCAATTATTCTTCTTTCCTCGGAATATGGCCTCAACTGATCGAGGTTACTGTTTGGGTGTTTCGAGTGAAACATGACAAACGACTTTAATGCCAGTGTTGTTGTTTTCGTAAAAGGGAAGTTTAGGAAAACATTTGAATTACAGTTTAAAAAAAACAGGAAATTCTGGGAAAAATAGGTTCCTGAAAAAGCCATTAAAGATGCTATAACAGCAAGATGTAAACCATTGAAGTGACGTAAAAATCATTCAATAAATTTTTGTTTTTCCAGTCGAAAGTCTCAAAACAGACCCTATTAATTCAAAAAACGTTACTTTTTAGTAAATTGATTTTATGTCCAAGGAAAATCTAACAAGGAACAGGGTTCACGGAGCATATATGCTATTTGAGTCTTAATGTCAGGTGCTAAATTAATAATAGGAAAAGTTAACTCTCAGCATTTGATATTGCTTTAACCATCAGCATTACAGATTGATCCGTGTGAATTTTGAACCAATTTTGGATTCCTAGATGACCAGCACTTTGCACCAGTTCATGAGCTGAGATCTCTAATGTGTTTAACGGATACCATATGTTGAGTGGGAATGGATTTCCGTAGCAGATCTCAGCTCTCGAAATGGTTTCCGTGTAAAAGGAAATCTTGTTTGAGGTTTACCAGGCATATCAAGCCTAATGTAGACTGGGGGTTCGAGGAAGCTATTCCTTCAGGATGGATGCCGAACCGAAGCTATTGCTGACATATAAAGGGCATTCTATAAAACACTGATTTTCGCAACAAATCCACCAGAAACGTGATATAAATGTATGTAAATACACACAGTGTACTCATTGAAAAACGAAAAAGAGACGAAAAACAATCCGGTTTTAGATTGACTTCACTTTTAATGAATTCAGTCCACACTATGCAAATACATTAACTGAAAATTATAAACAAATATCACAGCTAAAGAGCATTAAAGTAATTCACATATAAACACAACAGAAATAAATTATACACAGTACATACAAGTTTGTAAAATTATATTAACAAACATTTCATGTAATTAACTGTATCAAAATAACAAAAACATGCACAAGAATATTTTTGAATCCTTAATAAATAACGAAAACTATCTATAAACACGAAACTTTAGAATGCTCTTTAAATATTGTTTGTTTGATATTAAACAATGCACGGAGGATCTGCACTGAATTTAGGCCTAAAGGTTCATGGAAAATATTCTGATTTATTTAACGTGTGGAGTTAAAGGCACCTTATGGAGACAAATTGTTACCAAACGTGTATCTTAAATTTCAAGGGAGGGTCGTTACAGTTAATTGAGTTCCTTAGAGAAAAATCGTGATTGCAGACTCCGTGGGAAATATCCGTTTCCTTTTTATCAAAATATACTTTAGAACACGAAAAGCGTTGTTATGTTACGTATGGACAGGATTATACAGATGTAATCGAACCTTCCCGTGTTTTTCGAGGAATTAACGACTGTTCAACAATTCAATTGCCTAGTTACGGCAAGGTCTCGTTTCTTCAGCGTAGTTTCATGAAAATTGCCAGGTCGGCGTGATGTTGGCTTTGGGCAAAATGCGATTCTGGGTAGCACGTTGTTCTTTCAATATAAAAATAGAACAGAGAGTTCGCTTGTGTTTGAGAACATGAACACTATCTGTATCCTCGTGCTCCTTTGTTCGTCATCGATATTCCCGTAATTTGATGCGCGCTCGTCCAAAATTCCTTTCGAAGGGATAAATGTCCTTTTGAGTCATCAAATCCTTTGACACGAAGCCCATTGCAGACCTTGCAAATCTAAGGCGAGACTGCAAACTCTTCAAAAACAATTGCTTCCGAGAGGTATTCAATCCATTGCAATTCTCTGCGTTAAAAAGAGTCACAAATGGTGCTGTTTTCCATCAGTACATGGAGTATCTCTGGTTTTGTCTTGATGCCGATGATTTCAGTAGTTTTTCTGATATCGCAGTCAGCAGTACAGTTAACCATATGTCTCTATCATTTTCATTTTGTGCACAAATCGAATAACTTAAGTCTTTGCTCGTAAGCCTGATGCAATAGAAGGCAATCTTGTCATGAAAGTCTTCTGGGTAAATGCCCACATCCTCATCTAGTGTTATAATGTTTCTCGGGTTCTCGTCGCCATCTTTGTACAGAAACAGTCTCGCATCATCCAAAACAGCGTGCATTTCTTGCCAGGTTCGCGGATCGTCTTCCTGAAACCACGTCTTCGGATTCTAAGATTGCCTTCCCGTATGATATCTTTTCCAGGGCGATTATTATTCAAGTAATTCGCATCGCTACCCGAGTTTGGAGTATAAAGCTGTATTTCAGAGAAAAATCTGTTCCTTGCCTTAGCCAAAGGCTTGCGAAAGAAGCTCGACTTGATGCTTTCAAAAAGATTTGATGCCCTCATCCTGCAGTTCGTTCTCAACCTGCTCTTTGAGTTGACGTTGACAATACTAACTCAGTGTGCATAAACCAGAGTTTATTAGGACATTTGTGGGAGTGCTAGAGAGGAATCCCCTTTGCCCTCTAGTCATGAGGTTAGCTCAGGTGACATCCTCGTTGGTTTGTGATTAAACGCATGCGCAGCGTTGGTAGCAGCCAATGGCCAATGACGTAGGTGACCTCTGTATCGATTCAACTCAACTAAATGTACAAAGCCCTCTGGAAACGTTTTCTCGAGAACACAAGTTAAAGACTGGCGAGTTGAAGTTAAGAAATTACATGAAGGGCTACTTAATACAGGTCCTTGAAGAAAGTGAAGGTTTTTCATGTTTAAAGTTTATAGCTACACAAGCACTTGCAAAAATGGAGGCACGCGAATGAGAAGCAAATTGTGCCAAGAGCTGGTTACCAAACTCACCGGACTATCGCAAAAGGCACTGTCTGGTTGTATTAACATTATATACATAACTTTATTGACCCAGAGGATAAGTTTCAAGCAATGTAGGATAATTCATATTTGTTAATGTAATTTCTTGACTCTATCGAAAATCCAAACAAAAATTTGTCATAAAAAGTTTTCTAAAAATCATATACATTTTGAACAAAAAACATTTTTCCTGGTGTGGTGAGTGAGAACTGGGCAGATACCAATGGCCTGGAGATCAACATGACAATGGTTTCATGGGTATGGATCGGAAACACGTGGCGAGATGTCCCAAGGCAGCACACGTAAACACAATTCTAAGAAGAAGTACAAGGAACCAATCGAAATATTGCGCAATTTATCATTGCGATGCAATTTCTTCCTAGTCAAATTAAGAAAACGGAACCATCTTTGTACAGAAACAGTCACCATGCAGTTTTTTGGTCGTTTTCGTATTCGATGACATAATATATAAAATGAGGAGCATCCATTCTGGGTTTAAAATCTGCTAAGCTAACACGCTTATATTTTCATAGAGAAAAAATTGAACAATATAATACACGGGCATTTAGTCATAAATTAAGAGAAAATGTTTTCGAGATTCAGCTGAAATCATAATCAACAGGTCAACCTTTTGGAAAAAGGAACTGAGATCCACAGGTTTCTGCGAAAAAACAAACCTCTCTAGCAGAGATCTAAATCTGCGTTCATTCCCCAAAAGCAAATAATTTCGACGCGTGAACGGTTCTAAAGGCCACGGTAACTAGACTAGCCATGTTGCAAACGTTTTTAGCACTTTTGGGTAGGAGTTTGAAAATTTTTTTTAAAATTAGATAAAATTATGTACATATTCCGCTTTCTCGCTCTCTCTTTCATGTCTGTTGGTGGGCAGGACGATTTCGGTTCAAAAACACCGCACGCAATCATTTACCAAGCGGTCCAAAAGTCTTTCTTGTAACCTGCCTATATTCTCTATAATTCTAAACCATACTATCATTTATTTCGAACTTACTTTGAAAACGGGCACGCAAACACGATTTTGAGAGTGGAAACCTTTAACCTGACCTATAAAGAACACAGCTACTTGAACCCAACGACTGGTGGTAATACGTTGCCCATATTAACTTTCCGGGCGGATTTCCTGGGGGAATTCGCAAAAAGTGGTGTAGACTAAATGCACGTAACAAAAAGCTCTTAGCTACAAGTGGCGTGGACATTACGAAAGACACGGCCGATGATATCACAAGTTGAGAATTAAAAACAATTAGGCTAAGCAATGTCCTGAAATGAAGGTAGAAAGCAGTAATTTTCTGATTAAAATAAGCCTTTTCTTTCAAAATAGTAAAAAATAGTGTTTTGTTTGAAAGAAGAGCCCAAACTGCCAATGGAAGCAAAAACTAAATGAAAAAGATTGTGAAAATGCTCGTAAACAATGCAAGGCAATTACCTTCAATGTAATAGAAGACAGCATCTTTGTCAGCATCGGATGCCGATATTCTTGCAATGTTGGTTCCAGGACTCAGGTTCTCACCAACAGAGGCATACAATGTGCTCTGGAATAAAAAAAATTAAAAAAATTTAACATGGCATCGAATTGTACACCAAAGATGAGAAAGTCAGTCTGTTTTAAAGGGACTTACAAGAGGTGTCTGTAATACAAGAGATTTGTTCTTGTTTCTAAGTTGACACTGCATTAGAAATTTGTGGCAATATCTTTATTAACTGGGAAAGCTTGACATTCATATTTGCTGACGCATCGCACAATAAAATAACACGTTATACCTAGATGAGCTGCGATTTTATGGGCTACCTGCAGGTTATAAATATTGCGAATTTATCATCTTTTCCATATCACCATTCAATATCATTTTTTAATAAAGTGATTTCTTTCAATGGGAAATTTTAACGGTCCCACCTTCTCTTACTCCTTCAAAAAGGAAGCCTTTGATTGAAGGGGTACAAGGAAGTTTTCTGCGCTCACATATGGTAAAAGGACGTGAAAAAGGTTCGTTTTAATCGATTTTCCACTTTTCAATATTTTAAGACTGGATATCCCGAAATGCCAAGCTAACAAAACACAAGAAAGTTTGCTAAACTGCTTACAAGGAAGTCCGCTTGAAAATCAAGAAAGGAAAGTTCATCTGATTTACGTCAAAAATCTAAGAAATTGAACTAAGAAATCAATAGGACATCTCCAAAACCAAAGTCATTGCCCTACCCACGCTCGGTGAATGGAGATGACGTCGCAATGAAGAAAAGGAAGCTGAAGAAACAGAATCTCATCGAAAGCTTGATCCGTTTCGAGGTTAAGAACGTCGTGAAAAGTTTAACATATATTGTTCAGGCAAAATTAAACTTGCACCACTAAATTCTGAAGGTACAGCGAAGTTTTACAATTGAAACTTAAAAGCCTTAAAAGCTCTGAGAACTCTTTTTGGTTGACTGTTTTACAGTTGTACGCAGGACTGTAATATTGATCTCCAAGCCCTTGGTTTTTAGGAGTAAGACATCAGCTGGACAATGTTAGAAAGCAATATAAGATGGACTTACTTGTAGAAAAGTGGGGACATTGTCATTCACATTGGTAATGTTGATAGTAACGACTGTGAAGGAGGAGAGAAACGGAGTGCCTCGGTCTCGTGCCATGACTCGTAACTATGATGGAAAAGAGGAAAATACAAGTTTTGTAAAAGCGAATTAGAAAATCTGTCCTTCTAAGCAGACGATAATTATGGCGCCGACTAAACATGCAGTATGACGATGACTTTAAAAAAAACAAAATAAATAGCAGCTTCATTGCGGCTGGATTTTTTTGCACGCCGCATTGCATTAAAGGGCTTCTCTTGTAAATTTGCTAAGCCACCGGTACATACTTACAATAAACGATGAAAACAAAAAGTGCTTTGGGAGCGTGGAACACAGTTCAATCACGCTTTCATAAACTTTTCTCCCTGCCCTTCGTCTGCCATTCCCGCCATTTTTCTGAACTTTGTGTTATATATGACTGTGGTTCTTTGAAGCACTGGCAATTTCATTTCATTTTTACAGGCAACAGACTTCAGCTAGAAATAACTATTTTGCAGACTGCTCTGTCAACAAATCTGATTAAAAACGATCCTAATTGTACAAAATCTAGGTATAAGTTGCAAGATTTAGAATTACACGATAATGCCTCACTTCAAAAGCCTATTCACTTCTCAAAAGGAGAGACTGTTAAAATCCTAAAAATCAATTTAGGACTTACCTTATAACTTTGAGCTCGTTCATAATCAAGTTTTCTTGCCACTGTCACTTCTCCAGAAGAGGAAGCCAAAGCGAAAGAATTCTCCTCGTTTCCAGAAATTATTTCGTAGAAAACCTCCCCATTTGCTTCAGTGTCCTTGTCAATGGCTGTTACTTTGAGAATCAATGTTCCAACAGCAACATCCTTTTAAAATCAAGGTTAATATTTCTTATACGATTGAATCAATCTTCAAGAAAACAAAAACTCATCAAGAATAGCACGTTTAAAAGATTTTTGTATTTGTCCTGTACCAATGACCAAACGAGTGTGGAATTCAAGTAAGCCTACTTTTGTGCGATCTTTTGTTGTATCTACACTTTCATACTTCATCAGCAGTCAGTTATAGAAAGAAATTTTGTAGCTTGAAAAAAGGTTATATTGAAATAGCAGCAAGCTACAGTTTTCACATGATTTGAGACTGTAAAATTTCCCTACAGCTGGCAATACTTTACAAGGAACAAAAATTTGTGAAGGGCCTAAACGTACTTCCGAAATAGAGGTGACATTCAGAGGCATGAAAACAGGCGCCATGTCATTAACATCAAGCACTGATACACGCACAGTTGAATTTGTGGACAGCATGGGAATCCCATGATCCTTAGCATTGACAACAAGGCTGTAGTGCCCAGCTCTCTCGTGGTCTAGCGACTTCATTAACTTTAGGTCACCTGTTGAACTATCAATTTTAAATTCGCCTACAAGAAAAAAGAATAATAAACAAATTCAGTATTGACGTTAGTTATAAAAGGCCACAATATAGGTTGTATATAATGAACTAAATTTGATCCATTTTCTGCCTTTTATCAAGGCTCCCAACAATAAATTCCACCAATAGTCGGGATGACCGATCTGACGAGAATGCTACCAAGAAATACTCGTCAAAGCTGATACGATGTTATTGAAAAATGTCCGTAATTCATAGAAATTAAATAACGGGAAATAAAAACGAGAAAGATTGTGTACCATTATCGTCTCCTTTTACAATGGCGTAGGAAATCTCACTATTTGATCCCGCGTCGGCATCAGCTGCTGCGATGCGCAGAATGACGTCACCAACATTTGCATTTTCAAACAGGGAGACATTGCAGCAGTTTGGAGAAAGGAACCTTGGTGCGTTGTCGTTGATGTCGATAATATTGAGGGTGACCTTAAACAGAGTTTCAACGATGTTGATGGGAAATAAAGTCATGTTTCTTACCTATAATACTGGTTATTGGATGACGTGAATGGATTAAGGATACTATCAAAGAGTATGCTTATGAAAAAGCACCTTCTTTCAGAACTTTTTATTCAATTCAATTCAATTTAATTTAAAAAACATATTTACCCAGGATACAATGCAGTGAACTAATTAATCTACAATCTAATTGTCCCAGCAAAAAATAAAATAAACCTAACAATTGAAGATAAAACATGTAAAAGGTAAATACAATAACTTGATAAAATAAAGAAGCTATAAAACGTAATAAAAAGTATTCATTTGGTATTTATTAAACACTTTACGTTAAAGACTGTAGTGATTCTAAACGTGACTAGCGAAATCATTGGTATCGCGATGACTTGATGAAAGAAAACTGTGGCACAATAATTGAAGTTAAAAGATAATATGGTAGGCTACAGGGTATAAGAAGGTAGGAGAAGGAATTAAACGAGAGTCTTAAAGAAGCTAGTGAAATTTTCTTTCCTCATTTGCGCAGTAAATGAATAAAACAAGAACATACCTCAGCAAACGACTTCAAAGAGGCATTGCCGTGAATATCCTTGTTATATGCTTCAACCTGTAAAACGTATTTCGATGACACTTCTCGATCAACAGTTTTCGCCAAAAATATGCTACCATTGGTCTGCGATATTCGAACAACAGACTGAGTCGAGCCTTCCTGTATTGCGTAAAAAACTTCATTGTAACTGGCATCGACATCAACAGCAGAAACTTGGCCAATGCGGTGGCCGACGGCAGCATTTTCTTTCACTGAGAACGAGTACGTGGGTGACTGGAACCTAGTTGGTACAAAACAAAGGAAATTAAAGCCTGGCTCCACAGAATAGATCACAGACCCTCGTTTAGAAACGTTAAATTACATAAAACCAAATTTTGGTAATCTGCACTGAAGAAAAAACAATTTTATGACGAGTTGAGTTGCAATAATGGGTTGAAATTTCAAAATGTAATAAAGTTTTGGGCCGAAATTTCAAAACCAGATGAGCTAAACCTGACTGCAATCAGTTGGTTGAATTTCATGCCCCTTGGTAATGATCCTTGCCAATGTTCCTTGGCACATATTAGATAAGATTTCAAAGTGTTGGGACAAATAGGTTCACAAAAATAGGTTTGTGATGTTTATTCAAGAAAAGGCATAATGGGGCACCATTGAATCGGGGGTACAGAATGCTTGGGAAGCATGACAAAGAAAAAGTATGCACAATAAAGAAAAATACTTGTTTAAAGCGAACTGTAATGAGTCAGAAAATAATTGTATCAATTTGGATAGCTACTCCTAAAGTGAATGAAAGCCACCTTGGGGTTTCAATAATTTCAGCCAAGTTGGTAAAAGTGATACTATGCTGATTACCAGAAACGCACTCTTGTCTTTCTCGCTTAAAATAGCTATTATAAAGAGATCCTCAGCAAAGGTTGAGAGGCAATAAGGTTCACCTGGGCTTGTTGTCATTCACGTCCAGGACTTTGATCAAGACAAAAGAAGCTGACGAAAGTGCTGCCGGAGATCCGTTGTCCGTGGCAAAAACTGTCAGGTTGAAATCATGCACTGATTCGTGATCCAGTAGTTTTGCAATTCGTATGATTCCCGTTGTTCCTTATAGGGTAAACATAATGATCATAAATTAGCAACTAATTAGTTAGTGAGATCATCAAGAAAAGAGTTTTATTGGCCTTCTTCCATATTGCAGGTAGACAAGGGGTACTTTGTCTTTCAATAGGGTTTTATTGTGCATGTTTCGTTAATGTGACTTTCTGCCAAGACGTTTAACACTGAAAATATTTCGGTAAGGTCGACATACTTCACTTTTATCATGGACATATACAGGTTAATAGAAATTTGACAAAGCATGCCTTATTTCCACGAGCTCAATCAGACCCACAAACAGGTCCGTAACCAGTCGAGAGGGTAGGGGGATCATGCACCCCCTAAAATTAACTACGATGAACTATGTATAAAATGTTTATTTTTAGTGACCACGACTCTATGACTACATCATCAAGAAATCCCCCCCCCCTCCCCAAAGTTACGACAATGCCTACAAGTTTCAAAGTTTATGTTCATATTATACTGTTTGGTTTCAGACACAAACTTAACAGTGGGGGAAATGAAAAACTCACGTCCGATATAGAAGTGGCCAAGATCGTTCCCAAACTCGATAGAATAAAGCACACTTCCATTAACTCCTTTATCTCGGTCTGATGCAGACACCAACACAACCTGAACGAGGCAATGAAAAAAATTGAAACATAAGGCGTTCAACTTCCTGCACATCGATTAAAGATTAAATTTGGTAAAGATACAAAGATTACAAGACAGCATACTGATCAAGAACATACGATAAAGCGGAAATTAAAAACTGGTAATAAATTTGCCTAATAAAAACAGGTCTGCTAGATATTGCTGACGAGCATCCAAAGAGCAGAAGTAAATTGGAGATTTTCTGATGTTCAAGATATTACCATTAAGAATGAGTCAATCAAGAAAGGTTGCAATGCTTGAAAAAGCTAAAGCAAAAAAAAAGCTTCACTAAACGTCTCAAGCATAATCCAAAACCCTACTTGAAACCCGTTGTTAATACTATGTGTAAAATACAAATTTGCAAGTTTTGATAAGAAATGTCTTAATGATTTGGCTTACTTGGCTATCACCGGGCAGATCTTCATTAACTGTGATGTTATAAAGACTTCTGCTAAACATGGGAGTATTGTCGTTGACATCCAGGATCGTGATCCAAACTGACACAGTAGCATTCAGTGAATTTAATCCGTGGTCACGTGCCTGGAATATATATATTCTGATTTGATTTGTTCTGATTTATATTTTCTGGCCTGCATTACTAATTAATTTCCGCCACTTTACCCTATCAGTGACAATGTCTCTCTACATGTTAAGAATTCCACCTTTTTTCAAAATATCTTACATTGTATCTTTGAATTCTAAAAATGGCCTGGAAGATCAAGTTTTATTAGGCCTTCATGACTAGGCCGTGTTGATTAAAAAAATTTAATTAAAAAAATTCACAATTCAAATTCAGTTACTCGTTCGTTTCATTCACTCTGATAAAGCCCTGTATGCCGGGGCGAAATATTGTATTCGTTTAATTTAATTTATGTTGAAAATTTATCTTATAACATTGGATTCTTGTCGCCGTTTTGCTTTGTTCCTGAATTTTATCCTCACGTAGATAAGATCGCTTTAATTTGGCCTTTTCACTAGGCCGTTTTGAAAAGATCGTGTTGGATTGTTGATGTATAAAAGTGGTGCGATTTTCGACTGTCGAAGTAGTGAAACTGAATAAGTATCATAATTGTCGTCTTCTAGTCGTGAGAAAATATTGTCCTCGGATTACTTCTTGGTCTGCCATTATCTTTAGGAAGTTGAAACCAGCAGGAAAGTAAGGAATTTTCGGAAAAAAGTGAAAAAGGACAAATTCCATCCTTAGAATAGCTTTCATTTTTTTTAATCATATTGATGGAAGACATTTGAAAGAGGTGCGTTCACGTAAATGGGCTTAAAATGCTTTTATCCGAAAAAAAAACTTTCCAAAGTTTGACAGGGTACAGCCAGAGTAGTTGTGGTCACTTCAACTGCTGACAGGAAATGACGGACAATGTGAAACAAAGAATGCTTTACTGATTATATGTCTTATCTCAGTAATTTAAAAAATCATGAATTTTTAACCAGCTTTTAGTGGCTATAATGGAATGGATTTTCATTAAAATAAATGTGAATTTCTTCAATGGCAACGACTTGATAAAGGAGTTATTTTATCCATAACTTTTTAGATACTTGAAAATAAACGCCCGACATAAATGAGAGCGGTATTAACAAGCTTTTGCTATTTCGCATGATTAAGGAGAAGGGCTTTTAGGTTAAAAGTAACACGCTTTGTCACTAAAAGATTTTAACTATCAGGAATCTTGTAGAATTTAAACGTGAACCAAACCAACCTAGACAAAACTTTTTTCAAAGATTATATTGCTAATAAAAAGTTAAACATACCGTAACGGTTAATTTGAATTCCTCTTGGATCTCTCTGTCAAGTTCTTTTACAGAACGAATAGTACCGTTTGAAGAATTGATAGCAAACCAGTTTCCTACAATTAAATGATAATGAACGCAAACACTCAAACATGTTTGTTTTCTTCTTGTGCTGAGTAAAATCAAAAAAAACCATGAACGTCTTTTGAATTCTGATGAATTTTTACACAAGTTCAAGTTCATTTCAGCCAAAGCATTAGCAATAAATGAAAAATAATATCTAAAAGAGCATTCTTAAAAGTTTACTGTTCTGATATCTGCGAATTTTATCAAATTATTCTGATTACAAGACTGATTTTAACTTGTAATGAAAAATCGTCCACTCACTTTCGTTGCCAGACGAGAACGAGTAAGTTAATCTACTGTTGTTTCCCGCATCTTGGTCGGACGCAACAACGCTTCCAACTGTAAAACCCGGACCATTTTTTTCACTCACTGAAAATCTGTAAACAGCTGAGGTGAATATAGGATTGTTGTCGTTGACGTCTTCTAAAGTTATGGTCACTGACGTAACGCCATTCTGAGGAGATGATTGGTTGTCTGTAGCAGTTACTGTGACGGCAAACCGATCTTGTTGCTCCCGATCGAGGACTTTTGCCACACGAATGACACCCTATATATGACAAAAATTAGAATAGAGCTCATTATATAATTATATGATTAATCATATGTTGCCACTTATTTGAATATCTTCTTTTGAAATGAAAGCGTTCAGTAGTAAGCAGAAGCAAAACGAATGGGAATTATGTCTGTCCGATAACACATTCCCCAACCAGAATGGACAGCCTCCTGTGGTTATGATAATGTTCAGTATAGTTTTATTATGAGAACAGTTCCATGATATAAATTCAAAAGCATGCCAATTTCAAATAAAACTTGCTCTAGGAAATCAGTTTTACAAACAACGATAAAATTGGTATATTGTCTTCATAAAATACGCGCAAACCGGTTCAGCAAATTTCACAAAAAAGCTTGATTGTTTCTTGCATGAAAATTTATGGCTACAAAACAATGTTCAGATATACGACAGAATAAGCAACATTTTTAATTCCATTCTGTTTATCAAATTGATGAAAACATGTTTTGAAAAATGCATAATATGTTACTGTGAGAAAAAAAAGATGAGCAGCCTTGGGAACCATTGGATGAATCAGCTTAGAGAGTTTCATGTACCGAGGTATTTACTTAAAAAACCAGCCTTAAATTTTTCATAAATTATTTTTTTAAAGGGGGGACTAGGCAACAACTGCATTTTCCAATGCCTCCAATTTTCGCTTTCGTTGTTGTTTTCACGAAAAAAATCGTGATGGACAAATAAATAAAAGATTGAGTGTCAATGAATTAAAACAAACCGTATTTTGCTCAATAAGAAAACAGCCATGCCCTCCTGTCATCGTAAACGTAACGGCCTCTACCTCGCCTCGCTTGTATGCTATAAGACGTATAACCTCAGTACCAATTGCTGCATTCTCTTTCAAGGTAACTTCATATAGCGACTTATTAAATCGTGGGTTCAAAGCATTGACGGCGACCCATCGAATGACGCAGCGCACAGAGCTTGACAACGGCGGGCTTCCGCTATCTCTAGCTACAACTGTGAAGTTCAGCCATCCACCTGGCGTCGTTTTCCAAACGCCATATTTTGATATGAAACCTTTATCGGGATCAATCCTTAATAGAGAAGACAGGTTTTCCAATATAGAGTAGGTGACTTTGGCATTTAGATTCTCGTCGTCGTCTGTTGCTAAAACGGACATCACAATAGTGCCATCAGGTGTATTCTCAACAACGTCATTCGTGTAAAAGGGCTGTAGAAAGCGCGGTGCGTTGTCATTCACATCAAGAACATTGATTTTGAGGGTTAGGCCATTCGGTGGCGACTGCAACGACATCGAATCAAAAGCTTGAAAAGTAAACTGATAGTTAGTTCTATTTTCCCTGTCCAAATTCTTTACTAAAGTTATTTTTCCGGTCAAAGAATCGAGGTGTATCAAATCAAGCAACGGGGATGTGGCATTGTAAGTTATATTATCGTATAAGTCACTGTCCTTTGCTTGGAGGGTGTATATGACTGAGTTCGTTGGATGTGCTTCGTTCAGATTCAAAGTCACAACATCAGGGTGAAAATAAGGAGGAGAATCCACGACATCGATGACATTTATAATGATGACGGCCTTCCCATCCAGCGATGGCTTGCCTTGATCAACTGCAATAACCTCTAGTTGGTAAACACCTCGTACTTCTCTGTCAAGCTTTTTGTTTAGCTGAACAGATTCTAAAAAGAAGAAAACCATTTGCATCATATAAATCGCACGTACGCTAAGAAATTGCAAATTGTGGAGGAAAATACTCGCAGAGCTAATTGAAAATTGGAATCCTGTCGAAAAATAAAACCTCTGGATTATGACTGATATCTGGATTCAAATGTTCACAAATATTCTTAGATAAAAGATTGAATATATTCAAACTTTCTACGTTTGGTTCACAAACTGTCTTGCTACATCCCGCCGAACAAAACTAAAATATACTAACAATTTATATGACGAAATATTAACATACATTTTGAATTTAAATGAACATACATTTTGAAACATGACTTGTAAATGTATTAAAATGACATGCCATGTAAAAATACCAAAATAAGAAATGACTTGTTATGAAAAAGGCACAATTAATGAGAGCTAATATGTTTTCTGATAGCTGGTTAATGAAAACAAAAAAAAGAATGCTCTTTTTTGCTCTCTGTGCGATGCTTCAAAGCTACAACAAAAAAACGTCTAAATACTTCTTCATAAATGTTATACCTTTAAAACAAATGCACATTTTTCAGAATAGTTTAAAAATGGAAAATAAACGTATTTTGATACCAGTTGATTGATTAAAAATGAATGTGTCATCTCCACCGCGAATCGTGTACGATAGTCGAGCGTTTAGGCCATGATCTCGGTCGTGCGCTTGTAAAGTCAGCAGTTGGAAGCCAATGGCGGCATTTTCACTGACGTTGACGATTGAGTATGATTCGTTAAACACAGGCCTGTTATCATTTACGTCATCAATGACGATAATGAGGGTGGATTCTGAAGAGAGGCCATCGCTGTCTCGTGCTACCAGTTTCAGGTACAAAATTGGTGTATCTTCACGATCAAAACTGCTATTCCACGCTGTAGTTATTGTTTTTGAGGTAGAGTTTACTGTGAACTTCTCGAAACCAGCATCTAAAAAGGCGTTAAAACAGCTTAAATGCAGATATTCAAGAGCAGAGTTATCTCCATGTTTCGAGAAACTGGACACGCAAATCTGAACGTAACTTAAACGAACATCTTGCTTTAAATTTCAGGTAAGATATTCGGATACACAGTTTTTTCAAAGGCTGATAACGTTTTTCAATGTATCTTAAAAAGAGAGGTATTATTGATATAAATAGAAAGAATTTTGTTTAGGAAATATGACAAAGATAAGAGGAATTGTAAATTACATCAACATATAAAGTTAGGAAGCAAATCGTATGGAAAAAAGATCTTTTTCGAGTTTCCTGGTCATCAACATGACGTTAGAATTATAATCGAATCAATGTCAAAACGTTAAGTGTTTTTCACGTTTCTTTAAGTGAATTGATAAAAGATGAAATAGCGAAATAACATTATAAAAGAAATGATACCTGCGAGGGACAGCGAAATAGGAGTGGGAATTTGGTCTGGGTCTTCAAATTCAATAAGATGATCCTGTAGGAAAATTGGACACAAATTTGTAACAGATTTTGTAAGTTGATACACACAATTTTTTAAAAAAGGGTCTTAAAGTCTTGGCTACTACCTCTAAAATGTAAATTTTTGTCTAGAAGTTTGAAATGTTTAGAAGGCATAACAAAAATACATGAAATTTTTGATTAGTTATGCGTAACAATGCATGCATTTCGGAGCATGCATTGACACAAGCTTTTCATTGCTGGCTAAAGTCAAGTTACTTCACTGTTTCCTTAAATTCAAGGAAAAATGACAACCGTCTTGAATTATTCATACTATCTGAAAGAACCAACGAAAAGACAGATAAGTTTCTTGCTTTCTTTTTGGCTTGCAAGACACAAAGCTTCTGATAATGTAATAAAATTAAGCTTCAATAAAAAGTTCTATAAATATGTAGAAAATATTTCAATATTATGGCCTATTTCAAGTTTATGGTTAAAAAAGGAAGGGTCTATAATTCTTTTACAATGCTTTAATGAAAAGAATCACGGACGTAAAGAGGTGCACAGCTTCGATGAAATATATACGAAAGGAGGGAAAAGGTCAAAGACAAAATCATACCAAAGACACTCGCGTTCCAGGTGGTGAATTCTCGGAAATTTTACCAACATAAACAGAGCTTTTGAATTTCGGAGGATTATCATTTACATCTTGGACATTGATAACGAGCTCAACAGCAGACTACGAAAAAGAATTTGAGTTCACTTAGAAATATTATCGATAACCTGAGAAAGAATAATATGAAACTTAAGTTGTTATGACTTCTAATACAATTCTATCAGTTTGGGAAGATATAAACAGATTGTCAGAAGCATAATAAGAAAGAAATAAATTATTTGCTTCTTTTGCCTACCATGAAGCATTCACGTTACAGCTTCGTGAATCGCTAGCAAATACAACAAAAGACTGAAAGAGGTTTTAAACACTGAGATAAACAGATTAATAGAATAGCTCATAGTGAACGCGTATAAGAAATAAACTACATTATAGAAAGAAAGTGAGTACTTTTCTTGTCGAAGGTGTGCCCCTGTCCTCTCCCTTGATGGTCAGCGTGAATTTTGGATTCCTTTCCCTGTCAACTGGCTTCACAGAAAAAACCTCTCCAGTTCTATTGTTGATTTGAAAAGTTTCATCAGTATTTCCTGACGTAATTTGGTACCAGACCTCTCCATTTGTTCCCTGATCAGCGTCAGTTGCAAGCACCGAAATGACATGATGCTTCCCCGCGATATTCTCCTTCAAAAAAGCCTTATACTCGCTCTGATTAAACACAGGATCGTTGTCATTTAAGTCCCCAATTTTAATTTGGACAATCACCTGAAATACAACGCAGGCATGCCATTAGATAACTGAGACGTCACTCAAATGGTTTTTAGGCAACAATGCACATGATTGTTGATTATCTAAGAGTTACGCAATCGTTTAACATCTTTGCCAATTCAAAGAAAGGTGCACGTATGCTCGTTGTTAATAGAATTTCATTGAAGAAAAGTCTCTCGAATAGCAATCTTAATAGAAAAAAGGTTGTGAAATCTAGGCATTATTGTCGGATAAACTAGAGGTATTGTTGCAGGGGATTCAAAAAGAAATTCCAAAAAGGAAACACGTACTTGATCTTAAGTCAAATATCCTCTTGCATTTCTTTTGATCTTTCTTGAGTATTCCCCCTACTCCGAAAATTATTTTTGCTTTCAAAATACATGTACATTATTAATGAACAAAACTGTGCATAAAATACACTTACAGTTGAATTAAACGACTTTCCGTGATTCAAGCTCCCATCATCCTTTGCCATAACTGTCAAATTGTATGTTGAAGTTTGTTCGGCGTTTAGTGGTTTCGCGACTGATATAACACCAGCGTATGGGTTCGATATAGCAAAGTCACCTTGAAGAAGGACGAGAAGGGTATGTTAAAAAGAACAGAGATGCAATGCATTAGAGCAGGTTTAATAGAAGTATTCAAATATAGTTGAATTTTGATAGAGATCTAGATCAGAATGCCTACGAACTATGGTTTAATTTGATTTCTATTGATGAGGCCTTTGAGGCCAGTTGGTCAAAATGCTTCATGAGATGACCCATCCCAGAGAAAGTTGTGATTTTGATCAATCCTGATCAAACTAGACGTCTGGCAGCAGTCAATGGTAAACAGAAAAATAAAGTTGCTTGCGAATGATAGTATAACATAAGAGTTTACAAACCGTTGGTGTTTCCGTTTACAATTGTGTACGTGATTCTTGAATTCAGTCCCAGATCCCTATCAGATGCTGATACGGTGATAACAGTGGAGGAGACGGCGGCACCTTCACTGGTCCCAGCAAAATATCGCTGGCTGCCGAACACTGGCTCGTTGTCGTTTATATCACTCACCAAAATATCCACCTAATTGGCAAAAAGGCAACCATAAACGAAATATTTTTCTGAAAAGATTCAAATTAATCAAACATCCATTGCGTACAGCATTTTTGCACAAAGTAGACTACAACTTCTTAATGCAATGATAGAAAAATTCTACTTTGCTATCAAAATTGAATGACCAGAAAAATACACTTTTGTCAACAAATATAAAGATACGTTTTGCAGTTACCAAAAACTACTTAAAAATATATATATAATGATGGTCGACATACCGAAGTTGTTACAAATCGTGGGTTAGCCTCAGCTTGATCAGCTGCTCTCACGGTCAGTGAAAAAGTTCCCAAACCGCCAAGATTTCGATTGATCGCTGGATCTTCTCTATCGATGGCTTTGGCAACTTTGATTTTACCCTGCAATATAAATTACGTCAGGTTTAGCTGAATTTTCATTTCTTAGAAGAACTGCTAAAATGCCTTCGAAGAAGAGGTTACTGTCAGTAAAAAGGCATTCTGGGTTCAAAATCGCAGAGTGGCTTATAAACCAATGGGCCCAGCTTAGAATATTGCAGCAACAATGTATGCACCGCAACTAAAGAATCGTCTTAAATACGTTTAGTTGCTAGTAAGTTTACAATCAACCGACATGCTGAGTAGCTGCAATGCTTCAACTTTATTTGTAAAAACCTTTTCACATGTTCAGTACTAATATGAATGAGTCTAGGTCCTGACAATAATACTGATATTTATGTGATCACAAGACGAGCCTGTAATCTTTTCTTCACTGTAAAAACAGGGACGGGGGTTAAGCTGACGATTGCCAGTTTGTCTGAATCAATCCCAGCATTCATTGCGCATAGCCAATAAAATAGAGCCAATAGGAACAATGATATAATTTACCGTTTCAGGATCAATGGCAAAGTGACCCCGTTCATTTCCGCCTATTATCGAATATATAACTTCTCCGTTCTTGCCAATGTCGGCATCTGTCGCATTGATGTCAAATATTACCAGATTGAGACTAGCCTCTTCTTCAGGAATGGTTTTGACATACAAAGCAGGGTTGAGGACAGGATTGGGAATGAACATGGGCGCATTGTCATTGACGTCTGTTATGGTAATTTGCAACGAAGATGACACCTGCAAGGATAAGCATTTACAATTGCGATGCATTTTTACTTGATCAAAAATTACCAGCATTAAAGATGGTACCTTAGAATTTCACATGATCTAGAAAATACAACAACACTAAATTAGCTAATGCTTAGATAATGCAACAGGTATTAATTAGATAAAAAGTGTCATTCAGTCATTATTTCAAAGACGTTTATCGCGTCACAATTATGAAGTGATAAAAATGACTTCTTCAACAAAATTCCGCCACCAGTGTTAGATAAATAAAAAGGAGTGAAAGTTTCGATGCTAAAAGACCTTTTAAGGCTAACTTGCTAAAATAGAGAAAAAGAGTAAGCTTTATACCAAAACATGTTTCTTGAAAAATTTGCAATTGGTTTATTATGAACTCACACTTAAAGGTGGATTCCCGCTATCACTGATGTTAATAGCCAAAAAATAAGCATTCCTTTCTTCACGATTCAAAGGAGCCTTGACAAGCACAATCCCATCGTTAATATGAAACTTTCCAAAAGCTCCTACGAAAAATTGCAAAAAATGGAAAAACGATTACTTTAAACAATCGACTGTATGGCAACAACTAAAAGTATAAAAGTATAAAAGAGTCAATAAAAAGTTTAACAGAAGGACAGGTTATCTTTAAAAGATTAAGTGACAAGCAAATAAAATAGACAGCAAATATGAAATTAAATAAGCTTAGATGTTTCGTAAAAAATTACTAAGACGTACTTGCAAATTGGCTAGTCTTAGCTGCAAAAACACTAGATTAAATAGTTAAATTGAAGCATGGCTGAGAAGCAGATACAAATTAGCTAGAGGATGCAGTTCCATATAAGCTGGAGGTTGCAGCAATTGGTTTAATTTGGTACGAGTTAATATTGGTTTCGTAACAAAACCTTTGCAGCATCGTTATATATCTTACCTGATATGATAGTGTAAGCAAGTTTTGCATTGTCACCAGAATCAATGTCCCGAACATGAAGATCAAACACTGACCTTCCTACTGGTACACCTTCACTCACGTTGGTTCTGTTTGGCAAATTTCCTAATACTGGATAGTTATCGTTGATGTCGCCAATGGAAACAGTCACAGAAGCAAACGTAGTGAGATGTTCTTTCCCGTCATCCATTGCGCTGATATTTAGTATATACGTTGCCTGCAACTCTCTATCGATACGAGTCACTGTTGTTACGATCCCAGAAGTTTTGTTGATTTGGAAAACATTTAACGGCACAGATTGTTCAATTTTGTAAGTTACAAAAGCATTTCTTCCAAAATCAGCGTCAGATGCCGCGACCTAAAAAATTGGAACAATTGGAAACTTTTATTGAAAAACGTCGCATGGCAAAAACGTCAAAGATGCTAGGTTTCCCATTATCTTACAATGAAGATATCTGTGGATATTTTTTGCAAATACGGTTTGAATTTAATGCAGCAACACGTTTTTTGGCTTATTCCTTTTAATGGTTTTCCTATTTCATACTTGGATATTGATTGGCGACTTTCACAACAGATTGCAGCATTGAACAATTGGTAACAAGTTTGTGAACGACATTCGCTGACAGTAAAGCTTCACAAACAGCAATGTTCTGTAATGGTTAAAGCTTTCATTTACGTTTTTTCAGTTATTTTTATCATTATCTTTGATTTATTCAAAGTTGGCTTTTCTAATTGGAATAGCTATAAGAAAGCTAATTATGGCCGACGAATTATGAATCTATCTTTGCTCATTTAATAGACAGAGCTGGCGTTGTTCACAAATCAGCAAATGTTATCTCACCTGAAGCACTCTTGTCCCAGCAGGTTGCTCTTCCAAGACAGTGGCCATGTAAGGAGTCCCCAGAAACACTGGCCTGTTGTCATTTGTATCCAGGATAGTGATAAAGACGTCCGTTTGATTTGCTAACTGAGGAGTCCCAGCTAAAGCAAACAAATTTCAGATAAAATCCTTTATATCGCTTCGTACGTCATCTGTCATTTTATTTCGCTTCGTATGAATTTCTTACAAATGATATCAATACTCAGTTGTAAAAAATGATTAAAATATCATAAAATAATACCAAATTTCAAACGAGAAAAGAATTTTTGCCTTAATATCAATAGATGCAACAAGCATTTTTTAAACATTTATTTGTTAGTGGAAAATGGTTGCTTAAATTTAGTTACACAGATATTCTTTAGAAAGAATACCAGAAAATTTGTAATCTTCTAAAAAGAACCCTCAGGAATAATAGTTCTCTAAAAAGTGTGTTATTTCCATATTTTAAGGGTGAATATGGGGCCATGTACACGATTGAGGCATCAGAAGTTTCTACAATCAGATTAAAAGCAAAGAAATATCGTGAGAACTTACAGTCAGAAACAGATATTTTCAATGTGTACTTCTCTTTAGTCTCCCGATCAACTTGTCTTGTTACAATTAAATCACCAGTTGGTCTGACCGAAAAAGCGCCTTCATCGTTACCACTTGTTATCGCGTAGGACAATTGTGCATTGATTCCCGCATCTGAATCTATTGCTCGCACCTATGTTGATGACTAACAGTTTAGTAAGTGACATGGATAAGGTCAAGGTTCTAATGATTATAGATTGAATCGACTGAACGCAGAGTTAGAAGCGAAAAGCATGCTTTTCATGAAGTTTAAAGATATTAGTGATTTGTAAAACTGTACAAACAGAACATGCATCAGAAAAGGCTGTTGAACAGGGTCGTGGAGTTAATTTAATGTATTTGAAAAAAGCACGGAAAGAATTAAATCATGACAAACACTTTTTATCAGATAATCGTCAGCTTCATTTCATTTGTTCCAAACCAATTATCTTTCTTTACCAAAGGTAACCGCGCAGTCAGAGTAAAAACGTCTGATAACGACCAAATTGGTAAGCGGTAATTTCCACAACGACCTTAAACAATTCTTCCTTTGATATATTATTCTTGCTTGTTCACCACTTCCATAGATTTTGAATTTGAAAATTGGTAAGAACCAGTTGGTTGAAAATTGTCACAGTCGGCAGACGAGAGCGGAAAAGGATTTTTAGTAAGATTTCTCAGAACAAATGACATTGGAAGATTTTCGCGAATCTATCGCAACTTGAAAATGCTTTTACATTATCTTAAACTAAAAGCAGAATTTTGTTCTGTTTCCTTTATTAGACCATTGCCATGTTTAATGGGCCATTGTCATTCACTAAGGTTCTAAAGATACAGAAGTAAGATACAAAAATGTCGCTATCAAAGTCTTTCAAGATCCCACATTCATGAGCAATGAAAACGCACAGGGACAAAATTACGTACCCTTGCTATAATCGATCCAATGGTCACATTCTCAGCTACCTCTACAGTGTAATTTCTACGTGTAAATGATGGCACATTATCATTTACATCAATAATGCTTATAACAACATCGACGTTGGCAGAGTTTTGCGGAAATCCTCCATCTGTCGCTGCCACTGTCAAATTATAATATGCCGTCTTCTCACGGTCGATTGAGCCATTTGTTGTGATTGTTCCAATATTTTCGTCAATTTTGAAGTGACCTTGAAAAAAATAGAACTTATTATGCACGTTAATTTTCGGAGAAATTTGCAAAATGGTCTTAAACTTAAAAAAAACACAGATTTGGTCAAGTGCACGCAGACCAATTACCTTATTTGAATCATATCTATGGCCTTCTACAGAGAAGCAGAAGAAGACGAACATTTCTTTTAGCCACACCACCCAAACATTCCGCCTTGCAATTTATACAAGAAATACATTTATTGCATTACATTGAAGCTCAGTGAATGTTTGGACCAGAAAGTAGATTCGATAAAGTAAAGTTTGTTATTGTGATACTTTCTCAAAGATTATCTTCTCATTGCGAAATAATATGCTCTGAAGTTTTCACAAGAGATTCCAAACGAAAGCCATCTACTCAATAGAAAACAAAGGTAAAGGGCAATTATTCTTACGAAATATGCTGGAGGACAATAATTTCCGGATCAATTCAAGATTCAAGAGAGATTTTGAAGTTTTAATTACGAAATCAGATGATTGCTGGTTTGATAAAAAGGTTCTAAATGACAGCTGTCTACTTAATAGAGAAATACATTAAGGGTAAATGATTCTTTAAATGCTTGTTGAACGACTGTTTCTATGGTGTTCCGCAATGATCAGTTCTCGGACTTATGCTCTTTAAATTTTCGGTTGCTAAATCAGATGCTAATGGCTTATCGGGAATTAGAAAAAAGCTATTTACTTAATAGAAAACAGCTTAGCTGTATATGACTATTTCAATACTTCCTAGGATACTTTCATTTATTATGTTTCATAAGGAAACCACTAGGTCCTTGCCGTTCAATATCGTCAATGGTCATTATTTTAAATGATGTAGTAGAATTACTATAAAAACTAAAGAAAACTGATGTGTACATTGGTCAAATGACAAACAACATCAAATTAAGATTGTGAAATTATTACCGATAGGTTGTAAACATTGTGAATGAGGTTTTGTAGTTGGTAACAGTATCCTTGTAGCCTATATTCTTACCTGAACAGTTCTCGTTTTACGTAACGGCAAAAACTGAAATTTTGGGAATAGTAAAGCAAAATTACTTGTTTCTTGTGACAGAGTCGTTTGCTAAGACAAGTTGCAACGCACCAAACGAAAGTCTAGTGGAAGAAAGAATCTTGAAATGACCAAACCACAGAAAAGTTCTTCTGATTTTGCCCATATATCCAAAACAAAACGCTTCAATAATGAATGAAGCCAAATCATAAAAATCTTCTAATAATATCTTTACAATAAGCAGAGATTTTTTAAGCCGCAAGTAAGACAGCCCACCCACCCTTTCATTTTACTATATGACAGTCAAAATATCAACATTACCTAACTTGCTTTAACTTATAGAGTGTCATTCCTAAAGATTAAGATCTGGTGCCGACATTGCAGAAATCCTACACTGGCCCTCTGTTGTTAACAATTCGTCGCAGGCTGCAGCTGCTATATCGTTGGCAATTCATCTTACAAGAAAATTACCTTGATGAAAATAACGAGTTGTTTTCTGAATTTAACATTATCTTCCCCTCAAGTTTATTAATGTGATATTTCGACATAATTATTCGTATTCAAAGTTAAAAGATGATGCAATTCAAACTTTGAACAACAGTCAAGAGAACTTTGACGTGTTTCCCGGACATTAACAAACACTCATACAATGAGCCCTTTCTGTAGTTTACAAGCTTTTGAAGTTGGACATGAGTTCATTTCGGATAAGGATTTAATAAAGTACGTCAGTAAATTCTACAAGAGCTGTGGCTGAGAAGGCAGCTGGCCCAGAGAAGTGATTTACAGTTTATAGTTCACTTCATATCAAGCCTGATGAACTGATGAAGGCCAAATAATGGATAAAAATGACGATAGAAATGTGCTTTTAACTGCGTTAGTATAATCGATTCCCATTGTTTTCAAACACAATATAGATAGCCACTGGGAACAGAGTTTTTTGTTCTGGTTTTTTTATGCGAATAAAAAGCAACGGGGTTCTCTTTTTTATCAATACAAATTAGGTGATTCCTTGGTGTGAAACCGTGAGATGGAGAGGAATTCATGTTTTTGATCCATGTGATAAATTTGTGTTACGTTCACAGTGAGGTTGCGAAGGAAGGGCAGTCTTACAAACTCTCATGAAAAAACGGTAAGAGTTCAAAATCAGTTTTTTTAATAAGGTTATCGATGTACATCTTAGTATATCGATGTGCAACAGTTGTAAAATATCCCTGTTTCAGTATATGATAGACAATAAGCGATCTGGGCACGCAAGGCAAAATCGATCAGGCCCTTTGTCGATTCGTTGTTGTGACTCAAGGCCTTGGCTGGTCTGAAGGCCAAAAACCTTTTGAGAGGTCTGTGGTTGATATTTTATTAACAAGGCATTTTTGCAATCATTTCGGGTATTAATCCTCTCAGCCTAACTGGCCCGTCGTCACTGATTTATTCCTTTTATAAGAAAGATTCAATAGCCAAATCGGGTCGCCATCACGACATTTTTAAGGCTGCACAACCACCAATCTTGATTAAAGTCACCCAGCCAAGATCAGATTTTTACCAACGAATGAAATAAACAAATAAATGAATTTTTGCCATAGTGTGACGTAACTTCGCGTTTCTCTACCTACTTCCCCCTATCGTGCTCTTATTACTGACTGTTGGATACATCAAGCCGATATTCTCAAATGCAGTTTATCAAATGTGAATGGCATTAATTGGGAACAGAAAATGATTGTCCGGCCGTCTTCACGTCTTACAAACATTATCCTTTTAATTCTAGCATTCGTTTCATAAAAAAGGATTAGCAAATTTTCTTATTGCACAGCGAGTTCGATTGATCGATTTATCAATTATGTACAATTCTGAATAGAAAGTGAATGTAAAGATCATAGGAATACTTTTTGCCACCCACAATCACTGAATGGTGAGACCTGCGGCATAATTAAGTTACAAGCACTAAATTTGCTTGTCTCCTTAAATTAGTCATTATAATTGAGACCTCATATTTCAAGAAAAACAATATAAGGCTGCGGTAGTTTTTTATTTTCAAGGAAGACGACAAAATTTGTAGGGTGTAGGGGCTTCATTTCGCACGATTCCTTTTGCGGATTTCTCCTTAGCCTTCCATATAGCCAACTTTCCACTTAAGCCCTGTTTACACTACACAAACTAACCTGGGTTCGCCCTAGGTTAAAAGTAACCCGGGTCGAACCCTGATGCGTTTACACTGGAAACTGTCGACTTTGTAGTGTAAACGGAATCAAGGGCGAACCTGGGTTAGTTTGATATCGACGCATGCGTAACATACACAAATTGAAGGCAAGGATAAAAAATTGGCGGCGGTCAACGTGTATATTGTTTAACAGAATACAATAAATCGACTTTAAAAACAATTATTCCCAGTGCGGGCTTCGTACAATGAGAGAATTCTGTATTCGCGCTTTGCTTTGTTTTGCATTCGGCGCCATTTCCGTCACTACGCAAGCGTCCTAAAGAAACTAACCCAGGTTCGCCCCAGGTTTGCGTTTACACTACACTTTATCTAAACTAACCCAGGCTCGACCTAGGGCGAGCCCACCTTTTGAGGAGGGTTGACTAACCTGGGGCGAACCTGGGTAAGTTTGCGTTTACACTACACAAATCTAACCTGGGTTAGTTTTAACCTAGGGCGAACCCAGGCAAGTTTGTGTAGTGTAAACAGGGCTTTGTATAAAAGGATGCCCTGATTTTTTACTTAGCCTCGATATTCTCAAAAAGTCATAATTCTGAGCCTACAGCTGAGTCTAAATCGTTCTTAAGCGACACAATGTGTCAATTTGGCAAGAATCGAGAAAGAAAGTTCAAATTTTGCCTTTCTTTATCATAAAAGGATTATGAAAATTAAAAATACTAGCACAATACAAGCTTGATGAGTGTTCCTCAAACATTTTGCGCGAAAGTCGTGCTTTTCTTGTTTGCTCAAAAACTCAGATGGATAAAAAGACAATTTGACGATGAAATTTGAGCCTGGCTATCATTCCTAATCAATTGCTAGATTTTACCAAATTCGAGCTTCAATTTTATCACAAAATTTATCATAATAAAAGTATTTATGGTTGTGCGTATTGCATCATATGTTTTGCTGCGTAGCATGTTCCGTTCATTTTTCTAGTTGGTTGGCGCTTGTGTTGCGTTGCTGCGTCATCGATTCAATGTTTCGCTGTTTTTGCGCTGAACTGCTGTTTGGATCACCCCTAGACAAGGTCTTATTAAAGGCGGCTTGTGAACTAAACAGTTTTCTGTGGTTATTGGGCCGGCTTCTTCACACAGGTGGTACCGATAAAAAATTTGCAGCGAAGCTTAAATATAGTTTAAGAGATACAATCTGACGCACATGGCGTAATGACAACATTACAGTTTGATTAAAATCGCGGGAAACCAAGTAATCAGTTAAAATTAAATCTCATTTCTAGGTAGGGTTGAAAGGAGATCGATAGCTCAGGAACGTAATCATAGAGAAACCCTTGCGGGGACACTTTATCTGTTAGTGTGTACAGCAGGTTTGAGGCATGTTAATGCAGTCAATATGCAAACAGGTACTCATTGGCTGATACAAAACGAATTTTCTATTGCAGGCCACGGAGTTTGAATCAACAACATAATCGCTAATACAAGGAAGAAGTAAACGAATGGAGCACCTGAAAAAGCGAAAGACAATGATACCAAAGATGGATGGCTAGCATACTAGCCAATCTTTGTTTATTTACATCTACGAACTTGTAAATATTGGAGCTTTCATAAATCGACTTTGCGCTTGTTGCTATATTCCAGTTTTAACATCAAACGAATCTGACTTTCGAATTTCATAAGTCAATAAAAGATAACAATGACATCCAAAAAAGTGTCGGAGTCGGCAAAACGCAAGGTTATAGTGTACTGATGAATCGGGGCAATTACAAAGATTAAAGGAGACGCTGTATGAAATCGTTTATGAGAAATCATTGATCGTGGAATTGCGCAAAGATGCATCGGGGAATATAGTTTGACAGTACCAAGAGCTGCTCGCAAAGAAATTTGTATTTTGCTTATCTGCCAACTCTAGACTGATCGCTTAACTCTCTAAACTAGCAAAAGTTTTCAATTCTAAAAGAAAATTAATCTGCTTATCTGGATTAACAAGTCAAAGCAGTTATTACAACATAGAAATGTCGGTTCTAGTGGAGCCTATTCCATCTTCAAAACATCACGATGAAAACACCGCAGGAAGGCTTGTTCTATGACAGTAAACTTCGTATTTACCAAGGATTTTCACGGAAATGTCTCGACGCTGTATTTACATTACCAATTAAATTTATGTGGAATGGAAATGTAGTTTTAGTCAGAACAATCGATTCTGATGACGGTAATTAAGAGAAGAAAATCAAATTGAATCGGCATCTCATTTCACCTGCATTTGCTGAGATATCTAGAGCAACGATCGACCGTAAGAGAATTTGAGGCGCTACTGGCGAAAGAAACTCTTCGCTTCCTTTCTCTGTTAGATAGAAAGGATCTTCGTGAATGAAAAACGCAGCGATGATGAATACAGGCCGGTTTAGCGTCTTCCTTATTTGTTTAAAGTCTTTAATGATCGCTGAAGCGTTGATTGAATATAATCAGTTACTTGATTCGAAGTGCCCGATACGGGATACAGATGCAGACCTTATCCTTGCCGGGGTCTTTCCAGTTCACGTGGAGGTCACTGCAGATAATTGCAACCAGGCAAATTCATGCGGATACAGCCTTGATAAGCAGATAGACGGCAGTACAAAGTGCATTCGCATTAACAAAAGCGGAATAACATGGGTTGAGGCCATGATCAAAACGATACGCGAAATTAACGAAGACAGGCGACTTCTGCCTGGCATCAGGCTTGGCTATATCATATGCGATGGATACAACAACATCGACAGAGCATTAAACATATCACTCATGCTACAGTCGTTACGCCACACTGTGATGCGATACAGCAACGTAACAGAGAACAAGTGTAGCTGTCGAAACAACGACACGCGCACTATTGTTGGTTTAATCGGCGGTGCTTCTTCCAAAATATCAATGAACCTTAACTACATACTGAATGTGTTTGATATTCCACAAATAAGCTACTCTTCAACTAGTCCATCGCTGTCCGATAAATTTAACTTTCGGACATTCTTCCGGACTATACCTCCTGATACGTACCAAGGAAAAGCACTAGCAGATATAATTAGGTACTTTGGTTGGGCATATGTCTCCACAGTGGCTACATCCGATGACTATGGGCGACTTGGTATAGAGGCGTTTAAAGAGGCGACAAAAGATCATGATATCTGCATCGGCGTGGAGGCGTTGTTCGATATCACGTTGAACTTGCAGTCCACAAAAGACCAAATTACAGAAATCGTTTCCAACCTCAAGGCAGAGACGAAAGCCAAGGTCGTCATACTTTTCTGTGAATGGCCCTCTGCGCAGGCCATTCTACAAGAAGCAGAGAAACAAAACTTGACTGGTAAAACCTGGATTGCGTCAGAAGCTTGGGGGGAGAATAACTTCGTATTAGGAATAAGGGAGGACGTGATTGGAGGAATGATAGGGCTGATACCAATGCAGGGAAACATAGAGGCATTTAAAACCCACGTGGTGAACATCGATGCTCGCAATTACGCAATAAATACGTGGTTCAAAGAGTACTATTACAGCACGCTGAAATGCAAAAATCTGACTGCAAGCAGCAACGTGTCCATACATTTGGACTATTCCTTTAGCAAATGCGCCAATGTTATGGACGCAGTCTACGCACTAGCGCATGCGTTGCATAAAGAGCTTGGGTGTGACGTCACAGGTAGCCTACCAACAACAGAGTGCAATTGGCTAAAGGAAAAGAAAGCCGTCAACATGCAAAATTTGTTGACTCATTTGAAGAACATCACCTTTACTGGCGCATTGGATGTGCCGATGAGCTTTGATTCAAATGGAGACCCCATTGGTAATTATCTGTTTTGTCTTTTTGATTAATTCTGTTCTTGTTTCGCTTTCAACTTAATCACTTAAAGTACAAATTAATTTGCATTTTATTGAAGACCAAACTATGCCTTTTTGCCATGACAATAATAAACTGTACAAAATCATACTTTATTACCTGTAAAAGAGAAAACTGCACAAAGCATTCAAAAGGCTTAACTCGTCCAGTAAACATTCACGGTGAAAACCGTGCACGGGTTCCGCCTGTAAAAATAATATTTGCAGCTACAGTTGTCAGCACAGTTCTCATTAGATGATTCATACTTCAAAGCTAAAGCACTTAGATTTAGATTTTGCATTTTATCAGCAATATTTCAAGAAAGTTAATGAAAACAGGTACGCAGATTAACGAAAAGAAAACCAATAAAGGAACCAAGGAAAGAAATCAAGTAAAAAAATCAAACAAGGAAATCAAGTAAGGAAATCAAGTCAACAAATTTATCACCTCCTCCATGTCAGTATATGGAATTATCATCTCAAATCGGCTATTTTCGCCTTGATTTAAAATGATGTTTTTCTTTATTCTACAGGCGGCTACTTAATAACAAATCTGCAGAATAATACTGACGGAAGCATGAAATTCACCCGCATTGGTCGCTGGGATGGAAGGCAAAGGCAGCTTCACTTTACCCAGAATACTACAATATATTGGAATGGCTGGGTGACACAGGTCAGCAGATCGTCTTGCAGCAAACCCTGCGCCCCGGGTTATTTTGGGATACCTGGAAAAAGCAAGTGCTGCTGGGAATGCTTTCGATGTCAAGATGGCTTCGTCAAATGGTGGTATGGCGAAGACAGTTGCAAGAAGTGCTCCGATGATTACGTAACAAATGCAAACAAAACACAGTGCATAAAGCTTATCGAGAGATACCTACATTGGAGCGATGTAGAAGCCATTGTGATCTGCGTGATTTCATTTAGCGGGGGCATACTTGTGCTCGTCTCGCTCATTTTGTTTATTCGATTGCGATCGACGCCAATCGTCAAAGCAAGCAGCCTTGAGTTATCTTACTTCTTATTAGTAACACTCCTCATGATATTTCTCACGCCAGCAATCTACATTGGGAAACCCACGAAGATACTCTGCATAATGCGACCAATGAGCACCGGGCTGCTCATGGCTATTGCGACTTCAATACTGTCTGTTAGGGCCTACCGATACATGTGCATATTCAAACTGAAGTTTCACAAGAAGGCTACAAAGCTACAGGGCCTATCTTCACAATTTGCTAGCGTGTTTGTGGCCTCATTGTCGCCGGTTGGGGTAATTGCGATATACTTCGCATTCCAAAATCCACACGTAGTTAATCGTATCGTTCTAGACAAAGACTCTCCCAAAGTGTACACAGAATGCAACTTAGAGACTCAATATGTAAGCCTGGGGCTAGCCGGGTATCTTCTTTGCTTATCTGTAGTTTGCTGTGCGTTGGCATTTCGAACGAGAAAGCTACCGGAGGTTTTTAACGATGCAAAGTGGCTGGCAATGACTATATTTACACAGAACATTGTCTGGTTTGCGTCGATGACCATATACATTGCACGACACAATGACCGTGCAATGGTAATGTGTATCAACGTTTTCGTCAGCGGTTTTGTTATCTGGGGGTTCAACTTTTTACCAAAACTAGTGACAATCATTCTTCACCCAGAACGCAATAGGAGAGACGTTGTCAGTAGGCAAATTTTCATGATGACAAGGCATAGGGTGGACCGAGACCATCCTGGAAAAATAGAAGCAAAAGCCGTTGAAAGATATCTTAGACGCGGCTCAAATGGCGAGGTTGTTAATAGAGGAGAGCTGGAAGAGAAGGAGAAAGTTTCTGGCGATAATAGGATAAGAGAACGAAGATTCACCAATATAAACCTTCTAGACCCTGTTGCACTTACAGATATAAATAGATAATTGTGCGAAACAACATTGCTGGTGCAAGGAAATGCGTCTAGTTTGGAATTTGGGCTTTGATATTTAGCTTTACAGTGTCGAAAGCAACATATTTGAAGTGAACAAAAATTAATGAAGCATGCTAAAAGACCTGTATATTCCTGCCAAAATTCAGTTTTACTTCTGGTAGATTGTTTCTATGCATATGATAAAGTGTAATGTACATTAGGCTAATAGCAAACTTGCAAGAACTCAGCTAGAATGCCAAGGCAATTGAACAGAGACTTTGCAACTGAGTATAACTGTAGGATTATTATGTCATCAAATATCATTCGTTTTGATTTGTAACTTTATTATTTAGTTTCTGTATGAGGTAAAATATCTTTTTTTCTTTTGGTCAAATTATAATTTATTTGAAGTTACTTTATTTGAAAATGCTTTAAGAAAGTTCATTTTCCTTAAAGAGCTGATATGTGATAAAGTATAGCTTTATTTATTTTTTCCAATTCTTCTTTGTGCAGATGACAAAAGACATGGGTTAAAATCTAACTGAGGTACAATTAACTTATCCCTGGTTTCGAATGAAACTTTAGGAAGGGCTAGTACCCACGAAAAGTATTCGCTTCCTCCTCTTAGGGGAAGCATAGTTCTCTTTAAAAACAACTGTGTCCATTCGTCGCCTTTTGAAACGAAGGATTGACGAAAACTTATTTCTCCATTCCATTGAAATTTTTTTCTGAATACAAGAGTAAGCGGTCGTGAACCGTACGCAGATATAACAGGAGGGAGCAAGGATGGCTCAGTGGTTATAGGCGCTGACTACAGACTAAAGGGTCCGTTGTTCGAGTCGCTGATATGAACAAATTTTCATTGAGATTGAGGACAGTCGCCAGGTCTCTGTATTCCCAGGCGTGGGAATCGCGAGGTGTGGTTACATCGAGAGGAAGGACCAGGACACTGCTCGATAGGCATAAGCTTCTCAGTGTCCTGAAACAACCTTCGGAAGCTAGGTGTCAAACATTACAACATATTACAGGCAAGCCATGCAGAGAACATAAGAATATTGGATACCACTCAATGAAATCAACGAAAATTCATGAAAATTGCTAACTAAGCGAGAGAAAAATGATTGCATTAACCACCTGTAAAAAGGCAATTGAAATCAGAGCTAGTGCAGAATTGCCAATTGTTTGAGAATGCGAATAGGGAAGCTTGATTAATTCATGTTGATATACAGGTGCCTACTAAAGCCTGTTTGGTTACACCTTCAATGAAATCCACAGGAGCGCATTGCAAAAGATATGCGGTGCAAATATCATTTTTAAGAAACACATAGGTATCGAAGAGATCTGACAAACGCCTAGGTTTTTTTAAAAGGAGTTTATTTATTCGTTGTTGATATAATTTGAAGAGCAATTGAATGACGGGTATGAAACAAACAACGATAACAATGCAAACTAGCATGGAGTTAATTGGGTCACGTAGTTTAGTGTGAGTCATAGCAGATGCATAAACAGCATCTTCATAATGGTCGTAAGGGTCTAGGTGCAAGTTATTGTAAAGGGTTTGAGGCAACGTAAAGGGGTATGTTTGCACGGTAATGGTGCCGGACATGTGCATAGGCCATAAACTGCTTGCACATCGGGGCTGCAACTCACACTGGACGGTATAAAATATTGTTATTAGCACAGAAACTTTCTAATTTCGTATCCATATATAGGAAGACTTTCTTCTGCCATGAACTCAGTCTGGACATTATTGCTTCATTTTTCATTGTATTTGAGGTAATAAATCTCGACGAGTAAGGCTGATTGGAATTCGGAATTTTCGCTCAACACTAAAATATATACATTAGATGTAGTAGCTTCTGGAATGCCAATCACATCAGTCATGGTGCGCAGAATATATGTCACTCAAGGTGCATCGCAAGGATGTTGCCTCAAGCCGCTGCTATCCATATTTACATAAATGATTGTTAATCAGCGGAAATAGAAATTGAATGAACGACAGGATAAAAATGACATTCAAATTGCCATCTGGCTTTGATAAACAACCCATTCCTCGATTGTAAAACTTGCAAATTTAAAGATATCAAGTTACACAAACCTTTTACGTTCCCAGCTATAATAGAATACATGACAACTCCATTCCTGTTTGGGGCAAGTTTACCATCCGCATCAACAGCGGTTACGCGACCAACGCTCCTTGCAACCGGGGTGTTCTGGAATAAAATAAAAACAATAAAGCGCTGCATAACCCAGTTACGAAATTTTGTACTGGCAGATCAATAAAAAAACTCTTACGGTATTAAGAAAGCCTTCTCTAATGAGAAATTCGAAAGAAAATTTGATAATCAACTACAACGTCCATGAACATCATTGGATATTCGAAAGCTCTTCGAAAGATTTGTACTTTGCAAGTTGTAAAACTGCGTCATGGCTTTTGTGAATCAACTGTCACGACATATTTCTATCGATAAAGCTTTACGAATGACACAATGACTAACTAGTGAAAATCGAGTATATGCAGTTCGTGCGCATTGACATTCTCTGGTCTCACGTATTTCTAAAAGTAAAAAAGAAAATAATTGTAACCTGCCAGAGAAATAGGAATGGGGGCAAAATAAAAGAAAATTGGATTCAAAATCACCTCGTAAATTTGAAACGAGTAATGGGACACTGTAAAAATCGGAGGATTGTCATTGCTGTCAATAACATCAATTGACACAAAAACGTTCCTATGAAAATAATTAGATTCATGACATTTGGAAAAGAGCATTTTTATATGAGCAATGAAATACAATACAATACAATACAAAACAATATAATACAATACAATATAATACAATACAATATAATACAATATAATACAATACAATATAATACAATACAATATAATACAATACAATACAATACAATATAATACAATATAATACAATACAATACAATATATCAAATATTAACAATAAAATGCAATATAAAGTCAATGAAGTCTGCAATAAAAACCTTATTGCAACAATTAAAAATAATGATGTAGAAGAGAATACCAAGAAATTCAATGGCTTACATTTTTAAACAAAGCAAAACAGTTTGAAATTTACAACACAATATGATTTCATGAGCCATAAAACTTCAGCAATTTATTATCACATCCTTATAACCGATAAATTAATCTTAAAAGAAGTTGCCTTTTTATAAAAGAACGACATTCTGAAAGTTGCCACATCATAATGAAAATAAAACCATTTTTTAACTAGGAAATAGAAATAGCAAGCCTTATTAAGCTAACTGACGTAAGAACTAATTGTATTAAACAAACTAATTGTCTTCTCTGTTAACTACCTTGACTTCTTCACAATCCCATGATCCTCTGCTCTGATATTCAAGATGTAGGTGGAGGTCTTCTCCCAGTCAAGGTGTTTCTCAATCAAAAGGTCCCCACTCGAGTTCTCAAGCCTAAATTTACCCTGTAAGAAAACCAATATTTTGATTTTTAAGCCATAGAAAACAGAAATATAATGAAATAAGTATTAGAATAAATGAATTGTTTCGAATATTTTCAAGAATCTAAAAGGAATTGTGTATGTTGAATATGTTCGCAGGGTAATTCTAGATTATCAGTTGATCCCTGATAATGAAAAAGGGCCTTCTCTCAGCCTCTTCAAAGTGAATTTCGTATCACAATAAAAATATGCATATATGAACAACTCTTGATTTCTATACCAATTGAAATCATCAAACAGCCAGTCAGAAATCGGTGTAAATGACACGGAGCAAGTCAAACTTTGCAAAGAGCATAAAAAAATTCAATTAATCTGGACGTGTATTGAAGTAGAAGAAATCTTTTTTTAAGCAGCTTGAAATGAGCAGCAACGTAACAAATCATAGCTCTGACCTGATCATTTCCTGCCGTTATGAAGTAAGCAACCCGCCCGTTGTCCCCAGCATCTGCATCGCTGGCTTTCACAGAGAGCAGTACAAACCCGACAGGCGCAGACTCATTGACCTTGGCCGAATAGCTTGTTTGCAGAAAATTTGGATAGTTGTCGTTGAAATCCTCGACTTTGATTTTGACCTAAATGACCAGGTTGGCTTTAAATATTGTCGAGGTAGGATTTCACTGAATAAAAAGCATCTGAAGAAAGTACAGTCTGGAGAAAGCCTTACGCAGAGAACCTTATAAGCCGTTATATTTGTCTTGAATCTTAGCTGTTATTGATTATATCTACGAAAATAAGTAATTCTCAACAAATTACAGCCATTTATTAAAGTAAACTGAGACGATTTGAGATGTCTTCTACCGGATGGAAGTCTACACAACGCACAACGGTATAGAGCGTTACAATGGCTTTGAGAAAAGCAATAATTTTCTACCGGTTATACACAAGTATAGTTTTCTAATCAGTACTGAAAACTGGCATGGAATGCGTATCTCAAAAATAGATATTCTATAAGGTAGTATGCACTCACCAGCACTGTTGAGAGCAACGAAGGGGAGCCATGGTCTGATGCTCGGATCTGAAATTGATAAAAAGAAAACTCTTTTTATTATATGAAAAAAGAACGTCAGGTTGACATTACATGTTACCGAACCAGCCAGCTCCACACTCAAAGATTAACAGTAACTTTACCTGAAATGTAACAGCAACAAAAGGTACCAATCACTTCCTGTCGAAGGTCCTTGATGAAACAGGCATTAAAATGAATACTTATTCAAATACAGAGCAGATCAGAAATCATCAAAAGATTGTTACCAGTAGCTGGTACTCATCGACGGTTTCCCTGTCCAGAATGTCTTGTGTCCTTATTTCCCCAGTTGTGGCTGACAATGAAAACGTGTTTCGTTCATTTCCACTCAGTATTTGATAAGTTACTTTGCCATTCAAGGCTGAATCCAAATCAGTGGCGTTGAGATCAATAACAAGAGATCCAATTCTTGCGTTTTCATTTATTGTTGCGTTGTAAACTGAGTGCTCAAACGTTGGGGTGTGGTCATTCTCGTCCTGGAATATTGAAGATTGAATGAAAGTGAGCAGTGAAATCATTTTGAAATGTTATACATTTATACTAGCTCTTTTAACATGAGTTAAGGAAAAAGACATCCAAAGTTACAAAGAGCTGGATTGTAGAAAATAAAAGCTGGATGAATCTCGATGGATCAATATTTCCACCACAATAACTTTTTGTCACGATAAATTCATACATAATAAATAAATGATTGATATTATAAAGATGAAAATTGCTGAAAATAAGCATATGGCAAACAGAAGAACTAAATTTCATTATAGAAACTTGAATGGGAAACATGGAAAAAATGGCTGTGAAGATTAAAAATTGTCTCATACTAAAAACACCAACCTGGACAGCTATCTCCAATCTCTGAGTGACACTTTTTTGGCTCACCCCATGATCACTTGCGTTGAAAAGAAGGACAAAACGATTTCTTGCAGATTCGAAATCCAAAGGTTCAGTCGTATTAAGAACTCCAGTCGCCTCGTTAAAGAAGAACTCGGGAGCACTTTGGTTGATGAGCTTTAATCTTACTTGACCATTCAAACCAGAATCTTTATCAGACGCCTGAAAATGCAAATATATTCAAGTTTTGAAACTCAAGTTGAATAGAGATAAAAAATTCATCAGAAATCAAGCAACTAAGAAAAGTAGGTTATATCCAACGGATATGAGAAAACTAAAATCATACTTTTTAACTTTGGTCCAAAATTAATATTTAGCTCTGACTGCTTCAGCACCAAAATCGCATCAAATTTTTCGATACAAAAAATCTTATGAAATACAAAACAAGGCACATACAGAGCTCACAGTGTCTTGTCTATATAATAAACTTTCCTAAAATTCATGTTTGTTACAAATTTCCGGCCTACGAGCTGCTACAAAAACACAGCATTGAGTATGAAGGATTACCTTAACCGTGAAGATCGACGCTGCTGCTTGATTTTCAGGCACAGATATAGTGGTTGGAAGGTTGTCGAATTCTGGATAATTGTCATTGATGTCGAGGACATTGATTCGCACCGTTGCACTTGTTGTTTTGGCATTACTGCCCCCTCCGTCAGTGGCAATTACCGGAAAAACATGAAACTGACTCACTTCATAGTCTGGTTGACTCTTCAAAGTTATTTTCCCAGACGTTGAATTGATTTGAAACCTAAAAAGGACGAAAAACACAATCTTTACAAAATACCAGATACAATTTCAACAAAATACCACAACCACAATTATTACTTACTATAAAATTAATCAGAACAATGCTTGTTAATGTTAGGTAACCAGTGATTTATTATTTCAAGATTTACTTAAGACGTCAATGAAGTTATTGAGGTACGAGAAACGGAATTAAGGAAACGAAATGTATGTCTAATTAAGACTAAAACTGGTGAGTGCTCCAAGTAATTAGAGCAGCCTTGAAAAAGGTTAAGCAACAAATGAAGCAATGAAACGAATGAGAACTAAGATATGTAGCTTTACTAGATATTTTACAATTTTGCCCGTGTAAGATTCTGGATGCTATTATCAATAATCGATCGACTGGGATCCAATTCAAGAAAATGCTTTGTTCAGTGCAAAGGACCCTATGCAGTTAGCTACGTCAGAAAGCATTGTTACACGCAATATCCAGAATATTATATACAGTTGCCAGATGATCGCAGTAAGCGTGAAGCTCGGAGTTGCAACTCAGAAACCTTCTGTTCTATACACCAAATAGCAGCTACAGCTTTGCCTATACGGCATCAAGCACTTTATGGCACTCCGATGAACAGTGTTTTTCATTTTCGACCATCCAAAATAAATCAATTTTCATTTCCTTTTCCGAATATAGCGACCACACTCCCAGCTTACATTATTTGGAGTTTTCAAAAAACAATCATAAAATCTAGAGCGGTTCTTTTTAGATAGTGCGCTCTAAAAAATGAAATCACTTTTAAGACTTAAAAAGTCTGGATTAGAACAACTTTATTCATTTAATTTACTCTATTTACTTTCTACAAGAAGGTTTAGCTTGATCTTACAAAAATGTAAGACTTATGGGAAGTTTTCAAGGTTCTAGATTGGCATAACTCCGATCTTTCTTGTTTCCTTCAAAAAGCCTCAAGAAGGAAGATACTTACAGGCTAGAAGTCTGTGATGACAAGCTTAGTGTGTATGACAGTTCACCAAAGCTACCTTTGTCAAAGTCAGAAGCCTGATTGAGACAAAAAATGGTGCAAACAATTGATTGTCGATAATGCGTGATAGAACTCTGTTGATCTAAGAATTGATCTATTTCATTATGCAACTTGAAAGATTTTCTAATGGAAAGAAAGCAACTTTTAACATTTAAAAAAACACAAGATAAATTAATACAAACTTTGATACCGTGAAAAATCATGGAAGACCAGGAAGAATTGAGAAATATATCTTCAAGACATGCTACTTAATCAGGAAAGATTTGGAGTCAGTCTGCTTAACGTATTGCAGAGCTTTTCCAACCTCCGTCTACTGTTCGAGGCACAAATTAGCAAAATATTTTATATGCAAGGGATCTCATGCAATGCATACAAAGGTAATTTCAAATAAACTATTTAAAATGTAAAAAAGTTCAACGGAACACCATTACGAGTTGTTTTGTGCTACTTGCAAAGGAGACAAACATAGATGGACGGTGACAATGATACCTTAACGAAACCAAGGACGGTTCCAGCAGGAGCATTTTCAAAGACTTTGAAGTCATAAGTGGATTGGTTAAAGATCGGGCTGTTGTCATTCATATTGTTAAGGTGGACTGTCACTGTAGCATTGCCCGAAAATCGCTCGCTGGACAGCGTCTCTGTAGCAAATACCTGTGGAAGCAATTATAAAAATTATTTATTCACCACGGTTTTATGAACTTATTATAAGAGCTAGTAAAATCACGAATCGAGGGTGAAGGACAGCTATATAGCTTAATTAAAGAGATTGATTGATATTGCAACCTTTTCAAGACAAGAGTATTGTACGGTGGATACCTAAAATTTTATAATTACTTACACGAATACAAGATTACTTGATGTAAAAATACAGGAAAGCAAGGCCAAGATAATTTTACGATATTAGGTTATAAAGCGAATCTGAGCGGTTCTAAAAGCTTTGTCGTCTACACTGAAATTGATAGTCCTAATTAAGTTTCTATTGTTGCTATTGCAACACTATTATAAAATAATCGTTATTAAAACCTAATTTTATTGAGTAACAAAATAATTTTTCTCATTACTTACAGTAAAGATAATTGTGGATTGGCTCTCATAGTCCAGTACTGAGTTGACAGTTAGTTGACCACTTAAAGAGTTGACAGCAAATCTTGAAGAATCGCCACCCAGAGAATACTGAAATACACTGTTTGTGGACTGAAAAATAAGAAAATAAATATATAGCACGCATTTCAAAGGAGACTAAATGATACACTTGGGTGACATATGTTACCCTTTGTGACATATGTTACCAAATAATATCAAAGAGAGTTGTTTATGATGATGCTTTGGTAGGGACACACTTAAGGTAATTTCTCAGTTACTTAGAGGTGCACTCACAGTCGCATCTCCATCAGTGGCGATCAGCTGACCAATTATAAACCCTTTCGGTTTGTCTTCGTCTATTGTAAACGTGAAAGATCTATTGGTAAACACAGGCTTGAAATCATTGACGTCATTCAACTGGATAAGCACACCAGCCAGTGAAAATGAAGATGGCATCGGAACTTCGTATGCCTGTCAGAAAACGGAACAGTAAAGAAAATAATAACGAACAACATTACAAAGATTTTAGGTTATATTCAATAATTCACGTTTGTACTTTCAAAGGCAAAAATTCTCAGAGAGATTCCGCTCTATTCAATGACAAATGAGTTCAAATATTGCTCAGACTTGAGACATTAGAGCCAGATGCTGATTAGATGTTTATAGTCTCAATAGCGAAAGACGCCATCAGTTGTAGATATGGCAATATTCGAAATTAAGAGTGTGAGCAATAATCAGTAACAGTTCAGAGTTTAAAAAATATTTTTGTGTGGATGGCATGTCAAATTCTTCCTTTAGCAGTAGAGAGTAGACACCGTTACAAAAGAAACTCTGAAGACAGAGAATACTAAAGAGTGGATCATTTGCAGACTTGCCTTGATCTTCAACTGATACGCGGAAGTCTTTTCGCGATCTAACGCTCCATTCGCTCTTATGTCACCTGACACTCTGTCTACTGTAAACAAGCCGTCAACATTTCCTGGAAAAAACACAGCACAAGTTTAAACAAAAGCTAAATGTACCAAATATTAATCTTGAGTGTTGCTGCAGTAACAACTATTCTTGATTTTTGAAACAGTATTACACCAAATGGATCTTTGCAGGCAATTCTTAATAATGAAAATTGGATTTAGAAAAACTTCCAACTCTTATTTCTATCACGTTTAGCCTCGATTACGAAGTCTATAATATTTTTGTTAAATATCAGACTGATCTGTAATCCAGGGTGAGCTGTTTTTAATTGTGAAATTGTGAGCCACTAACGCACGAAAAATTTCTTTTTTTAATGCATTTCTTGATCAGTTGTTAGATTTTATAAACCACTTTATCTGCCAGAAAGTTCCTTTTTTAATAAAGACAGATACCAAACAAGACTACAAAAAAACATGCAAGTTTCGTAAAAAAAACTGCGCAAGAGAACTAACAAAAGGACAAACCTGAATATATTTCGTAATTAATTGCGTTATTTACTCCTTTATCCCCATCAGATGCAGTAACCTTTGTTATTTTTGAATTCTAAAATAAATTAAAAACATTTCTCTGTTTGTATTCTTTGTATTTTAAAAGAAGAATTAAAAAAATTTCTGTAAAGATAATTAGTAGGAATTACGGCGTCATGCTTAAAAGTGTTGTATTTAAGTGTATATTAAATATAACAAAAATTTGAAAACATAACATAACTCAATACTGAATATATAATAAAAATGTACTTAAAAAGATGAAAGAATCATAATGACAGAAATAAAATGATGTTATCTTACAGTGGGTAGGTTTTCATCGACCCTTGCTTCGTATGAAGATGACGGGCTGAAGATTGGGGTGTTGTCACTCACATCTATGACGTCAACAATAACCCTTGCTTCTGAGGACAGTGGGGTGTCTCCTTTATCCTAAACAGGAATGTAAAATACAAATATGTCTTATTTTTCTTTTATTAACAAAAACATAAATAAATATTTTGCCGGGATCTTTTTACACTAACGAACCTTTTTTGTCAAAACACCATAAACTATCATAGAGGTGTAGCCAGTTCCTGTGTGAATCTTCTCATAGCAATACGAGTCTTTTCGTAGCAAAAAAGCCATTGAAATCAAACGAGACAAATGTAAAGGCCCACCTATCTTAATTATTGATCAAATTTAGCTTTCCAAGTCAAAACAAATGCGGCAAAATTCTAGAAATACATTCTCTTGGCATTTGGAGAAACAGAGGATTAACGAATAGGCTGGTCCTTATGGCTGTTTGAAACGTTAGTTTGAGACAAACAATTAGCCTTATTTAAACATTCATATGACTTACTGTATTGGTTACTACAACTTATCATTATGTTACCTTGGCGACGACAGAAAGTGTATATCTTGTAGAAACTTCGTAGTCAAGTGGACCGCTGACCTTGATAACACCAGAATTTGCATCTAATGAAAACTGGGATATCTACCAGAAAAAAGCAGTGAAGTTTCGTTAGCAAACTAAAACAGTGAGGCGCAGCTCCCATTTTCAAGCTATGAGAATTAGTTTTAACCAGCAGCGGTTTTAGGGACTACAGGGCCGGGGCCAAAAACATCTGCGGGGCCCTTGTTCTTTACAATTTCTATCTTTTTTCTTAGGGGTGGGGCCCCTTTTGGCTACCACCAGCGCGGGGCCTGGGGCCAAGGTCCCGATGGACCCCCCTTAAAACCGCCACTGGTTTTAACGGCAGGAAAGAGGTCAGGAAATAAAGCAGCAATGATTTTAAAATTCAAAACCTAACAATAACTCAAATCATTTTTGAAATGTTGTTAAATAAAACCAACTTGCTATTGAACGAAATGCATACATTTCGGGTTGAAATTCAAAAGGTTTTTTAGGATTGTGTGACGAATGGAAAGAAGGAATTCCAAAAAGGAATAAGTAGAGATTTGCTACCTGAGATCCAGCTTTGAATTCGAAGCTTATTTCTGAATTTGAGCCGTCGTCTTTGTCGGTAGCCCTTACTGTTATCACTGAATATCCACCAGTTGCATTCTGGGAATCAATGAACAGAATCAACATTAACAGGACCATACCCAGATCGGCAACTTAAAACATACATTCACTATGTAAAAAATCAAAGACAGGGTATTGTTTTGATACAAATACAAGATTGTTTATCAAACTATGCTATAATAGCTGTGAATGATGTTTTAATTTCGATTCATCTCAATTGAAAGTGCCTTGATGACTTGCTAGAGGTAGTTTAGTGTTTGTAAAAGACAAGAATCATAAACTGATAAACCAAAAATTAAACCAGTCTTCGTGGTTTTGACGACTTTTTAGAAAAATGCTTTTTAGCATTGAATTTATAGGGAACTGCTAAATAAGACTTTGGCAAAAAATTTGAAGACAGCACGGAAGAGCGAAACATACAAAGCACAAGAAGTTTCAATAGTGAACTCGAAAGTTGGAAGCAGTAAATTGCGTTCTTCGTTGAAAAAGTCACATTACACATTCATTTTCAGAGAACGTGTCGCAGGACGAAAAGTACTTTAGTGTGCTATTTATCCCTTTTCCGCGCTCTCTTTAAAAATGTACAGCATTCTTGTTTTCGAAAATTCTCTCCTTTTTTCGATTCAATTTGCAAACATCGCAATCCTTAATAATTTTCTAAAGGAAAACATTAAGTTAAAAATTATCAAAATTGCTAACACGACCTGAACAGCCATATTGCCTTAACTGCGAATGACCTAAGGTGCAAATGGCCTAAAGGGGGAAGTGGTCCCAGCTGCAAATGACCTCAAGTGCAAATGGCCTTAATGGCAAATGGCTCAAAGGGAGCATGGCCTAAACTGCAAATAGCCCAAGCTTCAAATAAAGGTTCCAGGCCTAATACGACCATCATACAACCGGCAATTTTAGTGAAGGATAAATGCGAGTGACTGTCGTTTGGTTCAGAACATACCTCTGGGATAGCTGTGTGGTAAGGTGTTCCTTGGAACTCTGGTGCCCATTCATTCAGATCTAACACATAGATGAAGACCATGATGCTTGCCTGCAATGTTAATCGATAAAAAGTACAACAAACGATTAAGAAATATAACAAAAAATTGTTCTCTTTACGAATTTGAGGAACATTAAAAAAAGGAGATAAAAGCAAGAATCTACATCAAAACTCAAACAAATTCAATTTAAGAAAAAATGGTAAAGGGAGTTTAATTGCTAAATTTTAAGTTTGCTACTGCCAAAAAGAGACATTGGAAGTAACAAACCGCAATTCTCATTTCGCAATTCCAATTTAGCCACTAAGTCTTAAATAAAGGCGTTATACTCACACGGCGGGCTGCACCGCCGCCTTCAAAGTTGTCTTCAGCATAGGCCGTAAATGAAACACGTTCGTTTACCTGGCAACAAAATTGAAAATATTTTCTCAAGGAGATTTTTTAGCCAAAGTCAGTCTTCACTGATCGGAAGAGCGTATACTTATATTCAAGATTTAATAGGGTTTTGAAGAGGAGGTTTATGAAACAAACAAAATGCAGCTTTTGCTGCAGTCAATATTCAATGGTCTCATATGAATTCACACAACTGAATTCATCAATCACCGAGAACTGCTATTCTCACTGAAGGAAAACCTATGTGACGGGTCGAGCTATAATCGAACGGGTTAAAATGGCTTATACAGGAGAAAAAGTTTGAAAGCATTCAATTTGTATCTTTTGTGAACGCAAAATCTTTTAAAACATTCATTGTCTACAACTTGTCCTTCCCCTTCGTTTGCCTTTATGAAAACAAAGAATAGAACCGCCATGGGCTCCATTCAATAGTGTGCTTAAATCTTTCTGATGTCAGATTTGAGAGGTCCTTATCTTTGGAATGATTACAAGGTTAACTCCAAATCGTGCAAAAACTCAAAAAGATTACAAAATCGAAATACAAATATTCAAATTAGTTCTTGCAGCAAAGAGTCAACACTCTGCGCCATTGTTAACAGCTCACCTCCCTGTCCAATGGTTTAGCTAAAGTGATCAGTCCAGATGCGGAATCAATGTTACAATAGGATTGTCCTACAGTGTCCAAGCTGTATTTGATGACATCACCCTCGTCATCTACAGCGAAATCTGAGAGCTTGGAAACAGATGTACCTGTGATCGAGGCAAACGTATCATCTAAGAGAGTCGGCTTTTAAAAATAAAGGTTTTTAGAGATACTAATTCAATACTTTTTAGAGAAATTGGTTTTCTCACAGATTTGCTTTAAAAAGTCTCCTATATTGAATTATATTATCTTGAAGTAATTAATCAAATATGAACAAATAACATAAATGCCTCAGCCAATTCAGTGAAGAGAACGTCTTATTCTGTTGCTTATATGGAACTGAGACAAAAGAAAAACACGTGCTAAATCGAAGTATTTACATAAAAGGTGCACACTTTGAGAAACATTTCTCATCATTTTTTGTGTTCTATCAGTTATTCTAACGGTGTGTATTAGGAGTAAGAGTCATGCACATGCACTTCTTGTACGTACACAGACTTAGCCTTTAGCTGATTTTTCTTAGGAAGCGTTGCTTTATAGACATCCTTCTTGGAAACAAAGCTAACCTATAATCGGGCCTGAAATTGTCACACAGACTGCTAGTAAATAGCATGCAATTGATATCGAAATAGTGTTGTCCTTCCCACCATTCACAAGAGCATGAGGCAGATTTGCATCAAAGATCTAGCGAATTCTAATGAGAAACAAGGCCGAAATCATTAGAAAACGTTCTGCAGCGAAGAAAGTTCGGCTGCTTCAAATTTTTTCAAACGGATCCACTCCACATTCGCATAAACATGGAAGAGATGTGTTTACTACTTAAGGGCGCTAAACGTCTTTTGACGCCGTAGCTCTACCCTATTTGAGCTCAAACTGACCATTATCGCGGTTTCTTCCAGGTCATCGAGCTCTTTTAACTCTGGATTTCCATTTCCCACATCCCAAGCGTATGGTGACCTTTTTTAGTGTTTTCGAGAAGACAATTATGCTTTTTAACAGTGTTCGACTATTGATTCAATCAATGACTGTCAGCTTTTAATTTTGTAGTAGACTTAATTCGTTACAATGAAATGAACCTGGTTCTATTGGCAGGCTTTTGAAAAATATAAGCCGGTCTCTCTCTATTTCTATCTAGAGAAAATAGGTGAAGATAAAAAGAATTACAAATACATGTAGAATTCATAAGTAAGATGCAAAGTCTCTTGATTGTGGATTCAATCTTCGAAACAACAGAGTTACATATTGCATCTTTTCTCGCCTCCAACAATATAGTCTTGCTTTGGCGAATTCCCCTGTATTCAAAATCTGTTCAGCTTTGAAGAGAAACAAACTATCTAATATATAGAAGGAAGAAGAAAGGACTAAAAACACATTAAAAGGATAAAAGAGAGAAAATTGAGAAAGGGGAGGGTAGAGACAGAAAATAAGACGAAGTTAAATGAAAAAAAGGTAAAGTTAAAGAAAAAGATTCAGTAAAATAAGAAAATAAAATGACGGATAGTTCAAATAGAGGGAAGGAGTGTACGAGAAGGTAAGTAATAGATACACAAGGCAATCATTACTTAACATAACAGGTTTTACTTTATACCAATAGTTCAGTTAGTTTTATTATAGCCAGGGAAAAAGAAGAAAAGTGCCAGGAATAGAGGGGCGAGAGAGAAATAGAAGGGAAAGAAATATGAAACAGGGATTGATATGAAGGATATGGTAGTGTTATTGGGAAAGAAGCTAAAAGGAGGGCAACCCTCCGCGGTTGACGTAATAGGACATATTCTAAAGAAGATTTTCTAGCGAGATAACTTTAAATACTGGCTGATTTTATTGGAGCAGAATTCATTACCTGCAGGAGTGTTCTCTATGATCGAATTTATAAGCTGATTCCGGGTGAAGTGTGGTCGGTAATTCAAGCCTGGAAATAAAAGTATAATTTTACACTGTTAAGACATGAAGCATGAGAAAATCCAACCAGAGAAACTTAAATAGTTGATTAAATCAGCATCAAATTAGCAAAACAATAACGATAAGAAAATTTGCGTTTAGCTTTTTTAACGGGGGAAAAGTTAAAAGGAACTTTATTTCTCTTTTAATTTTGAAAATCCGCATTCTGTTATAAAAGGCCTTCTGATTTTTTTTACTTTAAAATATAGGTCTGTGTTGTTAGGACTTGGGGAGGAGGGTGCAACACCATAGAGTTGAACAAATTATCAAAATCGACACAGAATACATCAGCATTTCCAATTTTTCGTCGCTCATATGCTTATGCTTATAAAGATAGAGATGATAAAAAGTTCCTACTTACGTGCAACTGATAGCTTTGAAATAAAGATGATCCTTGGGGTTTTCAAAGAGAATTCCAGGAAATCGAGTTCCCTGTCCCCTTAGACTAGTAACGAGTAGGGATAGCAGCAAAAAGGGGCATTTTTAACGTACGACGATTATGGTGCGAGAGGGTATGCCAAATGCCTCAGATGCTTCATTAGCACTTCTTAGCTTCAAAAATAGTGGAATGCCCCTTCTTATACGGTTCTATATAAGAATGAACAAATAGGCAATGCGGTAAGTGTATCAAGAGTATGAAATTAACCTTTTGTTTTGCTTACCATGAATATTGTAGGGCAGGGCTGCGAAAAACAGAAGCAGAACTGATGCAGTTAATAAATTCAAACTATCAATATATCTTTTCATCTTGCTTTCGACTGTGTGCAATCACTTTCAATCAACAACCTGCAGTTAATTATTGTGAAGAACCTTCATTTTTAATGAAAATATTTGACAATCCAGCGTTGTGTTGTGGCTATGAAGCTGTATTTGTATGATGCCTGATCTGCAGTCGTCTCATCCGGCAACGTGCATCATTTTGATTTGCTTCAAAGTCTCTTGTCGTATTCTACAGTGCAGAATGTAATTGAATGCGTGATGGCCAATTCACGACTCCTTGCCAACCACTCTTTAAAAGAACGAAATCTGTGGGAATACAGAAAATTATATGGTTTGCACATGTTTGCTAACAGCGTTATGTAATTTGTGGATGAGATTTAAATATTACTCATTTGACTGAACTTAAGCATAAAAAATCCTTGTGCATAAGTCTCAATGCATACATCTGGTTTGTAGCTAAGAAATATTCCGTGTAACAATCCAAATTCGACCTCCTGCTAATTTTTCTTTTAAATCTCAGATTAGATGTGTAAACTAGGAAAATTTTTTACAAACATTGCTTATGCTATGAAGAATAAAAACCAAAACTATGCTGAAACAAATCATAAACATTAATCAAATTGCAATTCAAGTAATAAACTACTTACCGAAAAATATTACAGAAAACCAATTAAAATCGTATAAATATTTACTAACGGGAAAGTAGCTAATACGCTTCAGCACTTTAAAGAAAAATTTCTTTAGCGTCTCACCAGGACTGACAATGAAGCCTAAGAGTCATGTGCCATTACACGATTAGACCTGGTATTACGTCATAGATCTTGTTCAGATGCAATGTGGCTTATGGTAGATTGATATATGCAATAATATTGAAAATTCAAGTTCCTCAATATATTTTATTATATACACTGCATAGTAGGCAAATCAATTCCAATAACGATTTTACAATGGTTATCCCAGTTTATTCGAAGCGTAACTAAAAAATATTTAAAGACAATGATTTAATGTAACGGCTCTACTGGCAAATCACTAGTTTATTAAAAAGGTACCACCGTATTGAAACGCTGTTCTAAATTCCTTTTTTAATCTGATTTCCATTGGCACTGTCTACTTATAATTTAACAATTCATTAACAGCACTGTTAGGCAATTTTATACTTCCAGGCTAACAGAAAAAGTTATTTGCAGAATGCAGCTCGCTAGATTACCCAAACAAGAAAACAGTGCATTTATCCAAGCTCTATCTGAAACGATTCTATTGATAACGATCAAGCGAAAATTGTGTAGTTGGTAGATTACCTGTTATATATTAAGACAATTCGAGAGGATAACTGACTGAAAATCCATCTAGGGTAGCCTTCCCTAAATGGCCTCTGCCGTTGACTGGCTGTCATGAATAATATAGACTCGCTAGAGAAGCATCTCTGTACAAAACAAATATGTCTTGGCCACAAACTTGAACTCTCCCACGGTATTGTATCGACTTTTAAACAATAATAAAATCCAATACCCGCGCACTCTATCAAAAAGTTTTACTTTCTCTATCAAACACTGATTTGGATATTAGAATACTCAACTCACCGTTGGTTGTCAGGTGTCAAGCTGAAATTCATCAGTCAGAAAAATGACACAAGTGCTATAAACGAAAAGAATATAAACAAGGCCTGCGAAATCCAGATTCCCTTTGCTGGTTCTCGTGGCTGTGGAGAATCGGCGTTTCATGGACCAAAATTAAGTTCAAATAGGCAACAGAATTCCAAAGTGTTTGAAGACACGGCTATGCGGAAAATCGGCACAAATAGCTGTGTTTATGCAGAGAATTCCTCGATTTAATTCGCCTGCTGTTTGCCCACGAAAGCCATTGGCAGAACATTTTTTCTGTAGTCAAGAAGCGTTTCCACATCCAGCCAGTGCTGTTGTTCGCACAATGGCCGTGGAATTACATCCTCAGTTGAGCACTACAATGCTTTTCAAAGCGACTTTGTTTTACTTGCAATAATAAACAAAGAGATAAGAAAAAATATGGAATAATGGATAAGAATTGATAGGGTCAGAGATGTTCGCAATCTTTTATGAGCGCACTAGTATTATTGTTACGATCAAAGCGTGCGATTGCGATGTGGGTCCGAATGCAAAATACCAAGTGACAGAACAGGAAATCGTAAAATAACTACTGCATCAGTTGGGTGGCTGCGTTTCGCAGGCAAAGCGGTGTCATCATCATAATAATGATTCACCAGTTATTCAATTGAATCTAACAGTGGTTGCATCTTTCATATACCATATTCAGTGGTCAAATACAGGTCTGGAAGATGTCCTGAAAATGCCAGGAAATCTTAGCAGATTCATTGCTAGAAATTTTGCAGTTTGCCAGGAAATTTTAAGCGTGAAATCACCATCGCTTGATTTTAATATGAAAATTAAATTTATATTTCTCTCTTTTTACGGAACGCTGTTCTCTTGCCATATACATGCCTACTGTATAATTTGTGTTCTGCACTACTTACAGAAAACGAAGATTATCTTTCAAAATACAATCATCTGGTATTATCAACGTTTGTTATATTAAATTTCTGGCAATTCTGGCCAGATGATTTTCAGCTTCTAATTTAATTAAAGCAAGCTAAAACAAGTTCATTTCTCTTTTTATATTGGCCATTCTAGATAAGTAAAAACACTTGAAGACAGCCAGTCTTGTTACGTCAATCGTATTGAAGGTGTCCCAAAACTTGTGTAGATATGTCCATTATTCTTCACACTTTCTATTGGCATTCCCATACATTTTTCCTCGCTAGCATTATAGAATGTAAGCGTCTGGGATTACATCTTTGCCTCTAGCACCACCCCTGATTTTAACCATTGAAAAATAAAAAAGTATTCTTACATGTTGTATGAACTACTAAATGATGATAAAAATGAACAGCAAACATGAAACCCAGAGCAAGATGTAGGATACGTCAATACTTCAATAGTATCTAGTTTGCTGGCCCTGATTTTAAGTTAAATCAAAGTTATTATAGATTTTCAGATCCACTTAAACCCTGAAAACAAACTATGAGTATTGTGCTCGATCACATTCTCCTAACCAAATGATTGCCATTCGAATAGCTATGATAAAAAATCAAGGACCAACAATAAGTTCTTTTTTGGTATGACAGGTTATTTTAGGACAAATTTTTAAACAAATCAAGCAACTCAAAACATCACTTTCAGTGGCTGGAAAATTTGTTGAAGCTTTGCAGGAAATCTTGAATTTTTATTTTGCTGCCAGAAAGAAAAAATCCCTTTTCAAGCCTGGTAAAATACTGGATTTGTACGCTTTATGAGCCACTGTGACCTGATTGCGAGTAAAACATTCTGTGACAGGTTTGGACTAATGCGATTGGCCTTTCTTTATGCCAGATTTAACCATAGCTATTGAAGAATGGGCATCAAACTGCCTAAAATGAAACACAACTGTTACTGAAATATGAAAATTCTAACTTTCTGATCATACTGATGAAGCTCACTCATATGGAAAAACTGCTTTTCATTTGTCAAATAAAATAAATTTTTTAGGTAATATGAAAAATGCCTAAACCTACAGTGGGCAAATCCATGCGATTCTGAAAATAGTCCTCTTGTTTCAATTTTGTAACCTTTTTGGAAAAAAATTATTTAAAAATATAGGTTGATGGCTTTTATAGTCTGTATCTGATAATTCTATCAATACTTATGTTCGATTGGGTTTTAAACAAAAAGTATCTCCCTTCTTTTGATAAATTGGGAAGAGACTGGGCCTGTGTTCAAAACCCCTCTACTTTCAAATTAGAGGTCTGGATCACAGGCTACCTTGCAAGCTTGTCTTTTTGGTCAGCTGTAGTGGCAATGCCAGCCACTAGGTTAAAGTATATGTCAGTCCCTTTTCATTGTCAGAAAACACTGTTCACTGTTGCAAAGGCACATGTGTAATGTTTGGTAATGTAAAAGCACTTTCCATCATAGAACCTTGTTGCAAAAATTATTCTGCCAAAATACCACCCTTCCCCCAAGACTTTCTCATCAAATTTAGATGAAACAAAATTGAACCTGGAAAGAAGTTGGGGGACATGTCCCACCCCTTCCCCCACTCTTATGGCAAGTTTTATTCATTCATTATATTATTTTGACATTGAATCAAATTCTCATAGTTTTATAGATGGATCATCAGCTAAAGTAACTTTAGGGCAAAGTAGGCAAAATGATTATCAATTCTAACTTTTCGCAAGAGATCTTTACAGATTTTCAAAATTTTGATTACAGCAGTGTGTTGGCTTGGTTGCCAGCAATGACAAAGGTCTTGATATAAGTAGCTTCTAAGTGTCAACAAATCAAAATAATATGTACTATTAACAACAAACCATGGTTTCAAGATAATAGAACTTTGGCATTGTCAGGACTGTAACAAGCGAATTTCATGGAAACCTACTGGCAAGAAGGGTGAGAAATTCAAGAAAAAAACTTTGCTTGTAAGTTGGGTAAGGTACGTTTCTTTCAAGGGTGGCATTAGAACTAAATTTTTGGAAAACAAAGATTTTCTAAATTTGGCAACACAAGCAATGATTGCTGAAAGGATCTTGATTCTGCAGGGGAGGGGGGTTGTATGTGTCCTTGGCAACGTGAAAACTGTAGGATCTTTGTGACAGTAACTGGCAAGATCAAATCTAAGATGATAGTTTTCCACAGCTTTGAAAAATGAGCTCAATATTTTTTTAATTGCACCCAAAAAGTCTGAAATAAGGCTTAACCAGAGTCAGTTCTATAACCTGTTTCCCAATTAAAAACCATGTACCATATTGAATCTCAGCCTGCTAGCAGCTTGAGACTGAAATTTCATGAAACTCTGAGCAGTTTTTAAGTTTTTGTGTTACCTGGAGCACATAAAAGGAAAAGAAAATACCCTGTAGAACACCCCTTGCAATTGAATGTTACTAACCAAATCAGTTTGTCATTTGCAGAAAAACCTTTTTGATACATATTACTACATTTTCAAAACTAAATACAGCGTAACAAAAATGTTTTTCTGTGGACTTGACCTAGGAAATACAGTTAATGAAAAAACAGGTACTATGTCATCATTTTTGTCACTGTAAAATATCTATTACAGAAGTTTACCCAAAGAAACACTATGAACAGAATCACGAGTCTAGAAAAGTCTAGGAAAGTCGCTTTACTTCCATTATCTATTGTAGGAAACAGTGATTTACTTAATTTACTCACCAGGGAAGGAAATGAAAATGAATTTTTTAAAACATGGAAGTTTTAAAATTTTCCTTCCCACGTCTTTCAATCTCCAGGCCTAATCAAAATTCGACGTTGCTAAAACGAGGAACAAGCGGAACAACCCAGTAACAAGAGGAACAACCCAGTAACAACCCAGTAACAAGCGGAACAACCAAGGAACAAGCAGAACAACCCAGAAACAAGCGGAAATGTGAATTATTGTTTAGTAAATACCACATGGGGGCGTTTATAATCCAACTCTCTGAAGTTCGTGTGGGCTAGAACTATCAAGAGGTCGTCAATCATGTCTTCGTCTGTTTCGGAGGCTTTGTGATTTTGCCAACGGACAGGGAGAATCTATCGACCCCGGATCGGGACGAAAAATAAATAGTAAAGCATGCGTATACATTCGATCACAACAGACACACTGTTGCAAATAGATGTGCATGCCATAGTGTAAATCTGTACATGTAGCCCTGTTGCAATCACATTTTTCAGGCCCGTCGGAGCCGGGGGGCTGGTGGGGGGGGTTTCTGAAGCCCCACCAATAATTGTCTTACTGTAGTATGTTTCCTTTATAACAATGTACTGCATGGGAAGGAATACAATGGGCAGCCTCTTACAACTTATAATTTGGATTAAAGAAGAGGTTAACTTTCCGCCTCAGTAAAAATGATTCTAGGCAAACCATCAGTTTCCTGGTTCCTGGATTTTCCGACTTTTATCCCACGACAGGTTATGATTTTTCTTGTAGGCACATCAATGTCATTTTTCTCCCCAGGCGATTGAATGGCGCAATATCGTGAAATTTTGATGGTAGGGTGACAAACACGCAACCGATGTTTGGCGTTTCCATCATCATCATCATAAAAAAATTTATTTATCTAAATAGAATTAGTTGAAGAGCCATAATACACTCTAAATACAATCATATCTAAGTACAAAAAATATAACGACATCAGAACTGAAATAAATAAATATTTTGACATATTCAGATATTCTTATTTTCATTGCTTTAAATTCTTTCCTATAAAACATGGCAAGTAGATAAACATAGAAAATTTCCAGAAGACCAGAGGTTTTCCGACAAAATAGGAGTCTAGCTCGAGGGGCAAATCACTCCAAGAAAATCTTGTACACCTTTTATAAAAATCCTATTGCTTTATCTGAAAATCCCTAGAAATCCTTTTGTTTTGGTAAAATCTTGTACGCAATTTTCAAGAGTGAATTGCCCCTCGGTCTAGCTCTACAGGGTTTTGTTGCCCCCCTCTGATTCCCTCTATCTTAGCCACTGCCGCCAGAGCAGTTTACCCAGCATAGCTATTTTAGCAACCAAAATAGCCACCAGAGCAGCCACCATTTTCAAAAAATTTCTGGGGGAGCATTCCCCATACCCCTTTAGGCATGCTTTACTATTTATTTTTCGTCCCGATCCGGGGTCGATAGATTCTCTCTGTCCCTCGGCAAAATCACAAAGCCTCCGAAACTGATGAAGACATGATTGACGGCCTCTTGATAGTTCTAGCCCACACAAACTTCAGAGAGTTGGATTATAAACGCCCCCATGTGGTATTTACTAAACAATTAATTCACATTTCCGCTTGTTACTGGGTTGTTCTGCTTGTTCCTGGGTTGTTCCGCTTGTTACTGGGTTGTTACTGGGTTGTTCCGCTTGTTACTAGGTTGTTCCGCTTGTTCCTCGTTTTAGCAACGTCGAATCAAAATTTATGTTCGTGAATACCTGACTTGACCATATCTTTGAATGAAATACTAAAAATAAGTTACGTATCGATATTTTGAACAAAAGCAAATAGACAATAATTGGCGCCAATAAATGACATCAAGATACTTCAATACCTGAGTCCTGGTCTCTTTGAATTTTGTCCTGTTATGACCGCCATCATGTTCAAGGCCTAAGTTGCAAGAAGTGGCACAATCCAGAGAGAACACATTGAACCAAATCGAGCTCTTTTGCATTGAACTGAAACTGGCCAAGTTGATCTCCCGGCATGGGTTATTTATACTTCCCGCCAAACCTCGTTTCGATGATTATGGCTCATGGGTCATGTATAACAAAAAATTTCGTCAGATAAACTTCGTCGAAAATAATTTCGGACAACTTTTCAGAATTTAGTCGTGACAAAGTTTCGTCGTGGATTTTAACACAGAGATAGCATATTACTAAAATCAAACCCATACAGGTTGCTTTATATTCAATCCTATAGGTACCGACATCGTGGAGATATGGGGGCTTGATTGAGCACCCGTTCGGGATTTGGCTTAACCCCCCCCCCCCAGACAGCTTTTTCACACAGAATCTCATGTCAGGAAAGCCAAACCAAAGCGGCATATGCCTCAATTTATGCAAATGTGAAGTCAAAAGATATACTTTTAGCATTCAAAAGTTTCTACTCTACATCTATAAAGCATGAAAGTTTATAAACAGAGTATAATTAAAAGTATAAGTGTGAATATAAGTATAAGACTCGGAAAGCATAAGACCATCTCCAACACGAGAAGTTGTTCTCAAAATTGTGCACCTTGAAAAGTGCGAGTATAAAAAGACAGAGGTAGAATCCTTGAAACCGGCGACAAAACACAGTTATAACAGTAGCGTAGCCAGGGTGGTAAGATTTGAGGGGAAAGGGGTTGGGCAAAGGCGAGTTGAGCAGGAAACATTGGGGTCCTCACCCTTTTGGACCCAAGGTAAGGGTGGCATCCGCCCCTCGCTACGCCACTGAGTTATAATTTTTTATGGAAATATGGTGAAAACAAGGTTAGTTCAAGAAACGACAATGATGATGCCTACGATAAAGATAACGATGAAGATGACGTGGAAATGACGTAATTTAAATGGAATAGAAGAAAAGGGTAAATAAATTTGATTTTTGACCTCATGTAGTAGTTTCCTATGCAAATTCTTAATGATCTTAAATGCAAAAATTTCGTCGTGACAAAATTTCGTCTCATTTTGAATCTTATCGAATAAATTTTCGTTAAAATATTTGTCCGAAATTTTGTCATGACAAATATTTTTGTAGTTAAGGTAACCCTTAAACTGTGGCGTAGCTTAACTTTCAATTATAGGAGGTGGATCACTTACATTGAAACTTGCTAATAAAGAAATTATATATTTGCTATTTCAACTAGCCATGGGCGATTTTACTGACTAACTTCAGGTTTTCCTCTACGAAGAGCAGGGGTGAAGCAAGCGGGGGTATCACCCCTGCAAAATTAATGGTATGCATACAAAGGCACCGTATCATACACAGGTTATGTTTGTCGTTCATTAGCATAAACGAAGATTCCAAAACAAGGCTCGGGTCTTGATGATTTTTGAAAATGCTTGCTCTTAGTTTACAGGGTATGGCCTAGGGTGCCTCACAGCCTCACCCCCAGTTGCACTTATCCTTGCAAACAACATTAAATTTTCTTTTTGCCACTCAAAGTTGCATATATACGGAATTTTGAAAAGTACATTAGAAGCTTCCAAAATATCAGTAGTCTGGATGTTACTGTAATGAGGGCCTAGTTACTTAAATATATCCAATTAATCTATAGACACAGATATATACGCGAAAGCTAAGGTATTTTGCAACATGAAGAAGTTTGTTATGTGTAATTAAATAATGCATGTTTGTATACCTATGTCTGTGTGCATGTGTGTCTGTGTGTATACGTGCCTGTGTGTCTGTATGTCTGTGTGTATGTGTATGTGTGTATGCGTGTCAGTGTATCTGTGTGTCTATAAAGGTGTGTGAATAATTTATATCTGCTAAAAACATACTCGTTTTATAATAATAATTTTGTAACATCAGTCAATTTTTATCCTTTCTATGTTGAATCTTAGGAATACATTAACTGTTTCCAGCTAGCAATACAATTAAGGTTTATTTACATATTCAAACAGCATATCATCGAAGAACGAATCATTGGATCAATTTTCATCTGGGAGTCTGACCCTTAGTTCACAGCTGTCTATAGGTCTCTCAAAGGACTGGCTTTCTCCGCATAATCGTAGAAATACAAGACCATCTACACCTGAGAATCCACAACAAACAGATTTTCCGTCCAATGTCAAATGGCTAAATCTCAGATTCGAGTCAGGCAAGAATTTCCCAATCAATGTTAGCTTGTGATCTCTGACCTTTGACATGTCCCACAGGTCAAGAGCCATCGGCTGATTATTTAACGCCTGACCCCTACACAGCATCCTTGAGCCATCCTGTTGAGGAAAGAAATAATATCAAAATAACAAAAAACACGTAATTCCCGGGCTATGTACCCAAATTTTTGGGTACATAAAGCAGTTGAGACATTGTTCTATGATAGATAGTGGTATCCGTTTTTACTGCTTCGTTCTTGTATCAGAAGCCAGTCAAAAGCAAACTGATTTGAATATATTTGCCATGGTAAAATTGAATAAGTAGATAAGAGAGGTAATTTGGTGCGAATGACCAGTTTATTTGGTAGACTGCTTTAACAATTTTAGCAACTTGAGAAATAGTTTTAACATAACTAGACCAAAATCATGAGAGCTGTCTGGGCTTTCCCACCAAATTCCGCTAGAGGATGCTCAACGTCCCCACGAACAATGAATCCAAGAACAGAAAACACGTTGGGGTTTTCATCCACGTTGGGCGCCATGTTGAGTACTTTGCATTGTAGAACAGAAGTGCAAAAAGAAAACGTCTGATTTGCAGCTTTAGCGTATATATTTAAGCATAATTATTTTCTACTGGATTACATGTTGGTTACCGCTGAGTCACAACTACACTCTGGTTCTGTCAACATAGCGTTCTAATACATGACGAATACAATGTCACGTGACTACGCCCAGAATATGATGTAATCTCTTCAACACAGATCTTGTGTCTTTGCAATTATTGCTCAAGGGTCAGTACGGAATTACCCTCCGGTCAAGTGTCAATAACCCCAACAGTGGGGTGTTCTTGTTTCAAAAACCACTATATTCGGAGAATCAGAAAATAGTCAAACGCCGGGAAATAGATAAGTCCTCAAGCAGAAAACATTGAATTTTCTCTTCAAAAAAACCATTTTAAATCATAATATCATACAGCATAAAAATGTGTGCCAATTACCTTTGATATTTGCATTTTGTCGTAAACTCGGCAGTCATGCCAAGCAAGTACTTCATGTGTTTTCAAATCGAACACCACCAATCGACTTTTAGTAACCTCTTCTTCATCATTATCTGCTACAGTACATGTCAAATAGGCAACGAGATAATCTAAGACATGCGATGAATTTATGCAGTAGAACTGTGTATACTCTTTCCAATGTTCCCTAGAAGCGTCATCTTCTGCTTTTTTGGCGCAATACCATATTTTCGTTGCCTCTTTCCCAGTCTCCGTATCGATAACATAGATGCAACTTTGCCACTACAGAAAAAAATCTTTATCTAAAAATCTGCTTATTCAAATGTAGAGTAGATGGCAAATTATTTTTACGACTTTTACTTTCCACAGATTTTCATGGTTCTGTTTTGTTCAATAATTTGCAACTAGCTAAGTGGATTATTTTCACTTCGCAATATTCTAAAGTTGTAAAGCTGTATTACACTTGCTTTTTGGTAAAAATAAAAAAGGGCCTAGGGCGTCCCACTTAACGGTATAGCATTGAAAATACAGAATACTTTAAAATAGCATTGATTCTACTGCTCACGCACTTTAGTTTACAATGTCCTGGGCATTTTGAAAAAAGTCAAAATTGAGAAGAAGCTTACAAATGTAAGATATAGAATCTTTCCATCTGCAGACGAAATGGTCTGCTCTGGAAGAAGTCGAATCCATTCATCTGGGACAGAAATTTCAGAGCAAACGCTTTGGCTGTTCAGATTGAAGCAAACGCAGGAAAACATGCTTTCACCGCTGGTTGAATCAGACAACGAGACGACTACTGTAGAGCAATCCTCGCTAACCTACAAAAAAAGGATTTCATTGAAACAAGACCAAGAGATGTTTGGAGTCTTCTTGCAAAGCAGATTTTCCATGTAAAAACGATATGACTTTGGACTACAAGAGAAATATCAGCATCTAGCAATCATTCTAAGCACCATTGACCTGTTGATGCCTCTTGCTGCTTGGTACTCCTAAATGGGTCTTCGAGAACAAGAGTAAATCAGTCGGCGTTTGCCCAAACTGCAATTTATGGCTCATTTTGTACCAGTGTAAAACGTTAATGGGCAGCCTATATGTTAGCAAGTTGCAATAAATTCAAGATTTATCATTATTTCTCAAAATTCCTGCAGGTATGCAGTTGATGAAGAGCAAGCAATGATCTAAATGTTATGCTCCCACTAACCACGGCCAATAAGGTGAGCTGATAGCAAAGGAACTACTTAAGTAGGCTACAAAGGACTGAACCACCTATTACTTATGCTGCAAACAAACAAAAAAGAAACAAAAGAAAGATATTCTTACAGCAAAACTGGTGATTGTTCCAGGTCCATTTATTTTGAAGTTTTTGACACGATCTCCTGTCTTCATATCCCAAACATCTAGCTCATTCCCTGCATCTGATATTGTCAGAAACTTGAAATCTCCAAGGTGTTGATACCCTTGATAATGCGTCAAAAGTATGGATGTCTTCCCAGAGGACATGCATCGAATGGTTCCCTGCGTAATATTCACACAAGCAATCTTGCACCTCTGCAGGTCCCATAATGCAATATGATCCTCGTCTATCCATTCTGCAATGTGGGGATATCCATTTTCCACATGAATTTTTTTAATACAGTTTTCATACCTTGTATCCCATATGGTGATGACTGGGTCGTTGTAAGGCATAGACAGGATGATATTTGGGTTGTACTGATTAAGAAATGCTTCTCTTTCTCCTTGTGTGCAAAAACAGAGGAACAAGCATGGATGAATCAATCAGAGACAAAAAAATATCTGGAAGTACGCCCCACTTTATCAATAATTAGCCTAGACCTACTATGTGGCTAGATAATGCTTAGAATGACAAATTTTAGTGTTGAATAAAATGTTTCCCCAACTTCATTAAAAAAAGGTTCAACACAATGTTCTACTGGTCTACTCCTTTATGCTACAGCATAAGACATTCATTTGAAAAAGAAGATTACTCTATAACACTCATAACTGCTCATCAAATGATCAAAAAACACTTTTGAGAAACAGGAGATTCGGCGTGGTGATTCAGCATTGAAAAAGAAGGAAATAGGCGAGATGAATATGAAAGTAACATGATAATTGATAGATGAAAAATAAATAGTTACCTTTCCCTAAACCATTTTGCAGCTGTGCTTCTCCGGTAACTAAATCGTTTTTCTCTTCAAAACTGATGAAATCATAGTTGTACGTATTGACAGCTCTTTGATTGGCGCCTGCCATAACAACAGCCAATCGCCGTCCAGCTCCCATCAAGCACTGCTTGTAAGCCGATGTATACGAACTCTGCATAAAACAGAAAGCATTTGAAACAAGCAAAAATATTTTTTTAAGAAAAGGTTAAATTCGAAGAAGCGTAGATTGGGGTGAGCTTTTTACTCATTCTGACTTTCTACTTAAGATTTATAAAATGGAAAGTATCATTTAGATGCATCCTGATAATTTGGTAATTAGCAAACTAGTAAACTAATCAAACAAAATAACTCCTGGCGGACACGAAGATTGAATGACTGGTAATGGAATGACAAATCTATTAATCGAGTCGACCCTCTTTTTTATTAAAACTTAAAGTTGTAAGAGGCATATCTCTATAAAGGCTCTGGGAATGGTCTTTATGCCACGGAATGGAATATTTATCGAAACCTTGTTTGAATCAGTGTTCAACCATATGGTCGCAAAAAAGCAAAAACCCAGCGAGAAAATTTCTTTGGATACTTGATACGAAGTTACAAAAGTTACAATTATTCTTATGTTTACTGAGAAGCATTCACTGAAATCTCCATAGCAACAGACAAATGAGAATTATAATCAACACACCGTTGCCATTGCAAGACGCTCTTCTCCAGACTTCAAATCCCAGAAAATGACTTGATTGTAAATTGGCCAAATCAGCTGCAGTGCGTCATCTATCTTGGTTACCGCCATGTCATACATAGTTGTGAGCACTGGGTGGAACCGACTTTCTTTGTCATAAACTATGTTCCACGTGTAGCAGTCCCAAATTACAAGATGGATCTAGAAAAAGCTGTTTCTTAAAAGCCCGAAGCGCTTTGATAAAGAAAATATATTTGCAAAAAACTAGAGTGCAAAGAAATCTTCTAAATACGTTGTCGAGAGTAACCAAATTAAAGAGAGTTAAAGCAATGTTTAAATTTTTTACAAAGCAAAACATTTTGATTTTGAAAATGAAAAAAGAGGCAATATTAAAAATTTACGAAAAACCCTTCGGAATGTTTGCATAATACAAACTACGACATTTTTACCTTTTTTATTAACAAATAGTATTACCTCTGCATATTCTTGAAAAGCGGAGTTTGTTCCCAGGGTTATCAGCTTATTATCGTGGAACTTAAAATGCATAAGCCCATATGGGACTTCCAAAACCTTCTTAAAGTCCTTGTCATCTGTCCTCCTTATAATGACCTCTTTTTCATTACCACGTGTGTATCCATAGAGATTACAATCCCCAGTTATGACATCTTCAATTCCCTGTGGATTTTCTTCAGCTTCATCATCGTATTCCCAAGCCAATTTCTTTAAAAGAATTCATAGGCATCAGGATAAAACTAGAAATAGCTCTTGCTAGTACTGCCCGCAAACAATTAGTTCCTTGATAATGATTGTTTTGAAAATTTATGAAAATTTGGTGTTCAGTTTGCCTTTGATTTAAGTCCAACGCCCTTTTGAAAATCATGAAGTTTTTCGAGGGTTTGACATTTATTTTTCGTTTTCGTGAAGTAAACAAAGACGTATGAAAATAGACACGTGATAGAACGGGTACATTCCCAAAACTTCAAATCAAAACTTCCATCCATTGCGGAGAACCGAACTGTGATGCAGCACCGTTTTCGTGCCAAAAAACCGAAGGCCTTTAACAGAGTCTTTGCAGAGCAACGCTCCGAAGATAATTCCCTTCCACACAAAGAGTAGGCGGGTAACGACCTCCTCGACAAAGCCGATTGATTGACAATGAAATTGATTGACAGTTGTCATGGCAGCAGAAAAGTGACAAAATCTGCTGACAAAGTGCTGACAACATGAACTGAAGCTTCCATATGCTACTTATATGCGGGGCAGACTATAAGAAACTAGGTCTTATTAACACAATTCGGATGGCAAGTTAAAAAGACAATTAGCGCCAGACTTGAAAGGAAAGAAAGTCGCGTTAGAATTCTCAATATGTTCAATTATCATAGGTTTGGATTAGGAAAAAATTCACATTTTCGGGTAATCAAATGACTGACTGCAACGGTACGTAGAATGAAAATTAAAAATTAAACAGATAGAAAAATAAATCATTTAATAAGTTTAGAATCTTACAATATCTCTCCCGTCGATTTCATAAACTCTTATTTTCTCTTTGCCGGCATGAACGATCTTTGTTTCTCCATCTACAACATCCATACATTTACCATGAAAGCCTTCCAATGTTTCTTCACGATAGATGACGTCATCAGTGCCAAGATCCATTGTAAAAAGCCCATAGTAGCCAGTGACAACAACACACGTGTTGTTGTTGTAGAATTTTGCAATGTCGTAATCTGTATCCATTTCATGTGAACTAATTTCCTCCCCAGTAGTAATGTCCCACAATCTAGTGCATCAAAAAATGTTCCCAAGATTTGAGAAAAATCATAAACGTAATACTAGTGAAAATAATTAACAATCAGCTGACAATCAAAATGCAATATTTTTCTTTTGCAAAGTATAAAGATTAATTTTATTCGACTTGTCTGATAATTGATTTAGTAAAATGTGACATTAATATGATTATAAACCTAATAATAAAGCTTCCATTTGCTAATAAAGACAACTTATAAAAAACCCTGTAGTAACACCTGGGTCATCTTAACCTTAGTCTCTCACTATGGCTTATTATCAAGCAAAAAGTAAGATTAAGTAACATTTTCTCGTCAAGAAACGCCTATAAATTTAGTTGTGGTTGCATGGAATATTTGTTTTCCATGCTACATTAAGTAGATATTACACATGAATAAGTAACCTACTTCAAAGTCTCATCTTCTGATATTGTCACTAAATGCTTTCCATTTGTCGAGAAGGATGCCCAGCTGATCATAGCAGTGTGTCCTGCCAGAGTCAAGGCAAATGCTCCACCGGGACCGTCGAAACAGCATGGAGATGGGTACAGACAGGGTATATGAGCGAGCCTTGACTGCATTAACAATGCATGAATCCACTCGTAGTGATGCATATGGCCTAATCTCCCATTCAGCTGTGCTGCTAGTTGATCGCAGTCGGCCAGTAATGTCTCTCCTGACATCTGCCAACAGTCCCTTAGTAACTCTATCTCCTTGTCGTTATCAAATACGACTGCAGCTTCCTTCAGATCTTGCAGCACGCTTCTCCATCCATTAGCACGCAGTTTTGATTGGAGGAAATCGAAGTTAGTGACCACGTGCTTTTTTAAGAAATTTACATCACCTGACTTAATTAAATGATGAGGTAGTTCATTTAATTTGCGATAGTTGAAGACTGACTGACCATCTTCTCTCTCAGCAAACATGTTTGGCTGCATAGGAACAAGTCGATCCATTTCACAACGATCGCCGCTTTTATTCACATACGGCTTAGGTAAACCTTCTGACCAAGAACCAAGGAAAAATTCGGCCATTCTTCTATGAATTCCCTGTACTTCATCTTCCGGTAGATACCTTTGCCGGGCAATTTTAAAGAACTGCCTGTGGTACCAAGCATTAACAGAAATTCCGTCTGTACCTCTTGCCACGATGTAAGATTCAAGGTCGGCTTTAATTCTAATCCACAACAACGGAGGTATCCTTCTTATGGGTGGTGTCCAATATTGGTAAACATCATTCAAGACATCGTCATCAAGCGACAATATGTCATCCATTTCAGAATCGCTGAGCCCGTTCCTTGCCGCTGTCAAGTAGGCAAGACTTCGTTGCACAAGCTTTTCACCATGAAGTCGTTCGATACCTTCAAATATATGAACTATTGCTTGTTTGATCGTCGCGGGAAGATTTGTTTCGGATTCCGGGGTGTATGATTTCCACTTCAGTGCCTGGTCAAACGAAAGCTTCAGAAATAAAGGCAACGGACAGTTACTGAAAGAAGTTACGACGACTTCTCGCTGTTTTCTGTTAAACCTCCGTTTGGCTTTCTTAGCCCAGGCATCCAGGATTAGTCCAGCAGTGTCATCCGACAATCCTGGCACATCGATAAACGCTTCCTGTGGTAAACGGGCCTAAAATTTAAACACAAAATGGAGTCTTAACTTTAGAAATATGACATACATCTCTTCAAAATTGTAAGCTACAGAAAGAAAAGTAAATTAGCCTTAGTCTTTCACTATAGTAGCTCCAATGAGGTTGAGAACTCATAGATTGCAACATGAACCCACCTTCAAAATGGGGAGCACTCCATACTTTGCTCCAGGCAGCGTTGATAGGATAATTGTCAAATTTTTCTTCACTTGTCTTGGAATCCATTTCAGATTCAATGTACTGTCGATGGTCGATAGTTGATCCAGAGAGTCCAACATAATCACCATCTTTGATTTCACTTTCTTCAGCAACTCTTCGAAATAAGTTGCAAGTTCCCTGAGAGACTAAAGCAAAATAAAATATTTCTTTAGTAGTAGTTAATCAGAACAATTAATCAAAATAATTACACTATCAATCACTCCAATCAATCACTCCAATCAATCACCCCAACCAATCACTCCAATCAATCACTCCAATCATTCAAATCAATCACTCCAACCAATCACTCCAATCAATCACTATCGTCAATATGTGGCACGGCTACAGAAATTAGAATAAGTTAAATATAAGAAATCAAAAGCGTAAGCAATAAATACAACATTGTATATAAAAGCATAAGATTTAATGATATTTGAATGGAAACTCTTTATTTTTTACATTACTTCCTTTTTATTGCGTTTTTACTATCACCAACTTCTTAGGACGACTTTAATTCCTATTTAAAAATATTTGATAAACAATTTCTGTGTCCTTTTTGAAATATATAAAAAGAACAGAGCAAAACGGATTCAAAGCGGTGTCTTAACCCAGTTTCTTGCAGATGGAAAACAGAACAACATTAAAACTTAATGTGGACAGTCAGAAGCAATGGTATGGGTTCAATTAACTGGAAAGCAGGATTTTGTCTACTGTGAGAGGGAAGTTTTATTAGAAGAAGAAACATACTCCGAAATGAGTAAAATTCTTCGCACCATTAAAGTTACCACACGTTTAAGATGTCTCTGGATCCTCAAGTCTTTTGTACACAGCTCAATTTCTAAAAAAATGTAGAGGGTTGGTATTCCATGGTCGCTTTCATCACTGGTTACAACATTTAGAAAGAAGAAATTAACTTTAGAAAAAAATATATCAAAGGTGCTGTTTGGGGTCACTTCCAAGCATTCTGGTAATGAGTAGATTTATCTATTCAAATCAGTCTTAAACAGCCTCTAATGATAATTCGTTATTGGAACAACGTGGCTCAAAACACACACGCTCCTTTGGAGCAGTTGCTGCTTAACTGGCAAATATTTTCTTAAATCATGAATTTAATGCAGGTGCAACATGACACATAAACTTTGGAGAATACCTCTGGAAACTCTGTAATTGACTCTCCTAAGATGCGTCCGATTTGTGTGCAGATACTCCGAATAACATCGCTAACATCAGATGAAGCTGCGGTAGTTCCAAGAAATCGAAGGACTAAGGGAACTTCCGGGTACATTTCCTTGATCATTCTTGCAGCACTTGCCATTAAAGAGGTTTTTCCGCATCCAGACTTTCCATGAATCACTAAAATTCTGCTTTCGTCGTCACTTTCAAAATGACTTATAATCGAGTCCAGTACATTTTTGCGGCCATAGAATGCGGCAGTTTTCGACTGACAAGTCTCGGTATGCAAAACAATCTCTTTAAGAAGATCATCTACCATCACGTCATCTTCCCTCTTGGCGATCCCTTTGTCTATCATGTCAGCTAACACATCAAAGAAATCAGAACCCAGCCTTTCAATATACAAATTATGATCGTCATTCTCATTTGGATTGATACAGTCTTCTCCGTGCCATGAAACATCGTATTCCTTAATGTTGTCATTCTCAAGCACTGCTGACAAGTTTGACCTTAACCTCCGCAGCAACTCTGCCGCCTTCTCGTCTACCACATTTGAAATTTTATCAATGAACATCTTCGCTTTGGCTTTTTCGACATTATCACGAAGATCTGTGATATTTCGCTTAAACCAGAAGCAATGATCTTTTCTGTCCTTCATGTCAAGAATTCCTCGCCTGATCTCATTTTCTGTCACTGTGAACAGAAATATTCTACTTATAACGTTAGTTTAAACACTTTAGCTATTTCAAAATATTCAGAAATAAGGTGCGAATGGGACTAGCTAAGGTTCATATGATCCTTGTAGTAAGAGGACCATTGCGGTCCACTGCCATTTTAAATCGACATATCCAGTGGTGGCGCTAGAAAGGGGGCATAGGGGGCTACAGCCCCCCGTCGGAAGGTAAACGTGGAAAAGTTTAGGTCTTGATGGAGCGATATTTATATATGCTTGTAATCAAAAATTTGTAAATTCCAGCATTCCAGGCTCTTGGCGTCTTCTAAGAGGTCAAAGTAAACTGTTTACGTTCAATGTGACGTTTATTAAACTGTTCACGATGCTTGAAATTTATTTTTCTCCTTGGATTACAAACTTGGACAAAGCTTTTTTAAAGAGATTAATTTTAGACCATTTAATTGGAGAAAAGGTGTGCCCTAAAGATGCTTAAACAGTCAACGTTTTAGCGAGGACGCCCAAAGTGGATGAGGTAAATGGACAAAAGAATAAACAACATACCCCGCTTTTGTAGCGTCTCCCTTCACCTTTCAGTGTCTTCTGTTTTTTTCAGTGTCTGTCTTTTCATTGCTAAGTGCTTATTATTTTACCATGTTAGCAAAAGCGGTTAAATCCATTGGGGTATTTATTAGCAAATTGACAGTCTTAGTATCATTTTTGAAACATTTCCAAATATCTCCTCCTGTGTCCTACCAAATATGTCAAACCAAAGTACTTTTCGTCGGACACTCCTTTGAGTGTTAACGTCGAACAAGTAGTGAAGGTAAGCAGAAGTTTGTATCCAGATGCTGATGGAAAGCAACGTGAGAGGAAGAATTGACCTCTCACCTAGTTGAAGAGTCCACGAGGAAAGAGTCTTTCTGTCCGCAAGAGACGCTCTTCCTCTTGCGTTACCTTAAATCCACAAATGGATATTGATTTCAGCTTACCTTTAGCCAGTAACAAGGTAATGATGAAAAAGAGCTTAAATTGAAAATACCTATAAAAATGACGCTAAGATGTAAAATAAATACTGATTGAAAACCTGAAATAGTATACTTTGAAACTTCCTCGTCATTAACCAAGCAGTTTTCAGAGGCTTCACGAAGCACTACCTGCATTCTCTCAAATGCTGTCCACCAGATTTCTGATGCCTTTGCCCTTTCTGCATCACTGACATCGTAATTATTATAATTTGGCAACAAATCTCGAATGGGTTGTAAGATATACGCAGAAGGAACCAGGCTATCGTCTCTTACAAACCACTTGTTAAGCAGATCAACGTCTTCATCTCCTTGTATCGATGAAAGCATTACATCAAATTCTTTTTCATTGATCAATCTTGGAAATGGCCTATAGCCATATTTTTGCCCAAGAAATGTCTGAAAAATAAAATGAAAGCAAGGTTAAACGAAAAGAAAAGAGTATAAAAAAACTCTTCAGAAATAGAAAATGCTACTGATATGCGAGCACGGTGTGCACCCTGAAGTTTACATAAGACGTACTCCAGTTGCCTGATAACCGCATTAAGAATAAAACTCGGAGAAGCAATTTACAACTGCTATGTTCCATACACCAAAGCATGTACAGCTCTGCTTATATGGCATTGAGCATATTATTGACCGACCAGAAAACAGCAATTTTCATAGATACTTATATAGATATGTAGTTAGAGCTTTAACATAATAATTAGGCAATCTGGGCCAGCACCTGATGAAGTTTACATAAGACGTACTCCAGTTGCCTGATAACCGCATTAAGAATAAAACTCGGAGAAGCAATTTACAACTGCTATGTTCCATACACCAAAGCATGTACAGCTGTGCTTATATGGCATTGAGCATATTATTGACCGACCAGAAAACAGCAATTTTCATAGATACTTATATAGATATGTAGTTAGAGCTTTAACATAATAATTAGGCAATCTGGGCCAGCACCTGATGAACCCATTGTACATGAAACTCAAAGCTGCCACATACTAAGCTTAAAGTCTCATTGCTAACAATGGGCCTTTGCGTGCGTGGCGATGATCCAAACAATGACAGAAAACTTCTACAGGTTTATCAAAACTGATTTCAGACTGTCTAAAAATGCATTATGGGATGCTTGTGTAGCGCAATGGCTCATTGTTAGCAATGAGTCTTTAACTCATCACTAATGTTCAGTCAAAAGATTATTTGCACAAGAAAGATCTCTTCAAAAATCAAATCTACAGCTTAAAGTAGCTTATAGTGTGCTACATTTTGATTAAGCCATGAATGGTAAAAGTTACTGTCTTATCAGATTGTCCATAGATTTTTGCAAAAAAATGAATGGACTGTTACTCCCTTTTCCTGTATTAATATTTTATTGCAAACCATCCTCTGCACAAGTATTGAAATAAAAGTTGCTGCTGCATGTTAATAAGTTAGCAGAGCTTAGGTAGTCTCTGGTGAGATAAGAAATGATACTGTCAGGGTACTAGTAAATAAACAGTTTGTTATTTTAAATTAATGTTTCTTGATTTCCTATGGACCATGTCATCCTCTTGTCATTTCAAGCTGGATGGAAAATTGTATTAAGAATAAATCATAAATTGCTCTTCTTAGAGACTTATGCATCAATTTACAAAAAACTAATTGCAACTTACAATGAAATTGGGTCCTGTTGAAAACTTCTGGCAAGCTTCTAGCTCTTTCATACACAACTCTGTAGTCATATGATCATTAGTTGATGCATCGCGAACTCCCCATCGCATATCAACAACTTGAAAATCATAGCCTTTTGACTGACAGTAAGTCCTGAGCTTTGGGTAAACTTTCTCCATTAACATATTCCTCTCCCAGAATGTATCTGCAAACAGAAAGACACTGTTATTTCATCTCTGATTGAACTTTGTAAGTCTACAATGTCAATGTTATCAAAAGGTTATTCTTTTTTCATATATTATAATAGATGTATAGGCCAAAATGGCCCTTAATCTACTACAACAAAACAAAACGTATGGTTAATTAAATATTACTACAAATGGTTACAAAAATTTTAACAGCTTAAACATACAACAGCAAACTGATCAGCACAATTTTTTAAAAGGTCTGATAAATGTCACGCTTTTGAAATGCTCGCCTTACTGTTATCGCAAGAATTTGAATCAAATCATTATCTTCTTGACTTATCATCCAAACAAACTTGTTTTCACAACTAAGATTTTTTATATAAGGATATCTCTCTTCAATTTTCACCAACAGTTTATTCCTTTCTTCAGAGTAAAGGGTACAAACCATTACAAAATGAAATTCGTCTTCAATAGCGTGATGGAGATCGAATCGCAATATCTGCCGATTTTTTCATTCTTGGAGGTAGGCTTGTTGCAATATCTGCCAGTCTCAATATGTAAGTTGTGAGAACTAAGTCTTAATCTGCAAAGCATGCTCCTTGCTTTAAAATCTGGAGTAATATCAAGATACTTTTCAAAAGTAAACGTAGTTTTGAATAGCGCATAGGTCCGTAGCTTCTTTTCGTTAATGATGTGGCCTTTAACTTTTGTCATGATGCTTGAGGCGAAGTGCAGCATTATTGAGGCTGCCTAATATCGCGTAAATTGCATCTGAGGTCGTTTACGATTTGACCCAAAGAGCATATTTGCAGGCTTGCAAGTGTAGTTTTTCCAGAGTTGGCCACTCCTTTTGGCCCCAGACCTCACACGAATAATTCATAATAGGAATGAACAATTTGTCGAACAAGAACATAAAATGCCTCGGATTAAAACCACTCCAGTCCCTATAGTTCGATAAAAGTTCGTAATACGATTTCTGAGCCTTTTCTTTAACTGTTTTGACATGATCGCCAAAAGAGCCATTTGAATTAAAAGTGACACCAAGATACTTATACGAGTTGGGAGTTCTGGTGGTGTCACCTTGCTGAAAGTGGAATCATATCTTCCAAGAAAAATTGCATTTAGCTTTATTTGTAAGGACTTAGACTAAGGATAAGTAGACCATCTGAAGATTAATCGACCAACTTATCAAGTATTTGGGAGTGTCACACTCCCTAACACCCCCTGCCAGGGGCGAAACTACTGGGGGGGTATGGGGGGTTTTGTCGGGCAAATTTATGGCTGCCAGCGTATCTGTCGGGCAAATCTGGAAATTTTCTTTAGGTCGCACTTTTATTGCTACTTTTTGCCCTAGGTTGGTTTGTTAATTCATGGTCTTTTCCCCCATCTTTTTTTCAATCTCCTCCCAGTTGGGAAAACAAAACAGAAACGAGGCAAGGAACAGCAACATATATACATTTCTGTCTTTCGTCCGTCCACCGATCAGCGCTTTCGTCTGGAGCTCAACGCGCACATGTTTATCTTCGCCTCGAGATGAAGTCTGAAGTATTGATCGACAGCAAAAGTATAGACAGAAAGTAAAGTGTGTTTGATGCGAGAAGGAAATGAACACTGTGTATACCCCTCCCCCCTACTTTTTGCAAAACAAGTGAGCTTTTTTCAAAATCTTTTGTTGTGATTTCTAAATTTTCCCTTGAAAAGCCCCCCCAACGTTCCATCCTGCCTCGGAGCCCATAGAACACTGACAGTTTTAGAAGCATCATGAATCAAAGCATGGAGGATATACCATCTCGGAATAAGTTATTGAGAAAATCAATAAATATTTTCTTTTCCAAATGTATGAAACTTTCATTCATGAAATCATACATGTTTTAGAATTTAGGTCAGGACATTTGAAGAAGACATCATTTGGGTTTTAAACATTTCATAACATCAACAGGAACACAATAAAACTATTTACAATAAACAAGATCCAACGTGAACACCTTTTCATTACAACGTGGCGTGAACAAATGACTAATGCAACTTCGAGGTCTAGGAAAGAGTGAAGGATTAACCGCGTGCTGCTCCTTCACAACAATACATATCCATAAGGAGTTATGCCCCAAAATTCTCTTAAGGTTTTACACTTACGGGTCGAAAGTATTGCACCCTTCGCTAGAAAATGGTCATACAGACGCCAAAGTTTTTTAACTAAAAAATTTGAATAACCCATAACAAGTAACAGGAAGTTTTAATCAGTTCAAGCGGGAAATAATATAAAATTTATCAAGAAATTGTAGTTAAGATATGAAATGCAAAAATCTTTCGAGTTTATTCTATTTCTGAACAATATCCATGATTACGAAAACATGAAAACTGAGCTTTGATGATAGGTATACCTGTAAAATACCTCCAATAAAAAACTTTTCTTTGCTTGAGGGATTTTGTTATGGTGAATTTAGATATACGTACTTTGTGCTTGGGTGTCTAAAAATATTGAAATTGCTTCCGGAGCAACCGAAAATTGAAAATGAAACTCAGAGAATGCAACTGAAGCTCTTTTTTGTTGAAACATTGTAATCTGCGTAGCTGTTTCTAAATTCCGAAATTCCCAAGCTGTGATTTGGTGTTCCACTTTGATAAAATTGAGACCCTACTTCAATCTCTTTTTTGAATTGCTCTGTTAAAAGCTAGGTGATTTAGAAAGTGGAGACTTTTTTTCTTTTATAGAAAAGACAGGCCTTACAAATGCTTGCTTTTCGGAAACAAATGTTTATAGCCAACACCAGAAAAACTAGAGGCATATTTTTTGACTTAAAACAAACAGCCTAAGTCTAAAGACCCTCTCTCGGGCTTCCCGATGATTTCAGCCCTTGAGGCGATGTGCTCTAAAAATGAAGTTCATGTAGGACACGCCCTTTCATCAAGCATGCCAAGCCCTTTTGTCGGGCAACTAAGCTTTATACCCCCCTAATGAAAATAGTGAAGTTTCGCCCCTGCCCCCTGCTGGCTATGCCCCTGTCTTAAATTGTCTAAATTACACGAAACTTTTCCCATAAGTTGTGAATGAAAGCTATCATAGCAGCTTCAAATCTAGACAGGTTTACAAATTAGAAAAGAATGTGGTGAGTGGTTGCGCTTTGATAAGAACCACTCATTAAAAATTGATCTACAGTCAAGGTCATTTTTCTATGCCTAAGTCCTTCTAATAGGAAATATTGGACGGACCAAACTGCATTTTCAGCTTGTTTGAGTAAAATTAGTTAGAATTCTTGGTTAGAATTGAGGATGTCACTCCCTCCTGGTGACACAATGGAAAGGGGGAGGGGGTTAAAATCTTAAAATTTTAGGTGATGTCATTTATCATTTTTTCAATGGCCCTTTACCATTGAAATTTCAAAATAAGCCATCTTCTATAAGAAATTGGTTTCATGCAACCAGGGGTGGCACCAGCCAGTAGGCTCTTTGGGGGGGGGGTGGAGTAGGAGTGACAAAAAATTTTAGGCCACACCTTTCTACTGTCAGAAAAGGACGGTTTACCAAAAAGTATTACCCCTCCTCTTACCTTTTCTCATTGATATAGAAGAAATAAAAAACTGAATCTGCCATGTCCCCCAATTCCTCCCTGGCACCTTTACTGCTTGTAACTTTGCTTCATTTTCCAATTAAAAATTTACCTGTAAATGTTGAGCTGGTGAAAATTCTGACAAGCTGAAGCTGTGATGGAACATCAACATTCAAATAGCCATTGAGAATTTTATTCAGGATATCATTTCTGTCTTCACAAACAAGTGGTAGTTGCCATTCAATTTCTTCTAACTTTTCGCTGCCTGGAATGTTTTTCTCCTGCTCATCCTTTTCAACATGATTTAAGCCAATTTGATAATCCTGATTGTCAACCTTGTATTTATCATCATCTCCAGTGTTTGCCTTTTTTCCTTCATTCTCTAAATTTACTTCTGACTTTACCTTTTCCTTGCTTTCTATGGAGCTTACATCATCTTTAAAGGAACTGCTTTTGTGGCTGTCTCTATCAACAATTTCTTGGTAAGATTTCTCACTTACTGAGCCATACCGGTCATTGTCTCCAATTGAGGGAAGTTCTTTAAAGTCATTTGAAGTTCCACCTCTTTTGTGGCCATTCTCCTGTGAACTTTCTGCTAATTTTTCTGAAAACAAATATATCAAAACGTTAAAATATTTACTTATTTCGTATATATAATCAGTAGACATAAAATTGACCTAACCTTTCATTTGCAAAATAAACCTTGAATTGCAAAATGTACAAAAAATGTAACCATTAATGTTTTGAACAACAATGCTTTGAAGTAGCAACAGATTTCAATGAGGCTTGGGAAAATAGTCAATGTGGCTGGGGGAACTACATCTGGTGAAAACTTCAGAATGAAAACTCCATACCAGAAGAAGCTGAGCCATAGGCCTCTTCTTTCGGTGCCCTGAAGATTGAAATTAAAAAAAACTATTTCAGACAAGCAATTAGAATCGATTAATCTGTATACTAAACAATAAAGTAGGATATATTTTTATAAAAATAATGCCACAGTGAAATGAAGACTAAAAGCAATTAAACAGTTGCTTAAAGCATTCAATCAATAAAAATGTTAATTTGTTGAAATACAAACAAACATCAAAATAAATATATATACATAAACATAAATAGATGTGTTGTCCTAGAGCTGAAAATTGTTTTTGAAGATCTTATAAGCGCTGCTTGATCTGACAGTATTTTGTAAGGCAGTTATAGAAAAAGCCATATTTCTATCCATGTCCCCCAATCCAGTTTAGCTGTCTGGGCCTGCTGACCAAGGGGGGCGAAACGTTTTGAGGGGGGCTAAGAACGCTATAAACCAAGAGCAGGGTGACCTTTGTGTGGTTTTCGGTAAATTTTGGAAATTATAGGGGGGCTAAAGCCCCCATAGCCCCCCTCTTCTGTGGTCCCTGACTACACTCATTTTTTATAAGAAACAAAGGTCGATATTGAGTACTCCAGTACTCCTGGAATTTTCAATACTCATCGTTTCTTAAGAGTTTCTCAATTATGATGTCATGAATGATGTTATTAAATTTTTGTGACCCTTTTTATCATGTCAAAAGATTTCCTTTCGTTCTGATGCTGTATTTATTAGATGTGGAAGTATATTTTTATCCCGTGTGTTTTAGGTTCTAGATCATGGATTTTACAAAATTTCTTTATTCTCAGTTTTATCACGATTTAATAGTTTCTTAATTTTTTGCTTCGAGTACTGAAGTTTCTTATTTTTTTCTGACTGTCCAGTACTCGTTTCTTATACTATAGCCAGTTTCTTATAAAAAAATGAGTGTAAACTATTTGTGATGTTTAAAATTGAAATAAGTCTTGTATGTAGACGAAGTAGGTCAAATCTTTGCCTTCAATGGCCAAACTCTCACCTGGCATATTTTAAACTTAGCGCATATTCTTCAATACATAATTCTAACAACTCAAGAAAAATATTGTGTTCTTTGTGGAACAACCATCAAAGAGACATCTACCTATTTTTACGCGATATGCCTGATAATCAAATTAATAAGGCCCTAAATAATATGAAATCTAGCTACTTGCCGTTCCGGTTGTGGTATTCGGTGATCTGGTCTCTTCCTAGAACTTACACAGGAACCCATTCCTGGAACACTTATTAATAAATTCGCCTGAGGAGTTGGGGTTCTCCTCACCCTATGATCAATATACCATTTCACTTTTCCTGCATTGTTTTTCGGCAGCTTGGTTACAGCAGTAACTTCGTTAATCCAAACAGAAATCATACAATACAGACACCCGCTCTATAGATGTACAAAGATAAAACCAATCGTAATAACGTCACATGATGTGATTTTGGCATCAACATCCTCGCAAACTGAGGAGTAAGCTCAGATCAGTGGGAGTAAGCGGTTTCATGAGGTGTGAGGTGGGTGTATCCTTACCCCATGGTAAACAATGATATAGACATTGCCTCTTAATGACAAACCAATGTGAGGCTGCTTTGAAGAAGTAAACAAGAAGAAAGCTGAAAGCACAGTTGGAAGAAATTGCAAAGGATTTTGTTCAGCGTGTTTTACTTTTGAGTAATTAACGATCAAGACCTTTCAGTTGATTGACAAAGATGTAAAAATGGCTGATAGCCCAAAACCAAAGAGGAAACGGGGAAAGAAGCAGACGCAAGTTGATGTCGAGGCGCGACTGCAAAGAAGCAGGCAATCGGCAAGAGAGTGTAGGGCAAGGAAAAAGATGAGATACAAATCGCTTGAGGATATGATTGCAAATAAAGAAGCGGAAAATTTGAAGCTGAGGAAAGAGCTAGAAGATGTAATAGTTCCTGTTTTCATTTCATATTTCTTCACCGTTGCTTATGATGGCCTAACCCTAGGCCACTTTTTTCAAATAAGCTCCTTTAATTTGGGCTTTCTTAAATAATATTGCAGCTATTGAAAGTCATAGATGAAAACAAACCGGCGATATGATTGTTTAAAATGTGCATTGAAATATCAGAAGATTGGTTACAATTTGACAGAGCAAACGGCTAATGAAATTCAACCATTGTCTAGATATTTTCACATAACAAAATCAAACGTTTTTTACAATCCACTTACTTTTGGTTCCATGCAGTTATTTTAATGTTGGTAAACTGTTGATAAATTTGACATTTTTCTTATTCTAAGTTTACATTTGCTTACATTACCATATTGCAAGCCACCGGTTGTTATAAAGTATATCTACTTCTCTTTTTCAAAGTGTCTAGAACTATGCAAGGCAGCTAAAAGTGGAGAAAAATTATCAAAGAAAACTGCTAAACAATTAAAAGAAGACCTGGAAATATCAGAAGACACTGAACCCTCAGAAAACGAAGAGTGAAAGCCACTTAGTCCAATTTATTGGTGAGCTGGTGTCAGTTAATGAATAACCTTGAACTGAGACTCCACCTTTTTGTTGTTGATGTATCTAACTTTGATGAAATTTTATAATCTTGACCTTTGTAAATAGCTAAAACCACAATTTTGTAAATACTTCTCAAAAACATAGAAAAGTGATCTTCTGCCTTTTGCCAAAAAAACTTCTTGTATGATATTGAGTTACTAAATAAGCATTTGTGAAACACGACAATAATTTTCTCATCATAATAGCATATGACTGTCCATTGTAAAAAGATATAAAAAGTGTTTTCTCTTGTGTAGACTTTTAACATGTAATAAAAACATAGCAATCATTGGATGAACCCTTTTCACTTGAATAATGGAAATTATGACTTTGCAATTAGCTCTCAGTCAGACATTTCAAATTAAGCCTATTGGCCTATGATAGTCAATATTTTATTTCTTACTGGCTCAATATCAGACTTGGTGAAGCAAGCCCATTGGAGTTTGAGGTCCTAGGCTGGAAAATGCAACAGGAGAACAACCCAATCATAACAGTTTTTTGCCTTTCTTCACAACTTGAATTTCAAAGGTGAACTGACGCACAATACTGTTTTTTGATATAATGCAGAAAATGATGCAAGAAATCTTTTTTTAAATTTTTTGGATAATTCATATTGTCTGTTTTGACACAATTTTGCTTTAAAGGTCATGAAATTATCGAGTGCTTGGCCATAGTTGGCATTTTATGTGACCCAGTGCATTTGACGTCACAAACACCATGTTTATTCCTTGAATGCAAATCTCACACTAAAGTTCATCTTGTTCAGTCACTATTCAAGAAGATCTATGCAGTGCTCAGGAGAGGGGGTCAGGGGGGTCACTGACTCTGGGGCTCATGACTTAAGGGGCCCATAGATAATAACTTAACTAAACAATTAATAATTAGCAATTCAGCCTCTCCATTATCAAAACCTGTCAATAATAGTAAAATTAATAGGAAAAGCCTTTAAATGAAGTAAGATAGATGCAGCAACAGTATTGTAACCCCATTATGTTTGTCAAACAGAGCTAGTAGCTTTAGGTAATCTTTTAGTTCGTTAACAAATGTTTTTAGGGACAATTTGGAGGATATTTCAGCTAATGTAACACTAGCAGGTAAAGTCAGAAGCAACCTTAATGCAATGAAAACATTGGGAAATAAGAAATGCAAATTCAAGTGTAACAGCAGCCATATTTTACAAAATAAAAGTATTTTACTTAGGTTTCTAAAAAATAAAAAATCCTGCCAATTTATTTATCACTACCTTTATTTGATATGTTGGTCCCCACACACTGGGTCCTGCGAGACAGAGGCAGGGCCTCAAACGCGTTGGGTAATATGATATTCTTGCAAATCTTAGTATGAAAGGTTTGTTAGGGGTTAGAATCTATTTTACAATCAGGCTGTTGAAATTAAACCAAAGCCTATCGATGCTCTTCCGCAAAATCATAGAATTACCGCCTTCCAGACTGTCGTGTTGCTCCAGTGATTTGAACTTGGTGTTTGTGACGTCACTGTTATGTGGAAGGCTCAAGTAAACTCGCACGTGCTCAGGAAATTGTTCGGTGGCTAACTTTGACCATCAATGACTCAAAAACTGTGTGATAATGTCTCAGGTATTTATGCTCGATATGCTTTCATTTGAGGTCAAGTTGATTTTGCGTGTCAGTTCACCTCACCTCGTTGGTTCACCTTTAATAGTTGCACCTGAACAGCAATCATTGTCTTTGTTTAATTTCACTTTTCTTAGTGTTAGATTATGCTCGTTTAATTAAGTATGTTGGGATGAACTGTCCATCTATCTGGTCAATCTTCTATTGTCTATTTCTTCTATGTATTCTGTTGCCGTTGACATGCTTTTGTTATTTGGTAAAGCATGCAACTTTACATTTCTCAAAAAGCAAGCAACAACTTTTTAAAATGTTTTTGAAAAGCAGAGTTCCAAGGAGAGGATATCAAGACTAGTTGAGTACACCCAATCTCCTGAAAACACCCTTTCTGAACCCTCTAAAAATGAGGAAGGTTTTAAAGTAAGGTTTTCTTGGCCAGTGGAAGGCTAAGAACTTTTCTGGACTCTCATTAATTGTTTATTTCAAGAAGATGCCAAAACTTTTGGGAGATGGCAAAGAAGTGGGGTCAGACTCAGCGGACTGCTGGACGATGGAGCACCTTTAGATAAAGTTGTTCAAGGTGACAATAGATATTGCTTTTGCTGAGAGAAAATCTTTCTCCCTACTAGATAGAAGTGTGCTGGATCAGAAAGGGGCCGATGGGGGTGGCATGGGGGAGCATCACGCCCTCCCCCCCATGTCGGTGAACCAACCAAAAAGTTGGTCATGCATTGGGGAATTGGAGAACTTTACGTTCATTGGGAATTTTGACCAAATTTGAAACTGTTATTAATTCCTTGTTTGATTGGACTTTTTAAGTCCGTTGCAAAAATTTACCGTCTAATTCTGACCATTCCACCATCAGTTTGCAAAAGTGAGCGAACTTTCAGTCGACTCAAGCTTCTGAAGAAACGATTATGTCAGACAAAGCTAGACCAGTTAATGCTGTTAGCTTGTGAAAAAGATGTAACTGATCAAATTGACCTTGCTAAAGTCGACCATAAATGGAAAGCTCAACGATGTAGGCGATTAAACATTTCTGACATTTAACTCAGTATAGCGTCTTAGTAGCCGTAGTATATCTCGAGCTTAGAACGAGCCTAGCTAATAGCCATATTAATTTTCTGCATGTGGTGCTTGTCACTTGACGTCACTAAACACACTACAATCATATCATTCATATGACACTTCACTTGAAACAATTATTTGCCAAAAGGGAATTGATTTTGCTGATTCTGCAATCCATTTTTGTGGATTAACCTATAACTGATTTTTTGCCAAAATATGCTCATGGATTCACCCTAAAATGCGAAATCCACAAAAATGAATTTCCGCAAACTCAATTTTCGTATACTTTCACGCCATATTTGCTCTTAAATTGTTATCATTAAGTTTGAGTTTGATAATCTTCTTCATTGTAAATAAATTTTCTATGGAGAAAAAGTTGATCAAAAAATATAGCTGGTCACTTTTTTTCTGAATGCCCCCCTCCCCCCCCCCTCAAGCTGAATGGTCAAGGTACATCACTGTGCTGGATGATGGAGCACCTTTAGTTATTTCTATGATAAATCTTTATGTAGATAGAGTCTTCAGAATCATTGTATCTTGTATATTGTATTAATTCATTATAATGCGAATAATTGTTAAATCTGAATAGCTAAATAACTGCATACTTTAACCCAAATAAATATCTCGGCATCAAAATTAAAATAAAATCCTTAATGTGATTATGATTTTAATTGGAAATAAATAATGAGCAAGCAAATTGCTTGAGTTGCATAAACCTTTCTTTGGGCTGTTCTTCTGTTCTGGCCACTGGAGATGCTTAGCTAATAAAGTGGTAATACATCAAGACCCTAGGGACGTTAAAAGGATTTCAGGATAAAATAGAATGATTCTACAAAGATTCATTTGTTGGTGTAGAACCTTGCAAAGACATTTGTTAGGAAATTAGGACAGAAGCTCAAACCTACTATTCGAATTAAAAGTATTACTGTGCATTTCGCCAATTTGCTTGCTCATGTTTCCCAAAGATTAATATTCAACACTTCTAAACTAATACTAAGCCTCTTCGTGTCTTTTGAGTCTCTTTTAACATCTCGTTGACTTCATTTTCCTAAGCAACAGTTCGTTGTATTCAACAACACTCTTCACTGACTCGAAGATCACCGATGATCCAGAGTACCACATTCCGTATTTTCCTTGTATTTTCAGTATATCCCAAATTATACCATTATAAACATCTTGCGGGTTGAACCTAGGGAAGTACCGCCATGGAATTGCGAACTTTATGTCGATGTTTTTTCCGTTCATTCTCCGCAAAGTGCTCTCCATGATCCTCTTCAATTGGTCTCTAGTTGGCTTCGTTTTACCGTATTGGTACCCAACTGTCGTTCTCATTTTTTTTCCATCGTCACCTAATAAAAATGTTAAAATATGTATCAATCTTTTGCATTTCAAATGACCTTTTGCATTTTTAACCAAGATCAGCAACGAGCGCTTTACGCAGAGCGTGAAACAAATATGTTTCTTGTAATGTTTTCTTAGCTAGCAATTTTACCGAAACATTTTAGCATTGCAGAAGTCATTTTTTTATATAATAGCTTACTCTTAACCAAAAATCTTTAACGGTTTTATACACTTAATGTCTTTTTCAAAAAATTGCTCAATTGAATATCAAGACAAGTTGTAAAGCATTTATGCAGTACGTACGCTCAGAAAAGGGAGAGGTAGGTTCCACGAGGGCACCTTTTTTCTATAGTGGGGTTAAAGAAATAATTTCTTTGGTTAGGGTTAAGGGATGGTTCAAAGGAAAATGTATAAAATTCTCAAGGCATTTCGATTGCCAGTTCACATTAAATAGGCAAACAAGACCACGTTTTCATCTGGTAATCACCAATCATCATTATGATTGGTTCAACTCGTAAGCGAGAGATATTGAGCATGCTTGTATAGAAAGCTACAAAGCGTACGAGCCTGTACAGGTGGGGAGAGATCGCTTGTACAGGGAAGGGATCGTTACTGATTGGGTGTATGTACAAAATAGCTGCTTCATTGCTCCGCTGGGTGATTTTAAATTGGTATATATGTTAGGCAAAATGTTTCACGAGATAAATGAGCTAAAAAACCTTTTTGATCTAAATGAAAACAGTGGATATCAGATAATCAAAACGATTATTGATCTAACGAAAAATGAATACCATGGAGTACTTTGTTTGCACATGCACAGGGGCAATCAGGGATTTCTACGGTTAATGTTTTTATTATTTTAGTGGGGCACAGAACTGCTGTCACAAAGCAACACACTCCTGCCACCGTTTGATTGAAACGTCCCTAGAAAAACATTCCATAAACTAAATGCAAATTATATTTCAATCGCAAAACTTTAAATTGACTTGCAAGAAGAATCAAAAGTTATTGGCAATGCATAATGGAATCGGAAACATGAAAGAAAATCTTCTGTCGTTAAAGAAAAGAGGTAAAAAACCTTGATTGGGCGCCACTTGAAGTAACGCAATGTACGAGTGGGTGGGTTGAACTAATTTGCAGGTTTACCTGATGGATAGTTGCCATTTTGATAGTCGGTTCCATTGTCCCCTCGGAGTGCTGCGTAGGAATCGCGTTGGGCCCAGACGCTGTGCTCACGCTTATGCAAAACATTGCTGAACATGTAGTCGATGCTGGTGAGGCCCCTGCGCACGTTCAAGGAGTCCACGAGTGAAGTTGAATAGTAGTGCACGGTCGTTCGGCTGAATATTTCCTGTTCGTCTGCGTGCAGAGGCTGGAATTTGTGAATACTTTGTTTCAGTTCGGGCGTCCAGATCACAAATTTGTAATATTGACAATGTTCGTGATGACGTGTGCACAGCCAAGAGCCTCTGCGAACCCTGTACACGTGATCAACATTAACGTCATATTCTATATGCAAATGCTCTTTCTCGATGATCGTTTCCCAGAGATGCTGGAATCCGTGTTTTAACATGAAGAGCCCTTGGAAAGACCATTTGAAGTTAATGATGTGTTGACAGGGTTTGAAAGTAATATGAAGTAATGAAAAGTGATTGATGTTGGAAGAAATATGAGACCCCTAAGAATTATTTTTAAAGAAGTAAAGAACTTCTTAGGATCCAGACATGATTATACTATTTCTTCTGTCTGAAGCTGAATCAAAATCAAAGATGAAAAGCTTGCTAATATTTGAGAGCACTTGATATTTAAACTCAATCACCCTTCAAGGTAAAGCGGACCATGTTCGATTCAGCGAAGGCACTCCGGCGTGCGTGGATGGTAGCTCGTCAAATCAAAACGCAAACAAAACAATTTTAAGTCACTCATAATGTCTTACTATTGACTTCTGATCTTAACTTCAGCTAATGATTAAAATCATGCGCCTATTGCTAGCCAACCAAACATGCTTAACTTCTTCTTTCTGTCTCTTTTTCTCATCCTTTCTTATTCTAAGAAATTTTCTATTTACTCCGCGGTGACATCGCATTAAAATTATAGCTGTATTAACCTCTACTGCCAACTACGTCACTGACAGCATATGGCTTCGAAAGCACTTTTAGTGTTTTTTCCATGTGTCTTCTTCAGTACATCAATTAATTTACTGTTGCCTGATTTTCGCATTAAGTGTGAAGCTCAGCCTGGTCTATACACCGAATAGCGTGTACAGCTCTGCCTATACAGTATTGAGCACTCTGTGACAGTATCGAACACTCTATGACAGACCGGTAAAACATTAATTTGCATAAATTATTTGCTAAGATCTTTTTATCATCGCCGTTTGTATCTACTCATTTTGATTCTTTTAGTGCTTAAAGTATGTGGATGATTTTATATGATGACAATGGACCTAATGAAATACATGCTTATGATATAGTTAGAGCAGGTTGATGACCTGTAACTCCATTTTGATATACTCTTGGCATTACCTGTATTTTTGTCGCCATTCATGCGACTGAGCAGCCCAAACATCAGTTTTGGAGTATTCCACATGAGGCCATACAATGCAGCTATTTCATCCAAGTGACCGTAGCCTTGCATAGTGTGCGAGGCCAAAAACAGCGGTTGCAAAGCTTGTAAGCCGTTCCTTTTAAGGAACTCCATAAACGTGCCTCTAATTTTGTACATGACCCCACGTGTTGGCCTAGGCATTAGTTCCCCTGTATAATTTCCAAAGAGCTGTTGGTGTATTTTTATGTACTTGTGTACAGTCTGCCCAAGTTTTGCTTTTGCTACCAGAGGATCTTTTGTGTTGAAATTACGTAATGATTCCATGCCTACATACTGTTGATACGTCAATGGCATTCGGAATTTGTCCGTCCATATAGAGGCTGATGGAAGATGGACAAGGTTGTCACCAGTGTATTTTTTCATCAGTGCTATAATGTTTTCCTCGTAATCTGGTGACAAGTAGCATGTACCTAATTCATGGGGAGCTCCTCTGTAATTGACCGTGAATGACTTGCCTCCTGGTCGCGATCTCTTTTCAAGGATTGTGATATCTTTGAACCCTTTTCTTTTCAGCATCAGTGCCATGTGTACACCTGCAGCTCCTCCTCCAACAATCGCTATGCTGTCACTGCGTCTGCGTGGGCCACGAATTTGACAGCGTCTAATTTTGTGGTAAAAAATTCAAGATTCAATAAATGTTTTTGCTCCATTGACAGTTTTATGCGGGTATTTTTAATACATATCTTCATTTTTCTTTTTCCTAATCTTTTCCCTAAGCACAAAAAGAAGGAAATTTTCTAACAGAACAACAGAAAAAACCTCTTAGACATGACGGATACAGAATTTAAATCTATTTCAAATAACTAAATCTTTTTCTTTAGGCAACTTCATCCAGGACCCAGTCTTGAAAGACCTTGTCTCTCAAAGTTGCTAAGCCATGCCGAATCGACAGGATGTAAAATGAACAACAAGAAAGATGAACAGATTCAGCCCAAAAATGAGTTAGACTACTCGACAAATGGTCCCCCATTTATGGCAAGAAAGAAAATTGAACTTGGTGCATGCCCAGGATAGCGTTTGCTCAGTCATGCGTCCAGAGATAACGAAACAGCTTCTTCGTGGTGTTATCCATTAACTGATTCCGGTCTGCTTAAATTTTAAACCTTGAGGCCGTTGTGCTTATGATTTAAGTCTTCTGTTAATCAACCTGTTGGTGTAGAGTGCGTTTGCAGTCGCTTTCTTCCTTGCTCGAGCATGCCCAACTTTCGTTAATTCTTAATAAATCCCAGAATCTCTAATTCAAAACTTATGCTGGTTTGACATGAGTTTGATTAAGTCCTCCAGATAAAAGTTTAAACTTGATCGAACTTGCTTTAACAGTTTTTGAGTTTTAGAACGTTCGTCCGTACTTTTCTTGTAAATTTGTTCAGTGTAAAATTATTTCCTAGAAGCAGCTCATAACATTGGAGAGTCCGCTTTTATTTAATCAAGATTGATTCTCGAGTAGATATATATAAATATATAAATATAAACAATAGATATTGGTACCATAATTCTTTCCTTGGTGAAGAGAGTTTTACAAAACAAGGAATCAAAACAAGGTGAAGACATTTTACAAAACAAGGCTTCACTTGAATACATCGTTTATGATGGAAATTTTAGAGGAAAAGGCAATGCCGTATCAACTAAGAAGCTCGAGCAATTTAAACCTACCAAAAGTGAGAACCACATGCTATGGTACAGATACCGTAATGCTATGGTACTGGTTCATGGGTCAAAGAATATGGGCAAAATTACCTATAGAAGTGAAAACTTCAGTCTCTTCTATAGTAATTATTTTGTATTTCCTATGTATACACCTTTTGTGAATAGTTGGCCTTAATTAGCTTTTATTTTTAGCTATTTTGAATAGCCAACTTTAAATCAAAGTATTAATAATAATAATAATAATAGTAAGAGTGATGTGACTAGAGACCTGGAGGTTAGAAGGCTTTGTGAGCCGTTTTAGGGTAGTGAGTGGGGACGCTGGTGGGGCAAAGGGTGGGGCTGGTATCTTAGGATGGGATTGGTTTGGTTGTTTTCTTTTTAAACCCCAGTGAGAAGCTTTTTCGGTATTTTGTTTTTTATAAGTCGAATTATGCTATGGTGTGAATATCAATTATCATTCTTGCCTTGCGTCTCATCTCATGGCATATCCTGGTATGCATTTACGCATTCACAAAGTGAGAGCTGTGCTATAACAGTGAAATTGTATCGGTGTTGTGTTTTGCCATTTTAAGCTACATGTGACCGTTTGGGCCAATGAACATCTGATAGATCAAATCAAAGACTTGACTTTTTGAGATTTTTGACATGTCTAATTTGAAATTTCTTCCGCCTTTCAACAGCAATCAAACAAAAGGGAAATATTGCAGGCGCTAAATCGAAGTGGTAAAATTCATAACAATCATTACATTGCACACAAGTTGCATTAGTATTCTTGAGGGTGAAACCTCTTTTGTTAAAGCAGTTATTACATTTGTAATAGCAGTAATTTGTTATAACGAAAAAGAGAATTCTTGAAATAAATAAGAGGAGTACAAGTAGCAAATAGCTTTAAAATTTTTTTTAGCCAATAAAAACGAACAAACCTAGATCTTCTGGTTCGTCCATATCTTTTGTAGTATTTCCTTGCGATAACATCGTTGATTAATAGCAAGACGGAAATGAGTAGAATTATTCCAAATTTCCAATTCATCGTTAAATTGAGATAACTTCCAATTCACTGTCTACAAAAAATGTCGAGAACTCTCAACACGGAAAAGTACCGTGAAATGGTTAAAAAAGAGAATGAATCAGTAAAACCAGAGACCAGTTTCATGCGTGACCGTAACTATTATT